ATTTTTAATGCATGATAGTATACATTGCATATTAATGATTAAGACAGCAAGCATTAACAGAACACATCAGTACTAATAGATTTCTATGTTTAGTTAAATTAGAAAGAAAAGTTTTTATTTCTTAGATTTACCTTCAATAACTCATTAGTATGGTGATATTAAGTTGTCTGTTTTATTTAGGTCGTGGTTGTCGTCATTTAAAACCTGGTCATCTGGATAAATGGCTTGTAGTTTATGAAGGAAAACAAAAGCCTATTGTTAATGAACTTATTAATACACTTTATAATGTTTGCACACCAATGGTAAAACTTCTTACTTTCTTGTTTTTTTTTTGGTTCGAAAAACTTTTAATTAATTAATTTATCTCTTAGGGTATGCGTGTAGAATATCCTGAAATGTAAGTTTAATTAATAAAATAAGAAAAACTGTTTTTACTATTATTTCAATAGTGCTGAATTACAAAATGATCGACCAGAAACATATTTAAAAGCATTAGAACAATATTGTCTTAACCAACAATATAATCTGGTTCTTTGTGTATTAAGTAATAATCGAAAAGATCGTTATGATGCATTAAAGAAATTCTTATGTATGGATACAGCTGTTCCATCTCAAGTAATCATCTTATCATCGAGACACTTTACGAAAATATAAAATAAAAAAATTTATTTAGATGGTACTTTTAAAAACTTTAAATAAACGTGGTCAATTAATGTCAGTAGCTACAAAAATTGGTATTCAAATATCAGCTAAATTAGGTGGAGAAATTTGGTCCGTTCCGATTCCAGTAAGAAAAAAAACCTTTTCTTTCTTTTTTTTTCAAACTCTTCACTTCTTGTTTTTTTTTGTTTAAAGTCAAAAAGTTTAATGATTATTGGTATTGATTCATATCATGATAAAAAACGTAAACAAGTATCAATAGCAGCATTTGTTGCAACAACAAATCCTCAATGTACATCATATTATTCACGTATTGTTATGCAAACGACAACACAAGAATTAGTAGATGGTATAAGTGTTTGTATTCGAGGTACATTTTAGAAGATGATATACAATTATTTTCATATATATATATATATGTATATTGTTTGAATATTTAGATGCATTAAAAGCATTTTTCATGCAAAATAATACAATGCCTGAACGAATTGTTATTTATCGTGATGGTGTTGGTGATGGACAACTTCAAGCTGTTTATGAACATGAATTACCACAAATTGAAGAAACATTTAATAAAGTACAAGAAGGTTATTCGTAAGTAAAATTAAATTTCAGTTTTTTTCCTTGATGTTTTAATTTCTTAAATCTTTTTTAAGACCTAAATGGGCCATGATTATTGTTAAAAAACGTGGTTGTTCAAGATTTTTTGCTAAAAATACTCATCAATTATATAATCCACCACCAGGAACCATAATTGATCATACAATAACACATCAAAATTGGTTTGATTTTTATCTTATTTCACAATGTGCTAGACAAGGTACAGCAGCACCGACACATTTCAATGTTATTTGGGGTAAACGAATAGAATTTCCGTTTGTTTTTTTCATCATGAATTTCGAATTTTAGATCGAACTACATTTAAAGTGGATCATATTCAACGGCTTACATTTAAATTGTAAGTAAAACCTATATTATTTTGTGAAATACGATCTCAACGGGATATTGACGTATAATAGGAGTAAGAATTTGGAATTCCCTCGCATAGACCGTGGCAGAGCAAGAAGAAAAATACTCTACTCTTCGGCTACCTTGCAGTACTGGATGGTGTCAGAGGCTAATTTCGAAAACTCGATATTTTTCTTAAAACTATTACTAGCTGCAGCTTCGGACAGAAGACTGACCTGACGCTGAGTTTTTTTGCTGAATCACTTAAGCTTCCTGCACATACTGGCTAACTACATCCTAGCCATAGGGATCACTGTATGCCACAAAGTAGTTAGTATGCTATTGTATGAATGATCCGAAACAAACAACCATTAATGACTTGTCTAAAGTTATTCTATATCTGATGGCGCTGAGTCTTGAACACAGTACTTTACTAATACATGCCAAACGACTTAATCATTCAGCCACAGCAGTTTAGAACGTGACAGATGCCAGTCAAAGACCATCATATATCGTATATCAATAATGTCTCGTTATAATAAATGAAATACTTGCTGCATTTGTGGAGGGTTAAATACAACGATGGTGAAGAAATCTGCTCCAAACTAGACACAATAAAACAATCTCTGCGCGATTAGCAACAACAGTTACATATTGCTTTCATATTTTACTTCCGCAAGAATTATGTTCACAGCTCTTTGTACTAAATCATTTATTTTTATTTAGATGTCATCTTTATTATAATTGGCCCGTGAGTGATTTTAAAATTTCATTTAAAAGTATTTTATTTGTTTTTTTTTCTTTGCAGGGTACTATTCGAGTACCAATGGTTTGCCAATATGCTCATAAACTTGCATATCTTGTTGGTCAATCTCTTCATCAAGATTTTCATCATGATCTCTCAAATAAACTTTTCTATTTATAGATTTAATAGATCTTGCATTTATCTTTGTTTTGCATTATTCATTAAAACTATTTGATGATTTTGTTTAACAGATTAGCATTTGTTTTTTGAAACGGCTGTGTTATTTTCTTCTTTGATTTTTCTCATTTCATTTCATCGTTTTGTGTGTTACCATATAAGCGTTAGTCAGTGTTTTATTTTATATATTATATGTTCATACATCTTAAGATTCTTTTTCGTTGATGTCTTTACGGGCTGTTTCTTTTTTCCATGTTTTGTTTCGTGAAGTAGGTTAAATAGATAAAGAATCAAAAAAAAAACTGAATATTAAAACTTAACTTAATAATTAACAAAAAAGGAGTCGATTTGCGCAAGCAGTTTATTACCAACGCCTTACACCAAGGCACGATTGTGAGCCGTAGAAAGGTCCACAAATATTTCGAAGTAATATTTCAACAAATCTTACACATTTTTTTTTTTCTTTATTTTTAATTTTATGATTTTTTTTGATGATTTTTGATATTTTTTGTTTTTTTTTTGGTGTTTTCGGATTGTTTCGGCTGTAAACAAGAAAGTCATTATCAGCAAATTGTGAAGTAACTGACTCGACATCTGCCGACCCTGTCAATAACAGAACATTACATGTATATACACTGAAATATTTTGATGTGGTGCAATAACAAACGTTAAGACGAAAACTGAAAAGAAGAGCAGATATATTAGCATAAGAGTTGCACAATCCTATTTAGATCTATGCAAATAAAAATAATTTTGTCAAATCATAGTTGACTCATTGCATGATTTGAATACTAGGAACTTACTGATGCATTTGTTCATGTCGTTTTATACCGGGGTTCATCGAAAACGTGTTTGCACAGAAAAAATTAGTCATAGCCTGCAACATCATTGAATTATATTTTCGTGTTGACAATTTTACTTTTTCTATTTTGATAATATCATTGACCAACCTCCTCTAGTACTATTTCTAAAAATGGTCAGCATAATATTTTGTACAAATATTCTCAAGTTCTTTATGATTCAATATATATATATATTTATCTTGAATAACGATCCAGTTATTAAAAAAAGTCTTCATACAATGTTTTTCGAAAAAGACCACTGAAGTTGAAATAATCGACATACATTTTGTACATTCATGATCACTGTCAGCACTGTGAATTACGTTGAATCTGCTGCTAGAGAATGTAAAAAGTGTAAGTAGCTCATATCATTGATCGTAGAAAGACCGAAAGAAATAGTATCGCAAAGAACAAGTGTCGAAACTAGAAAAATATTAAAAAAAAGTTATGTCTCCAGGCTGAGTACGGGTAAAGAGAAGACTAGAACTAACAATCACACTCCCACACCTACTTCAACGATAGTACTGTTATTTTTATTTTGTAAAGTGATTAAGTAGTGTTTGAAACATAATAAGAGCAAATAGGATTCTGTTTCCACCATTTTTGTACAAAAAATGCTTTATTTTCGCTGGCAATTACCATTTATTATTATCATTATTCAAAACAAATGACATATATCTGAAGACAATATATGAAAACCTATCCACAGTTTTTGAACGGATAAGTTGTTGTTTCTTGTTGAAGAAATCTTCTGCTCAACTTTAACCAACCATAGTCCACTTTAGCTGGATAAGTTGCAAGACATTATAAACCAACAATACCACTTCTATTTAGTAAGTAACAGATCAATACAGACAAAAAATTTACTCCGTTTCATCCAAGTCACAAACTTCGACCTGACCAATGACTCTAATTGGTACATTTTACTTATGAAAACGCAGTTTACATGTACATGTTGTTTTAGATTTTCATGAGAAACACTGATATAGGATCCAGTGAGTGTAGCATATGGTTGAAGAGGAGATCCATATCCGTGGTGAAACGTTTAGATGACTTATCATTTGTAATTGTTCAACAGAAACTAATGACTTTTTATTGGTTATTTTTTGTTTCTTGACACTTGGGCATGAACACCTTTAGAAATGCTAGTATTTTCCTAAACAATACCAACTGTGTTTTGGTGATCGGTATCTTCTAAAGCACTTTGTGACCTTTCTATTGTCAATTGATTATTGCAATTAGAAATGAAGTTGTCATCCAATTATTATTGGTTAAATCGAGAGCAATAATAAGGAAAATCAAACTAGCGCTATTGCTTTAAATCAATTGGTCAAGTAAATATGCGACATCTGTTTAGTTTGGAGGTTTTTCTTTATTTTCAATTGGTCATTACTATGACAAGCATAAAAAAAACAAGAAAATAAACAAGCAACAAATAGTAGACTTTTCATCTATAAAATTTTGTTAGAAAATAATCTTTTTCATTATTTTTTTCTGATTGAAATTGAAACCTATGAATAAAAAAGAATATGTTTCTTAATTTATTCCACTTATTGATATGTATTATTAAATGAATATATTTCATTTTAAATAAATATTGAATGATTTCTTGAATCGATCTTTTTCAGATGTCGCAGGTGAACAATCGTGGTGTCGTGAACAAGCGGTTGCGAATATCCTCAACAGGCGCCTTTCGTCACGGTGAGAACCAGTCGTCATCGTCGTCGACAAATGTCGCTCAAACTCAATATAATCCATCGGGTTTATCGATTGATAATGAAACTGAATTATCATCTGATTCAATAAAAGAACAATTAGATCATGTTGATGACATAATAACACAACCAATAATTGAAGTTCCAACAAAACGTTTATTACATATAAAAGAACTTGGAGGAAATTTATTTGTTTCATCATCAAGAAAAATTTATTCAAAAACTTTACAAAAATTAATTGATCGAGTTTTATTTACAAAATCATTAAATAATGATGTTAACACAGCAACATCTGATATACATGTATTTGAACGTGTACTTGCACGTACAGATGATAATGATGCATATTCAACATGTACATCATTAGCACAACCAACACCAGCAACAATACTTATACTTGGTTTAACATCATGTGAACATGCTTTGGTATGGAAATTATCTCAACGACGAAATTTTAAAATTTATTGTTCACCAGCTAATAGTGGAATTATAATTGATCAAACATTTGTAATAGTAACAAATATTTTAAAAAATGATAAAGAGATTTTAGAATTTGTTGATACAAAACAAATCGATCTTGTTATATCATTAAATAAAACATTTTATTATGAAGATCTTGAAGCACAATTAGATGAACGTGGTGTACATTATTTAGGTTGTTCAGTTGATACATTAGCATTAAGTGATAATTATTTAAATGCAAAACAATTTATGACAAAACATAGTATACCAACATTAGATTGGATTCATTGTTTAAAACAAGATGAAGGAGAAAATTTTTTAAATAAGTAATGCAAAAAGAGTTATTAGAAGAACATTTTGAAGAGGAAAAATTTTATGTGTCCGCTTGTCTTTTGTTTAGATATCCAAATCAACAAGAATGGATTATCCGTTCGATTAATGGAAATCGAATAATAAATTGTAAAACAACGGATGATGCTTTACAAATACTTAAAGAAGTTTTTCAGGTAAACAGTTTTTCTATGATGAGATTAATAAGATGAAAGTATACATGTTGAATTCTGAATTAATTAAGGATGACCTCTTTTAATATTTCACTAACAATTAGTATTCACGTTTTATATCACTGAGTATAAAAGTAGTGCATTTTTCTCTCGTTCATTTGGACGAAATCATACTTTTGCAACAACTGTTTTAGATAAGTTCTCTATGAATGATGACAATATTTCAACGGATCCCAAGTATAGCCGTGTGTCTGTCAATAATAGAATCAGAAATTTGTATTAGTTTCGATTATATGTTCGGAATCTTTGTAGAGCTTCTTATTTAGAAGTTATCAGTCGACTTTTTAGAGACTCTGTAGTTTAAGTTTAGACGAAGTTCTGCACACCAAAAGTAAGAAGCAAAAATTATTTTAAATATGGTGAATGCAAGAGCGCATATTTCTTTCTAAAATGATATACTAGTGATTAGTTTGCTGTAGGTGATTTATCAACAGTGAATATTTCGGTAAGGAACACCGCGTCAATTTAGGCTATTTTCTTGAATTATTTTTCTATTATGTAGTGAAAGAGACTATAGCAGAAATAAATGTCAATTTTTTGCGTCCACACTTAATTTATGGGCATCTAAAAGCTCGCTTCATAACGTCTAAACCAGAAGTCTTACAAACATTTCGAACATATATTCCAAAATAACACGAAGTCTTAATTGTAATTCAACGTTTTCAAATAAATGCAGACTTTTTTAAAAGGCAAAAAAATGAATGAGCACTTTGTTGAGTTACCTTTTGATGACAGAATAATTCAGCAAGAGTGTGTGGATACGGACATCAATGTGAGAGAGGGTTTATTGTGTACCATCACCGTACCGAAATCTATTTTCGATTTTTATTCAAGATACTTCAAGACTAATATGTCATGCGATGGACTATCCTAACTTATTTTTCGATCATATTTTATAACATAATCTCGAGATTAAACTTTTTTATCAAACCATTGTTGTTATTCTTTAATTATCATGAGTTCAGATATTTTTTTCTTTGTTGTAAAAAATTCAGATTAGATAAAAATTGAATCTTTATTCAGGATAACTTATTTGGTGAAACTAATCCATCAGCGATTGTTGAACATGGCTATTCGTTGGATGATGATTATGTATGTACACTGTATATTGTAAGTGATGGTGATGGTGATTATACACAATTACCAATAATAGAATCAGATCCATTACGTTTTGGTGCATATGGTCCATGCCCATATTTAACATCAAAACAATTATCATTCATTCGTCGACGTATTGTTGAACGAACATTACGATGTGCACCATCGATTCGTCATTTATTTGGTTTTCGTTTACTTATTCAAGGAACAAACTATAATCAAATTAGTTTACTTGAGTATAAATCAACATTTGAAGAGCCTGAAAGTGAAGTACTTTTATCTTTATGTGAACCCGATGTATTCCTTCAATATGCACTTGATTTACCGTCTGTACCAGTTTTACCATTAACAAATAAAAAACGTCGTGCTTATTGTGTTAATACAACAATAACGTCGAAAAAAATTCCATTAACAATTCCAAATAAAATTTTATTAACAGCAGCCAAAAATAATAAAGTTAAAATATTTCATAATCAAACAGATGTGATTATAGGAGGAGTAGAAACAAGTAATATAACAACAAATGGAGAAAGAATTTTCAATGTACTTGGATATGGTTCAACATTACAAGAAGCACAAATTCAATCTGTACTTGCTTGTGAATATATTAAACAACAAATGAATATTGATGATCTTTTCTTTAAATCTGATATTGGATCTCGAACTATTGATTGGTAAGATATCTCTCTATAGATTTCATATATAGAAAATCTACATAAATTTGAATGCATTTGGATTAGTTTAGAGGTCATTACTAACGTGAGACTGACCAATCCAAACATACATTTGAATGTAAATATGCCAAATCCGTTGGCATACGATCTAAAAATAAACTATGATTTTTATTTGAATGCTAGAAAATATTTTTTTATAATTGACAATATTCGTAAAGAAGTCGCCTGCAAACGAGAATGCATAATAAATTATCCGCAAAAAATGGGCCCTATAAGTTTTGAGCTACCATATGAATTATTGTTATTTATACTTCATACTTGGGAAATGTATAATCATGTTTTATTACATATTACTATAGAAAAATTAGTTGTTTCTTTGAAATCTATGATTAATAAATGTATGGTGCGAAAAGTTCTGGACAATATATTCCTTCATCTGTTAATCGATTACAAGAGTCAGTAGAAAATTTAAAGCATTGAATTGAAATCAGAATGTTACGCTCTTTCTGAATACATATCCGTCATTTTTGTTAAACTCGTAGCTTAGAAATTATAAGTGAATCTTTGAAAGGTTCGAAAATAAAACAGTTCTTTGTACAAAATGAACTACAACTCGATAGTCTCGAGGCAATCTTTGATAAATAATCTAGCTGTTTTTTTTTTAAATCTAGAAATTAATAAGTATGCGTCTTTTATTAAAAGTCTTTTTATTGATGGTAATATCACAGAAAGCTGATGATTATAATATCATTTTGTTGACAAATGTTCGCTCTGTCTTTTAGTGTATGTGAGATTCACTCATAACGTCTAACCTATATTCGGAGAGAGCATAACATTTTAATCCTAACTCAATGCTTTAAAATTTCTTCTAACTCCTATTATTTATCGACAAATGAAGAAACATGTTGACTAGAAACTTTCGCAAAACTCGTTATTAGATCATAAAGAGGTAAAGCAATAATTAACAAAATGTATTGTAATTTTCAAAAGAATTATTTGATATAAACCGTCCTATCTTTGCTGATATGTCATTATCTTTTTCATTAGGTATAAAGTTCATGGTGAACATTCTAATTCTCTACAAGGTCGTTTAACAAATGGAAAAAAGAAAAAATCTAAAAAGAAAAAATCTATTTCAACGGTACCAACTAAGCCAAATCGTAGTATTACAACACGTGGTCAAAATTTAAAAACTTCCGAACAAATTGAAGATAATGATGATGAAACAAATGATGATGATGAGGATGACGACAGTGAACCAATGGATTTTGAACGTGCATTTGGTTCCATATCCGATATTCCAAAATTAGAATATATGAATATTTATCAAAATAATAAAATTACTGATAGTTTACATACTTTCGAAGGAGAATCATATTTTGATCTTTCAACTAAGATTGATCTTAAAACTTATACACAACCAGTTCTTGTTTCATCCACGATTAATTTAAATTCACTGGCTGCTGTAAGTTTTTCATTAATAAACGAACCAAAAAAAAAAGGTTCTATTGAATCTGTTTTTTTTTATTTTCTATTTTTAGTTATTCAATTTAAATGATAAAGATATGAATGATAGTCAAACCGTATTTGAATATCTTGGTTATGAATTAGCTGTTCGTTGTGCTAATGATCTTAGTTATGCTCGTCCATTATATATTCAATGTTGTTCATTACCAATATCATCATACGAACGTTCCATTCAAAGATTCTATCAAGGAATTGAACAAGCATGTCAACAATTAAATTGTACATTACTGAAAACGACGTCAAATTCATCATCATTTAATGCATTATGTACAGGTATATGTAATCGAGAATTATTTATACTTAATAATGATAAACATAATCCAACAATAAATGAAGGTGATTTATTAATTGGACTTCGATGTAGTTCAGGTACAATAAATAGTCAAGGTTATATTCAATTAAAAGAATTATTTCAAAAGAAAAATGTTCATTTAAATGATATATTACCATTTCGAAATAATGATGGTGAAGAAGAATCTTTTTTTTCATTATTATTACAAAAATCATCGATATTAACATCAACATTAACGAGTATTATTAATGAACTTATTTTAAATCGAACCATTAAAATTATACGTTATTTAAAAGGTATATATTTATGTAATTGATTACTTAGATAATTATTAATTTAGATATTGGTCTTGCTCGTGTGATTCAATCATTACTTGATTCATCAACAGGAATATTAACTGCAGAATTAAATGGACAGCAATGGCCCGTTATGCCACCAATTTTTACATGGATTTATCAAAATGTAAATAGAACTAGTATTCATTTGAAAATATTTTATACAAAGTGTCAAAATTTATAGTCTAAGGATCAACTTTTTTCTTGTAATCTGATTGGAGGTCATATAAGTTAAATCAATGAATAGCATTTGCTAACTTGTACGAATAAGGTGCAATAAGACATCCGAAATTCGGTATACAGTTAGATTTCCATAGGGCACTTGTTTCCGCCACATGATCTCAAAGAAGTATAGAAGTTAAAATTTTGATTCTTTCCTTTCCAGCATACTGTGATAGAAGTTGTTGATATATGATTCAAGACCGTATGGTAATAAACTCTTGTTTTAATATACGAACTACTTCTTTATTGCATATCTGGAGGATTAAGTTAAAGAAAGGTGAAGCAATGTGTCTCGAAATAGATAGAATAAGACAATCTCGTAATGATTGTGCTAACAGTTTCTTTCGTCAGACTTTTGCACAATAATTGAATTCTTAGATAAATTACTCATCATCATAGGGCATATCATAAATAAATTCGATACTTATTAAAGAGGCTTTTAAAATAGAAATGTATTATTTTCGGAGAAAAACCCTGATAGAGAAAAAAATTAATTTTTACTGATGAAGTTTTATGCAATCTGCTTTTTTTCCAGCCACTAAAATCGCCTCGAGACACGGTTGGTAGGATCAACGTTAGTTTCCGTTCCAACGCTTGAGACCAGAATTACGAGAAAAAAAGGTATCCCAACAAGTGCTATAGATTCAAAAGAGTTGCTATTCGTCAACTAAATCAAGCTAAAAACAAGTATTGTAGAATTTTTTTAGATGTGATACGAATAAGCTCTCGGAAAGTTTTCTCTAGACCGGAACCAAAAAGCTTTCTGCTATATATTCCATTTTGGGAAGATCAAATAAGTATTCTTTTCGTTACTTATAGTTGAGATAAATGAACATCATCATAGAGTTCATACAGGAATTTTATTTCAAAATAATTAAAAAGTTCCATATTTTGATTTAATGACAATAGAAAACAATAAAATTCTAAATGTTTATCTAATATAAGCTTTGACATCGTATCACATAAGTTTTCGTGATCAAATAAAATATAAATAATATCTTTTTATATTTTCAGAGTGGTTTTAGTCAAGATGAAATGTTTGAATATTTTAATTGTGGTATTGATTATTTAATTATAATTGATCATAAAAAATCTTCAGTTGAAAATATTCTTCAACAATTAACTCAAACATATACATCATGTTTTCTTCTTGGAACATTTACTTCAATAAGTAACTAATTTAAATTGAAATTCTTTTATATTGTAGAATTTTTATTTAGATTCTAGTCCAATACGTAATAAATCAATACATTTACCTCAACAATCACGACCACGTACTGTTCAATTAAAAAATGTTTTATTTAAATATCCAAAACCATGTTTTACATCAAATGATACTTCGATTGTTACTAAAGATCGAATGAAACAACCAATTGCAAATGATAAAACACGTTGTGCTGTACTCATTTCAACAAATGGTAACAAAAGAAAAAGAAGAGAGAAAAGAAACTTGTTTTAATTATTATTTTTTTGTTTCTAGATACTTCATTACTTTCTCTTCTTGCATATTCAACTTCAACAATTGAATGTGCATTTGAAATTGTTCTTGTACTTTCCACTTTAGCTAGTCTATCAGATATAGCTCGTGTTAATGAAGTCTATCCATCTGTTGTAACAAAAGTTATTCAACCAAAAAAATATGCTGCAAGAAATTATGATTTAGTAAATATTCATTCAATTTCACATATTATTTAGTTTCTTCATTTTTTTTTCTAAAGGATCAAAAAATAGATGATGAATTACAATTACATGGTTGTGAATTAGTTATACTTGATCGTTATGCATGTCGTTTATCACCATCGTTTATTCAAGCATGGCGTGGTCGATTATTAAATATATATCCATCATTATTACCATCATTTCGTCATAGTACATCACCAGTTCGTGATGCATTACAAGCTGGTGTTCGTATAACAGGTGTTACAGTTCATTTTATAGCTGAACCTGATACAGATAATGATGGACCTATTATTGCTCAAGAAAGTATTCATGTAACACCAATTGAAAATGAAATTCAATTAGAAAATCGTTTACGTACACTTGAACAACAATTATATCCGAAAGCAATTGACATGGTTGCATCAGGAAAAATAATTTATGAAGGAAAAAAACGTATGGGAAAAGTCAATATTGCTCCGACAATTGCATCTTCAGCTTATTAAAAATAAGCTTTTGTTTTCATCTATATTTGTGTCTGTACATTGAACTATATGCATCTGTGTTATTTTGTTTCCTTAAAATACACAGAGTTTGATCTTTTTTTTCTTGTTTATGTTGTAGTTTTGTGGTCTTGTTTATAAAAAACGAACACAGCAATATATATATATGCGTGTGTGTATATAATCACTGATATAGACTGATTTTTTGGAATAGAATCAATGTTTATTGAGTGAAATCAATTTTTGGATTCATCGAATGAATTTCCTGTAAAGTTTTTAGTCAAACAAACGATTAAAGAACAAAAGTTAACTGATTTTAGTTGAAAATTGAAAGCTAACATAATAGTTTATAATGGACAAATGAAGACTCTAGACCAGACTCAATTACAAGAGAAACCAACAGAAAGGCAATTAGTTTGAACGACAGGATGACCCGTAAATAATTAGATGATAAGAATTTTAAATATTTTCACAAGCTGAAATGTAGCTCAATAATAGAAATTTACTCAACGTTTTTTTTTCATAAGAGAAACGTTAATAAATACAGGTTTGAACTAGTAAGATTAATGTCAATAAGCACTTGTTACTCGTTACAGATTCGAAAAAAAAATGTTATGGAATGATCCATACCCGTTTCTAAGACTTTTTTCTCAGTTGGTGACATGAGAAAATCAAAACAATGTTAATTCTACCCGTTACAGTGAGTACTTAAACTAACATTATGGAGCAACTTAATTTAAACGCTCTTATTCATGTCCATAAACATCGATGCACCTTTTCAGTTTTCCAGATACATACCAAAATTTAGTGTTGAAAATTCTGAGATAATTGACTGCATAAAATTAGCCAAGTTTCGAAGGTTGCTTTTGTACACGATATCTTTAAGATAGTGCAACAAGAAAAAACCTATTGATGTGAAATCAGCAGACCTGATAGACCAGTCTCTTGGACCATCATGACTGATCCGTCGTCCTGAAAAGTTTTCATCAATCCAATCTTGAACATCAAGTTAGTGACAATTACAAGCACTATGTCGATATACATGTAGATTGTCAGCGATATTATCGATTTTTTTTTTCAAATTACAATAAAGATAAGAACAGTTTTTCAAAACCCGAAGATGAAGTCAAAGATCAATAACATACACGAGCATTTTGTATTTTAGCATATTTCATCATATTTATGTGTACTACATTGTAAATCTGATGTCTTTATAACTTAACATGGTTTTGTCCATTTCTCCAACGAATAGAAGGGTGTGGAGTAGTGTCACATATCCAAGATTTTGGAGATGCCACCACATCTCCCGTGGGAGATGCCGCGTCTCCAGCGGGAGACGCGACACCCACACTCGAGAGATGTGGTCATTCACCACTGGAGATGTAAGATCTCCTTTAGAGATGCGCATCCCCCACATCCACACCCGCATCTCTCGCGCGAGATGCGGCATCTCCCGCGGGAGACGTGGTAGCATCTCCAAAATCTTGGATATGTGACACTGCTGAGGGTGTGAGTGCTCGTGTTTGTACGGGTGTTGGCTGACTTTACTCCTACACTCATATCGCACACTCATACCTACATTCACACCGGCCATACATACTCTCAAGAAAAAACAAGTGATTCAATAGAAGCTCGATGCAGAGCATGTTTAAAAAAGATTTCTATTCGTGGTGATGGCAGAATAGTCCTAGATAAACATATGGGTTATGGTGCACGTAAAACATCTATGAAAACAATTGAAAAAGCTACATTAATGACAACATTTAGAGTTCTAGTAAGTGAATTAGAAAAAATGTCAGTAGCTGAAGATGTATATGTGTTCCATCGTGTAAAACATAGTCATAGTTAAGCTTCGCAAGAATATACAATTAATTTTGTGAAAATATTATTTGAAAGATTGTCATCAGTGGCAACATCATTACCGTGAGGAAAAACAAAATCTAGAACGATTGCATGTAATGTACTTAGGCCACATTTCACAAGACAAATAATTGATGAGTTATTGAAAGAACGTTTTTATTCATTATCATTTGATGCATCAAATAAAGATAATCGTAAAACTTATCCATATGCTGTACAATTTTTTCAGATGCTAGTATTAACAGAGGTAGTTATTTTTCGATACTTACAAATGTCTTTTTTTTTTATGTTTGAGCATATTGTGTTTTTCACCCAGGACTAATTGAATTTAAAGAAGATCTACGTGCAACAGCAGCAAATATATTTAAAAAGACATGTAAAATAATAAATGATTATTAAATAAAAATTGAAAATTTGACAAATATTGATGACGATTATACTAATGTGAATTTTGATAAACAGCATTTAATATTTAAATTATTTAAAGATCAATTTCTGCATGTTGCCAAAGATGATTTATCATTTATTGTAGACTAATTTTAATACATCTTAGTTCAAACTACACATTTGTTTTGTTGAATTTTAGGAAACTGTTATGCATATATATTATACAATGAAGTAAAACATGCGCATGATGTTTTACCAATTGATATTGAAACTACTGTGTGTAAAATTCAGCACTTGTTGCGAGATGGCCTGAACAAGCGAAAACTCAAAACTAGCAGCTAAATCATCAACGGGATATTGTTCGAATTGATTGACTCGTACATTGATCTTGTAGCAATGTAGTTCTTGACCACTATTGTGCCCGTTCTAGTCTTCACTTTTTCATTCAGTCAAAAGCTCAGCGATGAGAGGTAGGTGCTGGCTTAATTCGAGAAACAATACGGTATTCATTCTGATACATGTATCAATAATAGTTCTTTCAAAAATTATCATGATCAGTTAAACCAGAGAAATATATGACATAACGATCTTGGTACGATGAAGAATGGAAGATGAATTTCGGATTCGCACATGAATTTTTTCAAGACTCAGATCAAGATTTCAGCAAAAGAATGTATTAATATCGTCATTTACAATAGTTTTTTTCTACCTTAAAGATAAATGTATATACAGGTACATCTGCAGTCAAAATCAAACTTACCCAATATAAGGAGACTAAGAGAGATATTTTTTTCGTCATACTGTAAGATTATTCGGCATTTTTCGAGTATCTTTCTAGCTAATTGCTTTCGCTCCACTTTGTATTGTGAATGCAAACGAAACATTTTTTCTTCTATTTTCTCTGCGTCGTAATCGATGCGCACAGAAGAATTGCAGCGTCACTAAACATTTATTCTAACTAATCCATCGATTTGTATTTCTTCTTCAATTGAAACTGACAAGACAACCAAGGTGAAAACAGTGATTTATCTGATCTCTATTATAGCATTCGCGGCAGTGTATTGCAATGCACGAAAAGCAGAAAAGTTATTTCACTCCATAGAGAAACGTAGAATTCATTCAATTTTAACCAAATTATATTGATCAGAGAAATCTGAACTAAATGCATAACAGCAAGCGAAATATTCAAATACCATCTCTGAATTACTCATTTGGGGTTATCCATAAACAGCGTTCAGTAAAAACCAGTCTTTTCTGACCATTTTCCTCCGACCGGTTTTTCCCGGTTCCTATCTACCATTTTCCTCTTCCAAACGCTCAATTAAGACTTCTTTATCAAGGTAGCAGGATGAATTTTGCAAAAACTGAACTAATTGCATTTCAATCATTTCTTGTATTCTTTAATTATAAAAGATAAAAAACAAAGAAAACTGTGTTGTTTAACGGTACTACTCATGAGAGTTTTCATTCTTCAATAAATTTACTAGTTGATCACACTGCATCATTTTGAATAAATTAAACTGATCAAACTAGACAAGAAAGTTACTCTTGCAACAAAATGACAATTAATTGTAGAGTGTAAAGAAACAAAAACAATATGTGCTCAGTAAAAACTGAGAGTGAAAATCTTCTTGGTTACCAGATAAAACCAATGAAACGTGTTTCGATAAATTTATACTCATAAAAGCGACGTTTCAGTCAAAATTTCAAAGTCATAGAATATAAATTTAGAGATTGTTTTACCGAACGTTCTTTATGAATGGGCCACTCTTCTTCAGTGATCTTCAATTACAATGTCAATTAATATTCATTAGTTCGAAACGAGTAAAATATCTGAACAGAATAACAGTCAGCATTATTCATTTCTTATGTGTACATCAATCTTAGAACTAACTCCAAATCTTTTTTGCCTTGAGTAAACTAAACATCTGAATCGAAACTTTGTTTGAGTCATTCATTTGCCATCTACTTGCTGATCATACAATTAATTTCAAATATTCACTTCGTAGGAAGCTAAATATGTAGGAAAAGTCCTGCTTAGAATTATTCATTATTCGTATACTTTTTGATCATATAACAAGGTTGTTGCTAATAAATCTATAATTGAAAATAGGAAATGAGAGACGAAGTATCTCTTGCCTTAATCTCACTTTATTCTAACTATGTTACTGGGGTCTTAATCACTCCCTTGAAGAGTATTTTGATGGACTACAATACTCTTTATATTATCCGTTAATCTATGGGCAAAAATGACTGGAATATCGCTAAACGGTGTCCCCTAAAAACTATCTTGCCAAACAATCAGCTTCAAAAATATGCAATAAAATTGAATGTTATAAGACTCGAGATGAAATAAAAGTTTGTTTGACTGGATTTCACTCATATAAAAAGCCATTCACCGAATCCGCTCACATAAAATGAGCTGGTCAATTCTTCCGAATCATTGAACTGTCAGATATCTATTATGATATAAAGCAAATTAAACTGAAAAAATGTTCAAAGACGTTAAGTAAATCTTAATTACTTTGTGTATATGGCTATAAGTTTGTTTGCATGTTCAATAGTTTAGTTTTATCGTATTATACCATCGAATACTACTCTTGTATCACTATCACAAGTAGCCAATTTAAAATGCTGAAGAAAAGTTTTTTATAAGTTGAACTAACTTTCTAAAGTACTAAAATATAATCGAGTCAGCAAAAGTATTTTTTTTTTTGAGTTTCTTTTAATATAGATTATCTACATATGACCATTAAAAGTCCTTTTTACTAATTAAAAAAAAGACTGATCTAGTTGTACCTTTCAAACTATGAAAATCATCGAATAATTATTCTTTTTATGTTTGAGTATTTCTATTCTGTGTTAACAGTTGGTAGTGAATACATGAGTCTTTTCGTTTCGTATAAATGATATGAAAGAAGCAATGCACTCATGGAGCGAAAGAAATTACTGATCATTATCATTAAATATTCATTTTTCATTTGCATTCGAAAAATAAAAACATCGAAAATTATGCGTCAACATAATTATACAAAAATTATTTTCAAACTACCAGAAACCTCTTTATGGCTGACCGACATGAAACGATTTATAACATCGTTTTATTTTTTTCATTCTCGTCATAAATGTAAAAATACTCTAATGATATGTGCATAAATAAATATAAAACAAGATTATTTATTCATTCAATTTTCTGTTCGTCGAAAAAAAGTAAAGAAAAACCATGGCTTTGCCTTTACAATTTTACGTCTTACTACTTGTATTAATCTATGTTGACACAACAACAAATAGTTAAAACATTGAAAAATTAAATTTCAATATCATGTTAAGAATTGTTTTTTAGATATTCAATGCGATACAAATGAAAAATACATGTGTGGACCAAGTTGTATTAAAACATGTGATTATACGCCTAAAATTTGTACGATGATTTGTCAATATGGTTGCTTCTGCAAGTCTGGATATGTGCGTATGTCTAATGATAGTGGAAGTCCATGTATCATGCTCAAGGATTGTTCGAAAAAAGCAAACATTCCAAAGTGTAGAATAAATGAAGAGTATAAATAATGTGGTTCAGCATGTCCACGTACGTGTAATGATTTCTCATATCCACTTTCAAAAAGTCCTCAAGCATGTATAGCAATGTGTATATCTGGTTGTTTCTGTAAACAAGGTTACTATCGTTCAAAGAATGGTCAATGCGTTGAGCCAGAAAAATGTTGTACAGACGACAATGAACAATATTCAGAGTGTGGATCGGCTTGTATTGAAACTTGTAATTACACACCACAGTTCTGTACGGATCAATGCGTTGCTGGTTGCTTTTGTCAGTCTACTGATTACGTTCGTAAGAATAACAGCACTGTTAGTCCTTGCATTAAACGTGCTAGATGTCAAAAATAATATCCATTTATCACATAAAAACAATACATTGAAACCCTTGTCATCGTCTAAGTTTAAATAAATAAATAATTTATAATAAAAATGTTTTTAATGAAGAAAATATGATCGATCTTGTATAACTTCAGATGCTTTTATACCTGAAATAGTGATATCTTACTTCTATCAAAAACATGACGTGCTATTCATGAAGACATGAAACATATGGGTGTCGGTGAATGTGAATGGAGGGTAGAATGAATAATCACATCTACGCCCGCACTCTATGAAAAAGCTTTCGGAGATTGCTGAAATTTTCGTTTTGTTAAGGATAAAAATATAATACGGTCACAGAACTGTTGGCAATTATTGAAAGTTAATAGCGCGAACTTCAGACTATCCGTAACCGTATATTATTATTATTATTTTATACTTATAAGAATATTTTTTTCGTAATAAATATTATTTTCAGTTTATGTTCGTGTTGTAAGACTATCAAGTGCATCAATTACTTGAAAATTAAGCATTCTTCCTTATTTTTATTAAATAAATAATTTGCAAGTATAAATATTTTGTATTACAAATGTATACCTATAAATATATGCTACATGAGCCTCTCCATAATTTAATTTTCCGTCTATCACAAGAAAGATATTATGCATTCGATATTACGTGCTACTTTTCTGCTCTTAATAGTAATTGTCGTTCAAGGAAGTAATATAAGTTTTGAAAACTTTTGTTCATATTCCTATTCCTCTACGTTTATCTTAGACTCATCCTCGGATCCAGTATGCGGCAACAATGAACAATATACATGTGGCGCAGATTGTATTGAAACATGTGATTACAAACCGACCTTATGTTCACACATATGTCGATTCGGTTGTTTCTGTCAAGATGGATATGTTCGTCAGTCAAATAACACTGATAGTCCTTATGTTAAACGTGAAGACTGTAACAAAACAACGGAGTCTCCACTATGTGGAGAAAATGAAGAATATCAAGAATGCGGTTCAGCATGTTCACGTACGTGTGATGATTTTTCTTATCTAACTCCAAAAAAACATCAAGTATGTGTAACCATGTGCGTATCTGGTTGTTTCTGCAAACAAGGTTACTATCGTGCCAATAATGGTCAATGCGTTGAGCCAGAAAAATGTTGTACAGACGACAATGAACAATATTTAGATTGTGGTCCAGCTTGTGTTGAAACTTGTGATTATGTACCACAACTTTGTACACTTCAATGTGTTTCTGGCTGCTTTTGTCAGTCTACTGATTATGTTCGTAAGAATAACAGCACTGCTAGTCCTTGCATTAAACGTGAACAATGTTCTGAATGACGTCTCTCTTTGAAATAACAAACAATTAAATTTTGTAATTGTTTAAGATGAACTAAACAAAAGACTAATATTAAATATATGTTTATTAATCAAAACATGATCGATCTTGTATAACTGCAGATTTTTTATACATGATATTGTAATATCTCACTTTCATACAAGAAATCGTTTTTTTTTCTAATTTCAACAAAGCATGATAATTATATTTGTGAGTTTAAATCAAGACAGTGAATATGTGCCATAATCGTTGTTTTTTCTTTTCCAAAAAATGCTTGAAACTTATACTGTCTAGAATCTACTTCTTTATGACAGTATCTCATTATTTTATACTTTTACCAAAAAAAAGTAAGCGTCTCTCTTCACAATTACTGTATTAAATAGTCTATACAAAGAAAAGCTTTTCATTATTTATACAGCATAAACCTGCCTGATTAATTTACTGTTATACTCTCGGTATATCATGCTATTATTTTGACTGTTATTGGCGACTACTACCAAAGAAGATAAAGTCAATTTGAGTAGCTTGACCCTATAACAGGTTATTTTCTTTTATTTATATGTCCAATTCATCAATAGCGCTTGTTTCTGGTAATCATGAAGTATACAAATGTAATATATTTTTCCTAAGACCCTATTATATACTGGGATTTTGCAAAGAAATATGCAGTTTTGACTGTTTCTATCTAAGTAGATATATGTTCGTTAGTCAAATGATATTAAAAAACCATATGGAAAACTTGAAGACCACGAGTGAGCACTTGATTATGTATAAGAGCAATACTACTTGCTCTTGCAAAGAAGGATTCAATCACACTATGATTATTCAGTTATTTAAATCTCGAAATGACATAGTGAATCAATCATAGTACTGATATACACCATGCAAATATATCTTTTTTTTCTGGATTAATATGCATCAAAAACAATTTCTACTCGATATAGGAACTAACCTTTGTTTATTTCGAGAGTTTTGAAGATTAGATGTTACGATAATTAGTCACGCTAGAAGTTGAATGTACAATTACGATTATAAAAGAAGACGTTGCCTGTTTTCTTTTTTCCATTATTATCAATGTTTTAAAATTGGCTTTCGACAAATTTTTTTCATTTCAGAGTCGTCAAAAGATGTTTTATCAAGAAAAAGAATAATTTTCGTTCATGTACTAAAAAAATAATAATTTCAGAGTGATTTGTATTTTACACCAGAAAATTAATCATTATATAGTTCTCTGTATTTATATATATATATTTGACAAAAAAGTGAAACAATGAATTGTCCTTATTTTGCCCAATATGAATATATCAGATGGATAGGAACAGTGGCTAAGAAAAAATTGTTGATAAAAACTAACTTCTAGAAAAAATATGATTTTATTGACTTAACATCAAATATTGCATAGTGAAAATTTTCTACTCTTTTGTCTAAGCTTTTTCTTATTTCCTAATCGAAATAAAGTCATTTTCTTCTAACAATATCACACCATTTTGATTTTTATCTTCGCTACTAATACGTCTTAGTCAAGGTTCTGTGAACAGTTAGCTTCGAAAAAACGTAAAACTTTGATTCTAGAAGTTTTTTATGTTGATCGCCCAGTAACGTACGTATCTAATCAAATAAATCTTTTCACTATCCATATGACCGAATCATCGAATCACTTTAAATTTATCCGATAATAATTAACCAAATAAGGGTTGCGTCTAGCAATTTTCTATCGCATGGTTTCAACGATATTTCGATTGAGAATAATGCAAACAAAGTCACAGATGACACACAACATCATTTGCGCCAGGTTTTCAGATGCTTGAAAGGGGTTTTTACAAATATTTTTTTAAAACATCTTCATTTAATGGGAATATCTAATATGAATTCTATTGTCTGACTTATAACAGATGTTGTTGATAGTCTTTGTATAATTATATAAATATAAGAAAGAAAATCTATATTATATTTTAAACTATCGTCTATCTTCGATACAAAATATGGTTTCGGCTATGTGTGTTTGTCGTCTGTTGTTGTTATTTATTGGTGTTGGTGTTCTAACAGCTCGTAAAGAATGAAAAATAAATTAATCTTGTTATAAATTCATTTTTGTTGTAGTCGAAACGGTGAAACTTTCGACATGCCCCTGTAAGCAAAAGGAAGAATCCATCAACGAATCATCGGATACTGAGACTTGGGACGATAAGCCGGTAGAGTGCACAAAAGATTGCGTCAATGGTTGTACCTGTAAGCAAAGAACGGTCAGGCAAGCAGACACTACTGAAAGTCCATGTGTCAAAGGTGAACACTGCTCAAGCGAAAAAGCTGAACAGGAATGTAGTGAAAATCAAGAGTTCCTTACCTGTGGTACAGCTTGTCCAGAAACCTGCAACAGCAAGCCTCAAATGTGTACCGAACAATGTGTTCAAGGTTGTTTTTGCAAATCTCCTGATTATGTGCGCAAGGATGATAGTCATAATAGTCCTTGTATCAAACGAGAGCAATGTTCTGTCACAGAAGAATAAGTTAATAATATTATTTTATTAAAATAAAAATAAAACTGCAACAGTCGAAGCTTATGAATGCACTTATGATCTTACTGTTTCTCATGGCTTACTCTCTATCTATTCTCATAATTGATCAGCTTCATTTTATATGAAACACTTAAAATTTCGTCACTAAAAAGAACAATTTCTAGAAAAATAGAATACATAACAGGAACAAGGATCCACATTTTTCATAGAAAGAGATATCTGTTATGATCGTATAAAACTTGCATTACATGTCACATTCTCAAGGCTCCTGTGTTCTAAAAGTTTATTCGAAAATTTTTGAGTAGCGATAACTTTAATGTTTGTCATCACTATTCTGACAGAAAGTTTTGTAAACAACAGAGTTATCGAACATATAAACGTGTAGAGTAGATAAAGCGTTAATGAATTTTGAGAACGTAATCAGTCTTCAATAAGAGGAAGAACTTAGAGGTTGTGCAAAATACTTCGAGTACATTGACAGTGCTAAAAAATGATATCGTATTGTTCTCTAATACATGTATAATAAAGCGCGAAAACAGAACTAACAACGATTAGTTTCGCTCACCACTATCCACTCGTTAAAGCAAAAGCAATTTTTTAAGAAACAATCAATATGATAGTAAAAATAGCTTATTAATCGATTCGTTTATGTCAATAGACATATTTTCAATCCTGCTTATGATAAAAATAAAACTTCTATTGTTTATATTTTTATATTCTTCATCGTTGAATCGATGATAGAGAAAGCGTTATATTTAATCTTTTGAGTACAAAGTAGTTCTTTTAAATATTGTTTTTATTGTGCTTATCAAGCTGTTGGTTTATAGCAATAGTGTTTCCTCAATAGACAGCTGTTTTTTTTATTGTCCTTGTTTTTATAATAACTTAATGATCAGAAAAGATGAAATCGTAGTCTTCTTCTTCTTCTTCCTATAAATATTGATTCATCTGATATTCCATTTGCATCAGTGCTGCTAAATTATATGCATGCATTTAACTATAACTCAAATGTCTATTTGGAAGATCAGTCATTATCATCAGTATTTTAACCTGGGTGCTGTAGAATAGCAATCCTTTAAAAATATCTTTCTTTCATTCGCTTACACAAGATTTCAATCTTTTCTAATAATGTAACCAAACTTAGGGTAGAAAAATACAAATATATTCATGCATTTCGTTGAGCTCAAAATGAACATAATTCAATGATGCATTGTATAGGAAAAATGAGTTTCTTATAGTTAATAAACTTTCGAAAAATACAAAATTTAAGCCTATAGATATTTAAACATTTCAAAGATCATGCTAATATGAATACGAATTAAATTTTTCTGTAAAAACTGCTGATGATCACTCATCTAAGCAAAGAGTAAGTGAGCATAGCCCATTTGGCTATTTCAATATAGACGAAAAAATAGATTCGAACATTCGGCCTAGCATTGGTCGATATCTGATGAATATTCAAACTAGTATCCGATGTAATTAACTTTTTTGGTCATGGTTACAATATGCATAGATCATAGTTCTAGTTTGTTAGAAATTCTTTAGGTAAACTATGTGTTTCCTTGACAAAATTCCAATAGATCAAGTCAATTAGTAAAACCAATGAGAATGTGTTGATATGAAATGGAAGAAAACAAATCTAATTTATTATAGAATAACAAAATTTATCTAATCAAGCAAATAATAGACAACTTAGCTGCAACTTGTAAGATTTTGTCAACGAGAAGTCTACTATAACTAATGTCCAACAAAGATATTCTTGTTAACCTTTTGAAACAAAGCAAGAAGAGTCATACTTTTAAAATTTTACTTTTTTTTAGCATTACTATTATTAATAATGTAAATTATGATTATAGAAAAAGAGGTCATTTGTGATATGAAACATCTAATCAGTTAGCAAAAATATAGGATGTGCAACTATTTTAACGGCTGTGACTCCTCGTAAGCAAAGTCCAGCCAAAATCACGATCGTAACTATCGGTGACAGTAGTTACTTCTGTTCCTAATCCTAACAATAGACTATCAGAGAACGACACACTGACATCATTTTAGACAACCTATATAGAAGCGTCACACTCAAACACCCACTAGCGAAATAAGAGCCTGTCAAAAACTAGTGACTTCATCAGTTTGAAATCTTTTCAATGGTATTTAATGCTAGTCTGAAGCATCAGTTATCCGGAGTGCGGTTGCAAGTGTGTCGTTGATGAAAAAACTAAAAAAATCTTTTTCTTTTTAATCAATCTGATTATTGATGGTGCTTTGAAGTATGGGAGATTACACATTGAGAATTAAAATAGATTTAGTGTGCATTGGCAGAATTGCATGTATTTCTCAGTGTACAGCTATCATCAATAGGCAACACCAACAATTGGAATAAAAGTGTTCTAAATTGGTATCAGAACTTTCTCGAACAATTATATTCGTTGTTAATGAAGAATTTAGCGTACATGCTATTATGATGAAGAATGTGATTACAATAAAAAGTATACTTGCTAGTTGATTGACTCAGTGTAAGCCTCAGAAAGTAATGAGAGCTTATTATTTGATATAGAACACGAAGTTATCGTTATCGATGACATATTACTAAATAAGAGCACCAATCTGATTATAAATCTTATCTCTATCGTGAGTACTAAAATGAGTGTAATTACTTCTTCGCTAAATAGGATTTATCTCACAATATGGATATTGTCACGATTAAAATTCAGAAACAGATTCATCAGATTGAAAGAAACCACATTGATTATTTACCGATGATAGTAAATGTCTAGAAATATCATTTCTTCAAAATATCAGTGTGATGCATTGGAGGGGTACCCCTGTTGCTACTCTCGATAATGATGTTTATTGAGCTAGTTCATCACTCCCGTCATATCTATATCAGTACCAACACACACTAAGGTATTAGTCACAGAAGAGAAGAGAAAGAGAAACATGTGCCGTCAAGGTCAACAATATGGAGAAGAAATCATATTGAGCTAAGAAGGCAAGGTCAAGTCAAGTCAAGTGTAATGATCAATAATCGTTACAATCACTACATACAGTATCTGATTTTCTCTTTACGAGAACAGTGTTTTCTTCAAGATATCCTTGACTGATAAACTATGAGTCGAAAAATAACAACAACAGAAGATTTCCGTCTTTACTGACTATGATAGTAGCTGTCATTATCACTCACCAAGACGTTAATGATTGTCTTGATTTCAGTCATTGCATGTTATTGTAGATAATTATAAGAAAGGTTATATTCATAACGTGTGAATCCTATTTTGGTCGAAATAAAATATGGGAAAAAAGTCGACAGATAAATATATCGAAGTGTAAAAAGATCGAAAGATAAAAATGTCGCCCGAGTCAAGCGTTGAAACAATACAAATTATCAATTAGTTGATGATAAACAATTCAATGTGTTTATTGCATTTATGAAATTTATATTCTTAAGAAAAAATGTTTTTTTTACGAAGAGCAAAGTTGAAAAACAAGTAGAATATGAATCAACAAATTAGCTTGAATCATACATATGTGTCATAATTATCTATTTTCTTCGGGTGTGTCCGTGGATAAAAGTGAAGAGAACATATTCACCCACGCCCAAAAACTTGTCTCAAATGTCATATTCTTACGGCTCATGTTTTCTAGATGTTTATGTGATAATTATGGAGTAGCGATCACTTTAATATTTAGTGTTATCATTTTCACAAAAAGTCTTGTGTACAACCGAGTTGTCCAACAGATAAATATACAGAATAGACAAGGTATATGAGGGAATTAAAAAAAAGTAATCAATCTTCAAGAGGAAGAACATTAGAAGTCACGCAAGATATCTCAAACACATCGGCATTGCTGGAAAATGATATTACATTTTTCGCTAATACATGATTACTAAGTACGAAACGAGAATCAACTATTATTTTGACTGAAACTAAAAAACATCATTGGTTCCACTAATCACATATTCATAGATATGTGATTATCCTTCACTATCTTCGAAGACATAGTCATGGACATCGGTCACTTCTTTTCGAGATCAACATCTGCCTTGATATTAAGTCTTCAAAATGATTGCTGAAACAAATGCAAGTTAATTATCAAGACTAAAATAACTTATTCGATGGTAATATCAAATTCATGATCAGAATTCACATTTGAGAAAATCAATTATTCGATTACAACTGTATAATAATGCAAATACACAATTGAATAAAATTTCATATAGTGTCAATGAAGATTACTGTATTTTCTCTTATCAACATATTGGTTGTAATATTACTGGCAGATCAACAAAGAACTTGATCTTTTTTATATTAAATTGCAATCTCACATTGTCCTATATCAAAATCATCAATTAAAAATTTGATTTGTTTTTATTTAGAGTTGTCTTCTAATTTATAAGCATCGTCATCGATCACCATATCAACATGATAGATTCGACTAGAGCAACGAATACAATTAACAGAAACACAGAAACGAAGAAAAAAAAACAAATGGTATAATAAACAAAAGAGAAGTATGAGAAACCGAAGAAAAAAAGGTGCACACAAAATTCTAGAAGACAACAATACAGAGTAATAAACAAATAAGAGAATGATTATGAAATCATTCTGAAAACAAAAAAAAAACAAGGATGAATATTATCGTACAATTAAAGACAAACAAAAGAAGAAAAAAAAACACATGAGTATATTCTCACAAACAAAAGAAAGTCATCACACAATACATTGAAATAAATATGTACAATATACATGCACACATTGAGAGAAAGAGAAACATCGAAAAATACTCGAACGGAAAGAACAAAAACCAAATACATAGAAGAACTAATTATTTAAACCATTGACAATACATAGATATACATCTGACAACACCGATTTATTGATTAAATTCCTATAGATTTTTTTATCTCCCACCACTTGTTATATATTGATGAAAATTAACACCAGGTGTAACAGCAATATCTCCAAATGGTTCTGTTTGTTCAACATCAATAGCTTGAAGTTTTTTAAGTACCAATAATGTATAAAATTTTTGTGCTGTTAATTTTCTTGTATGATAATTTGGATTACCCGATGATAAATGATCATGAAATGAAAGTGCATCAGCAGTATCAAATGCACGTTCAAATGCATTAAGCATTATTTTAGCACGACGATTTAATTTTTTACCTGATTCAAAATCCTATTTAAACAAAAAAATTTCATAAAATAAAATTTGATTAATAAAAATTTACTTCTTGAGCTGTTGTTGTTTGTCCATGTTCTTCATCTTCATCATCTTGTTCTTCTTGATTTTCTTTTGTTAAATGTCCCATACCTTTTTTACGTCTCATATTACCTGGTGTACGTGATGGTGATGGTGGTAATTGATTAAGTTCATGAACTTTTCGACCGCTTTTACGTGTTGGTGACATTGGTCCTGGTATAACATCCATAAGATTATCCATTGATGTTGTCATTGGTGGTAAAAATAATGAATCTGAACGTTGACGTTTATCAACATTATTATCATCATCAACACCAGGTGATAAACCACGTTTTTTCGAACGATTAGGTGATAAACCATCAGCACCTATTAATGATGGATCATGACCTAAGACTTCAAGATAATGATGATGTGTAGCACGCATTTGTTCAATAGATGAATCATCTCTTTCACGTTCAAGTTGTTCCATAGCAAGATCATGTTGAATTTGATAATTATCTGGTGGCATTTGATCTAATGGTTTTGTTACCATATTACGTGTTATTAACTAAAAACAAATATTATCCAATAAATATTATTTTAATAAATCGATTGATTTCTTTTTTTTTTATTACTTGTTGTAATGTTTTAGAAAAAATTGATGTAGCACTAAATGAAAATAATTTTTCAATACCACCGGTTTCTTTCAAATGCATTAAACGACGTGTTGGTGGTGCTAATTCAAGTACGCCAACAATATCTGTTGTATCACTTAATTGTGTTTTCATTGATCCACTATCAATTTCTTTTAGTTCATCAATAACTAATTTTCGTTTACGTTTAACTGCTTGTCGAGCCGCTGGTGTTTGTGCTTAAAACAAAAAGACAACAACGATTAGCACAATTAAAGTTTCAAACAAGATCTAGTTGCTGCTGCTAATTACAAGGAAATTCTTTTATTGCATCTGTCTTAGAACACATATCTTCACTATCCTTTTACTTCATTCTCCGGAAATACAATAAGTATTTCATATAATTGTAATGAACCGTCATTATTAGTTCCAAGACTAACCTGACGGGTTCTACTAACTAGAGTCTGTCCTAGTATGTAAATGGGTGCGAATTTCTACCTTATATATAGTTCCTTACTCTTTTTAAATCGTGTTTTCAAGAAATAATATTAACAATAAAACATTGCTTTTCGTTTACCTGCAGCTGAAATCGGTGGTAAAACAAATTCATCGGAAACATTTGATAGAAGTGTTGTATCATCAACACCTGGAATATGTCCTGCTTCCATATCCATATTATGATCTTGAATTGGTTCATTAGCTGGTGCTTGATGATCATCAAGTATCGGTAAACCTGGTGCATTTTCATCTTCTAGAAAATGCAAAAATAGTTTTTTCTTTATGATAAATAATTTAACAATTAAAGCTATTTACGATGGAATGGTGACATAACATGATCATATTGATCTCTTTCATTTGAAAGATTTGAATTATCACCACCAATACCAATAACAGAGGCTGGAGCGGTGACTACAAACAAACAAAAAATTCAATTTTTAATAACTTCAAAATATTTTAAATATATATACAATCGCCAAAACCATCTAATGCAAATGGATCATCACCAAGTGCACGACTTATATTTTGATCTTTACGCATCATTGTATCTAATTAAATCAAATTAAATTAATAAATCAAAAATAATTTCTATTCATACTATCGACATCAATATTTGAATTTTGTGCATTAAAATGAAGTGATGGTTGAAGTTTTCGAAAGAATTCAGGTTCATCAAGACCATTTGCATCGCCTAAAGAAAATAAAAATTAAATTAAATAAAAAATAAAAAAATTTTATAATTGATTTTTTTATTGTTTTACCAAAATCATCATCAAGTGGCATAGGTACACTAATAAAATCTTCTTTAAGTGTAATTTCTTCAGCACGTGCTTGATGCATTTGAAAACGAGATGGATCATCAATATAACTAAATATAAAATTAAATTCTTTTCTTTTGATTTTTCTTTATAGAAAAAAAAAAACTTACTCAATATTAAGATCAATTAAATCAAAATCATGAAAATTTTCTGGTAATGTTATAGCGGCAATTGAAACTTCACGTGTATCAGAATCTTGACCAACATGATGATTAGTTGATCCATCAAGTCCAACAATACCCGGTCGAAAAGCCATTTTAATTTTAATAAATGCTTCATTACAATCGGCTAATAAATATTTTGTTTTACGAGAATATATACGTACAACACCAAGTAATAAATGACCTTTTGTACGTAATGCTAATTTTAAACATGGTTCAAGAATTGATTCGCAACTAAGACGAATATCCGTTTCGAATATTTGAGCTTTAGTTAATTTTTTATCCCAATGTGCAGCAAGCCAAAGACGTGCTAATGGACCACGTTTAGTCAAAATTGCATGCGTATAGAACATGCTTACGGTGTTAGAAATTCACCGTACAAATGAAGAAGATAGATCGATTATTTAATGGCAATGCCAATGGCACAGAATACAATGTTTATGTTCTTTGTTCTCGTTGTCTATAGGAGACATATTGACAGATGGTGATTAGACCTTTACCATGTCGATTTAAATAAAAGAATAATATAAATTAAAAGAGTCTATTTTCTAAATGAAATTATTAAATTCAAATATAAAAGATTTTGTTTTAGACCATTTATAGGAAAAATACATATAGATGGCGCGCGATGTTTCTCTTTGTTCAACACAAGAATTTTTGTAAATTTTGCTCAAAGAAAGAAGTCTTGTTGTGTAGTCTTTCGTATCGTCGCAGATGTACCGAACATCTGCTACTTTCGGTTTACACATTGTTTCACATTTTACGAAGAACAATAGAGTGTACTGCATATACTTTGATGAATAAATTAATACTTTGTTTCCAAGATGATTTTTTCTTTTATTTTCCAATCACTATTTGATTATTTTAAGGAAAAAAAACAAAAATTAGTTTTTTTTTCACTTCAGAGTACGTCACAGGACGCCCTACTCATCCAATTGATCGTACTTCCATAGAGTTTTGGTCTTGTTGAGATTTTCCATTATTATCAAGAATGGCCAGAGTCGATGTCATACCAGCGGCTAATGTTTCGGCGGGATAATGATGTAACTCAGCTAGATTGGCATTTACTCAAAGACGAACGCATTTATCAATCATTGGAATTGATACTATATTGTTTATTTGTTTATATGAGAAATTTAAGAAAAAGCAATAAAAAGAAAAGTTATTCGTCCTAAGAATGTCCAGTACCTTTCTTTCTATTTTTCTATTATATTGGAAAATATGTGACAAGATTTCATAATAGGATTTTCGTTTTAGTAGAGCACCTATAATAGTTGGCCTCATATCTCATATACAAACAAGTTTGAAATATTCATGAAGAAAAAGAAATGAAAAGATCTTTCTGTAACGTTCCCTGTTTCAGTTATCATCATTTGTTAATACGTTCTTCGTGAAATTTCGTTATTGTACATTTTAATGTACTCTGCCTATGAAAATAAATTATGCACATATACGTTACTAGTATAAATAAAGTATGAGAGAATATTTGTTTTCGATGGAATATTATACATAAAAAGTGTAATGCGTATAGCTTGTTATTAAGTTGCGTATGTATATATGCATGACTTGTATTGATTTTGCGATGAGTTTTGTTCAAATGAGTTTATTTTTCGATCAAACTTTCAAGAAAAGACAGTCTTCTCATTGGTGAAATGCAACTAAGAATCAAGGTTGTCATCTCTTTCACTTTTTCATATGAGAAACTTTGCTTTATTTTTTTTATTGAAAAATTCGAGTCAATAAAATCTGTTAATGTCACGTAAATTGTGGTAGCAGTTGTCTACAGTTTATAATTGTCTAGATGATTCATTCTATCTTCGATTCCACCAAGCAATACTCAAGTCGCCAGTGGTTTTTTTTTCAAATAATACATTAGTTCAATGATATCTTTCAATTGAATGGCAATAGCTTTAATAGCTGCAGAGATATTCATTCATTGAAATATGTCATTGTCGCACAAACATATGTTGTCTCGAAAAGAATTGCTGCTAATCGAAAGCCACTCAAATATTAGATGCAAGTACATTGAAAAAATAATGTGTGTGATAAATAATGCATTATTTAATATGTTTTGAAAATATTGAGAATGAAGAAGTGCCATGGAAAGAAACAAAAATTATTCGAACTCATAGAAATGCGAAGGGTTCATAAAAACACTTTTTCGTATTGTTTCCGATTTTCCTACGTGAGGATATAGCAGTCCTGACAAGAGTAAATTGGTTTGTAATGAATTTTTTCTAATAGATTCAATACTATTCAAATATTTCTAAAATAAGAACCTGTTTTTTGAAGTAAATTTTGCTGGTCGTCAGGAGTGTGATGTTTTTCTACTAATAACTAACATGTATTTAAAGAATATATATACGTTTTTGATTAAAATCTTATGCAAATTACTTCCATATGACACACTACATTTGATGGTTAATAAATTTTAGTTCACTGGAACAAGCACTTCACGTGCAGGAAAATCAAGATCAAATTTTTCATCATCTGCAGGTGAATGATAAGTACTTATAATTGTATAACGATCTTTGCGTGCAAGATTTTGCGTGGAACCATGTACAAGTCTATCGGGAAAGAAGACTCCGCTACCACGTTTGATCGCGCATGTAACCACATCATCCTGATTGATATCATTATCGGCTATTTCATAGATAAATTCACCATTTGGTAAACCTTTGTTTATCATTGTCCAATCTTTTTTGTGACTACCACGAACTACAGTAAGTGTACCATTCTCGGCATTGACATCATCTAATGGAATCCAAACAGAAAGTTTCGGACGTGTATTAGGCCAATAGAAGCGATCCATGTGCCAAGGTGTGGCGAATGTTTTCTCAGTTGTTTTAACGACGATTTTATCGCTTAAAAACATAACACCATCCGGCATAATCTTCTTCAAAATAGCCACCAGACGAGGATCCTTGTGATATTGTGTAAATAGTGGACTTGCAACTGAAGCATGTACATAAACAGATGCGTCAGAACGTGCTTTTTCTGCGAATACTTTCTGAGCTTCCATTTTAAGTTTATTGCATTCTTCGCCATCAATTAAATCAGGAATAATAACAAAACCATCACGTTCATAACGATCGAACAGATGATCTAACGACATCAGGTAATATATCAATTAGTTGATAGCGATATTTCTATTGTTTTGTCTCTATTAGTTCAAGAAAGATTTAAACAATGGATTGAAGAATATTGTGCGACGACTTACTTTCTTTTATGTCTACACGTGAAAATACGAGGCAAAGGCCTTGTCTACACTAGAGAAGTAATGCAGCACTGGTTTAGAACTATATCGACATGTATCTATCCCTTATAGTTAATGCACCAATAAAAAGTTAGATTGTGCCCCTATGATGTAGTCGAAATGCATAAATACTACACACTTTTGCAAAAGCAAATATTGCATTTGTTATTTCCAAGGTCAATAATTCCGATAAGAACCTGCAGGAAAGACGCCGTTTTCAGCCAGATCATGATAAGCTCAATCAACATCTTCATGCTTCCAAGTTCCTGCTATTTTTCGGTCGCAATCTGCCGTAGCTCATTTACGGTCGTGGTAAATAATTAGAGAGAAATCAGCCCTAGTATCATTCTTTCTCTAACTTTATTTCACGTATTTTTATAGGAGCACATTTTATTTCTTTTTCATTAATCAGAACAATGTGGATTTGATTGGTGCATTAAAGTTAGTTCATTCCTCGAAAGTGCATTAAATATGAATTAAAATTTTAAGCAATGAAGCCTCTTAATGCGGTATTAAATTTTCTAATGCAAACGAGGGCCGAAATCTTATCATACAATAAAGAATACAAGAAAACGAAGCAAATATCAGCTTACATGAAGCGATCACTACACACAACCTATATTTACATACTACACAATAAAAAAAATGCAACACATGTTTATTTTGGTTCCTTGCTCTTTTTTGCCAATCGTATACTTGAGGTTATGCAATGTGTGTTATAACGAAAAAAACACTGTGCATTGATGATTACTACTAATGTATTAATATAAACCATATATCAAAGATTTCAGTGACATAAACATCATTATGAAGAATAATATGACAAAGTGTGTGTACTACACAGCGAGAAAGTTTTGTTTATCAGGATATAGAGTAATTCTTAGTTCGACGGTCACAAATTATAGAATGAAAATGATTTTGATCTATAATTATTGATTCATGGTTGATTACAATCACATTACTTAAATTTCCATAATGGAAAGTTATTCCTGCCGGTTTTTGCAAACTTTTACCGCCCATTTCTTTTTAGTTTTGTTTTTCTAAAGTTATTCAGGGAATGAATTCTAAATATTTACTGACGAGATTTCTACAACTTTAACAGCGCATCTATGCAAAGAATGGAATTATGAATATTTTACGACTAAATATCGTCATATTTTCCGAGTTGAAAAATAAGATTATTTTTGCTTGATTGATAGCTTTGCTGAAAATGAATGTAATACTTATGTAGTGTGAACTGTTTTATGTAAAAGTATATAAGTATTGAATGAGATTACTGTTTTACTGTTTATTATAATTGAACAAACGAGAAAATCTACTTTTTTTTCTCTTCTCTAATAAGAGCAAATATTTACATCGAACTGATATTACGGAAATGGTTCATTGGATCGATAGAGAATCTAGAATTTTACGAAAGGAAGGCGATCATAATCATCAAATCTCTTCTCAAGTACTTTAGCGACAATGCCAAGGTTTTTTTGGTCAGAAAGAATTGAGCCCCTCTTCACTCTATTGTAAAATCACCATTAACAACAAATTTAAACATTTTTCCGAAAGTAATGGAGCTCAGCTATCCTCTGCCTATCTTATGGCGTCGTTAATAGCTCATTTTTGAGTGTTTTATACTGAGAAAAATCGAAAAAAATTTGGAAAGAAGAGACGACTGCCTTCTCTGAAACCGCTAGTGGATTGAGTATCAAATATGTATTCTTTTCGTGTCAGACATTAAATAATATCTTTTATTTATTTTATTATGAGTGTTTTAAATACGTTATTAAGAAACAATGCTTCCAAACTTATATTAAAAACATACAGTGGCTTATCGTCATAAACGAATAAACCTTCTTGTTGATAAAATGACATATTGTTAAGTAGTATAATTTTTCTCTTCTAATGATAATATTCTTGTTAACTTTTTTGTGTTTTTATATTATATTATTTGTCGGTTAGATAAATGCAGATGCTTGACGATGATATACAATTGACGTAGGAAGAAAGAGAGATAATTTTCGCTATAGGATACGTATGATCATCATAACAGGGATAGAACAATCAGTCTGTCAGTCACCTTTTCCGTTATTCTTGTTTTTTCCTTTTCTGCATCATCTATGCATCACCATGTCGAAAATCAACATTGACGCGTACGATATAGTGATCTTTTCCATCATGAAATGCACTCAAGGTTTTTTCTTTTCTTATTATATATATATCCTTCGTATTTCTTTTTTTCCTTATACCAAATAGTCACAATAGACATTAGGAAAATAACAGTCATCTTCTTGAAATAGAACAATATTCACATCGGATGGCTGATGTAAGGTTTATTGTCATGGATATATATTTATTTTTTATTTATATAAATTGAATTTTTAGAAAAGAGCAAAAAAAGCTGCTCAACGAGCTACTAGTAATGTTTTTACTATGTTTGAACAAAAACAAGTCCAAGAATTTAAAGAAGCATTTGGTTTAATGGATCAAGATCGAGATGGGTCGATTTCGTTGGATGATCTAAAAGAAGTTTATTCATCTTTAGGTAAAGCACCAAAAGAATCTGATCTTAAACAAATGCTTGAAGAAACTGGTGGACCGGTGAATTTTACAAAATTATTAACACTTTTTGGTGATCGACTTAATGGTACGAAAAAAAAAGAAAATAATTTAATTAAAGATCTTTTTTTTTCTTATTTGTATCTTAGGTACTGATGCTGAAGATATTTTAATGACTGCTTTTAAAACATTCGATGAAGATACAAAGGGTTTTCTCTATCGAGACAAGTAAATCATTTCGAAATTCATTTTATTTTTCGATAAGAGAATTCATTTATTTTTAGTCTTCAAGAATTGTTAACTTCTATGGGAAAACCTAATGAAAGGCTATCCGATATTGAGGTAATGAAGCAAAAAAAAAATAAATTCATCTATTAATAATTCTTCTTTTAATAGTTCAACCAAATGCTTGAGGGTGCACCAATTGATGCAAAAGGTGTTCTCGATTATGCTGCATTCACTAAACTAATAAAACGTGGCAAAGAAGATGATTAAAACAATATGATTCATTTATTTCTCAAAAAAATTTCTTCCTGTTTGTTTTTCCTCTAGTTTTATTTAATTGTTTTATATAGTTTTAATTAATACATATACAATAGAATTTGATTTAATAGACAAATGGAATAAGTGTATATTTCACATGTGCAATATAATGTTCATAAGCACCTTCTGTACATGTATTTTGAAGTGCTCGATCGAAATAATGTGCTTTGTATATAGCCATGCCGATGATATAAAATGTATAAAGCCATGGTGCTAAATGATTTATACCAGCTGGTAGTGACCAACCAATGACCATAAATATTTCAGCTAGTAAATGAGGATGACGACACCATCGCCAACAACCACTTGTTAGTATTCGTTGCGTATCATTTACCATGACAGAATCAACTAGATTGGTATTGTTCATTGTTTGGAATGCACTAGAAATCCATGAAAATATCTTATTTAATAAATCTTGTGTTTTTTTTGTGGAAAAGAATAGAAATTATTTTTAAAAAGTTCATTTACGTGCGTTGACGCATAGCTAGACATTGTAATAAGAAACCAAGGATAAAGAGTACGACAGCCAGAAAAAGACTATATGTATGAACTGGTCGATTGCTGCTTCCAATATAAAACTAAAGTAAAAAAAAAAAACAGTTTTGTTTTTGGAATCATTTTTTATTATAGAAACGTTAGGTTTTAGAAAATTCTATAAACCTCGTACAGAATAGAAGTCTAGTCTCAAACTTATAATCCTTCAAAGATAATAGAAGCCCACCGTATTCGAACAAGCATAGCATAGCAATGTAAATTATCGAATAGATTAATTCATCGTTTTTCACTATTTTTTTTGTTTGTTCTACATGTTTTTTATTGACGAGCAAAACAGTTTATTTCTTGAGTCGGAAAGCATGTATGCATGGATATTATGGAATGATAGCTGATCAGAAACTGATGAGTAGAAAATAAGCATACTTCAATACTATTCCGTTATGGGATTACATACAGATTAGAAATAAAACTACGTAAGTCTTTATTAAGATAACAGACATATGAACAAATCTTTAACTGAAAAGTGAACTATCTTAAAAAGTTGAACGATCGTCGGTTGAAATTACGTCAGAGGTTTTCTAGCTCAAGAACAAGTACCAATAGAAGATGAGTACGATATCTAGTATTGAAATACTTATATGATCTTAGCTACATATTTCATAAAACTGAGAAACAGTTCTATGATAGTTACAGATTTACTTTATAATTCCTTCAAGATAACTGAAATATATCATCTCATATTTCTGAACTATGCATAAGCTTCTAAGATGACGTCAACTGGCAGAACTGTATAGAGGTTTTTTTCGCAACTCGTCCAAAGCTCGATAGTTTCTCAGAACAGAATATTGCAATAAGCGTAGTTTAACGTATCTATATTAAGATCCATGAAGTACTGTTGACAGATGAATGTTTAAATGAGAAAAGTAGTACAATGAACGCATCATTCAGGTTATCTAATATCAAATAAAAGTCCATTTTTGATTCATCCGTGATTATCATAGCTCGTATCAAAGTTCTCATTTACTTTTAGAACAATACTTCGTCAAATCATATGCACTTCTGTGCTTGTATGCGAGTCCATTCTATGTAGAAAAGAACTTATATAACAATCGAACATACAGAAGTAAGTGTTGCCATGAAAGGTACCCAACAGAGGTTAGTAAAAGTTGCATCGAACGATGATGGAGGTGAAATATCTAATGATTGACGTATCATTGAAGTTTCATTAACAAATACATTAATAATATAGATAGTTTGAAGAAGAATTGAAAGTGCAAAACGTATCGATATTTGACGATTATATTTGAGAATAGTTAAGAATAAAAGAAGATTAAGTGCTGGCCAAAGAATAATACCTGGACGAATTGAAAGAAATAAATGAAAATCAAATTGAGTTCGTTTTTGATTATGATCAATCCTATCATTAAATTACGCTGTTTAAATTATATGTAGAATTATATACTTACTCATTGATAGATATTGAATAATAATGAGAAAATAGTTTATTAGTTAATAAAATAAGACTAAATGTAAGTGCAATCCCAAGGCAAAATAAAGCTAATAAGTAATACGATTTTGTTAGTTCTCTTAGAGGAATTTTTTCTCGAAACACAAACATTAACAAACATGTAATTATAAAAGCCAATAAACTATTTGCACGATGTTTATAATAAATATTTGGATGAGATTCTTTCATATAAGTAAGTTGTTCTCTACCAATATGTGGAAAATATCGAGCAAAAATTAATTGTAATATAAACCATAATAAAAGATATTGAATAACAACAGTAGGATATTGTTGAAATAGAGTACGATTTGATGATCTATCTAGATCAGGATTATGATAAAAACTATATTGGATGTATAAAAATATAGCTATCCAACTAAGAGAAATAATTATTGAATTAAATGTTAAAGAACGATCAACAAATATTTGTTCATTATGGATAAGACTAATTTCTTTTGTTGTACGTTGAAATTTTTCGGGTAAACCAACATATTTCGACGGTAAAGCAACAACACTTTCATCCAAAAATTGACAAACATAATTATTATCATCAGTATAATCAATAATACGAGCTTTATAATAATTTGATGTTGATGGCCATTTAGCCAGTACAAATGTTCCTATTGGAATTAATGACGGCATTAGAGATTTTTTTTTCACTTGTATGTAATATAAATTATATTTATAATAAGCATAGTAATGGCGCGTTTACGTCATTTTTACGAGTCAAACGAATTTAGATGTTGCTGTTTTTTTTTGTGTTTTCATCAATGTCGAAAAAAAAAACATTTCAAAAGATCAAAGTTTCAATACTGAAAGTTTCATTGATAAATAAAAGAGATGAACAAAAAGTTTCGAGACGCTATATTTGAACTATTTTTCGCGTATTTAAATGAAATGGTAGTGTATTAGGATCAGGATTTTGTATTATTTCAGTATATATGCTTAGAATTTTCTTTTTGTAATTTTTGACTATTGAGCTATAAATAAATCTTGAAAGGAGTTCAAGAGAAACTCTCATAGACATCAAATAAATTTTGTAAATATATAGTACTTGAGAATTCTCTCTAAAAAATGACGCAAAAATATATTTGATAAAATTGTGTGACATGCCTTGAACAAGTTTCTTTTTGAGATTTTTTTCTTCAATTGTATTCAAACATGTTGACCATCAGAACTTTAGCTCGAAATGAAACGAATCATCGAAAAAACTTCGTACACTCCCTCACTATTATTTTCCAATACTCTTATCTGTGCTCTTTCTAAGGCCAAAATTGACAAAAATTAATTTTGAGTGTTCAGCGTCTTAATCGCTGGAGATTTTCTTGCTCATTCTGAATATGGTTTTTCGTTTCATTTCGAGTTGAAGTTCAGATATCCAACATCTTGGAATACAAACCCCTTATTTATGGTATTTTTCTTGTAGGCCAAAAAAATCGATTTTTTCCTCAATCGAACAATTGTTTTACTAAATATATGACGCGTAAAATTAAAGTTACAATTCGGATAAATAGTGAGATTTGATGCTTTTGATGTATTTCAGTTTTTATAGGCTTTTCTCTTTTGTTTTTAAACATAATTTTCACTACAAAAGTATCATGTAAAAATACCAACAAAACATTTCTAGACGTAAGTCGACGAGTTCTACCTAACCATGGAAAAAACGGCCGAAAGAATGTTGCTGAAATTTTGCATTGTCGTCATCTTCAAAATTAAACGTTTGTATAAATCCTTCTGTTCTGTAATCAACACGTTTCTTTTTCTTCACTTTATTGACACGACTTAGAAGATAAATTTCATTATATAACTACGAATCGTAATAATATTTTTTTTATATGATCAAATATTCATCTGTTATTTTCAAATCTAATAACTCATAGTCACTAATACGATTAATAAAAATGTTATTAGAAGCAAAGAAAAGTCAATCTCACTCCGCAACTAAAAAACAAGAATTAAAAGTACCCATGTGTATGTTACATAATTCAATTTCACCTTTGTTATATAACAGTCCGTTGCAAACCGTTCTTATCTATTTGTCTTATTACGAACTCATTCTGTCGAAAATAATATTAGTGAATGCATCTTTTATATTTACTAAGCATAATTTCTATTGGATTTGTTTTCTCATGGCCAGATCCACCATGTAGAATACCACCATTAGCTGCTAATTATACTATTGAAAAGGTTGGCATTAATGTTATTTTCATCTAAATTTTTTAACTTGTCTTTATTTTGATAGTATTCTGGTCGATGGTTTGAAATTGGTAAAATACAAACACCAGGTGGAAGTTTTTTTGAAAAAGGTTGTGTCTGTACACATATTGATGTCAATCCTACTATTGTTAACCTCACCATAGTTAGCGTATCAAATATTTGTAATAAAGATTCACCTGATGGTAAATTAATTATTTCGAAACAAACATTAACTAGTTCAATGAATCCTTCAAATGGTCGATATAATGCATCATTTTTACCTGACCTACCTCCTGTCGCTTATAATGTTATTGTTTTGAAAACTGATGATTATAGTGTTGAATATGATTGTATTCATGAATTTGGTATAACAAATTATTGTGTGCATATTTTATCGCGTAAACCAACATTAGATGTGACTATTGTTAATAGTATTTTGAAACTTGTACAAGAACTTGATTTAAATATGGCTAAAATTAAATATAAGCAAACACAACAAGAAAATTGTTCATATCCGAAATAAACAATAGAAATTTCCTTGTTATTGAATATGATAGTTGGTGATTTTTGAAATATCTGTGCTATTTTTTTAAATAAATTTAATGAAAAGAATTTTTAGTAGTTTTCTCTTTAAAATTTGATGATAATATCAATTATTTGATATTATTACAATATACGATTATATATTAAATTTATTTAATTAAGAATCCAGATAATATACAAATATAAAAAAATTAACAAAAAATATTACACCTGTTCGAGAACATCACGTTTAAAAAGTTTGATTAAATGAAATAATTTGAATGTAAGTTTAAGTGTGATAACCTAAAAAAAAAATATAACGAGTAACTCAAAAATAATTGCATCCTGGATATTTTTAAAATTTATTTTTAATTTTTTACTTGGTGAAATAAATCGTTTTTTTTATAAAAAGATACCGCTTGAAATTCTGTATAAAATCATATATAATACAATTTAAAAATTGTTATAGATATATTTGAAAACAGATGAAAAAGCATGACAATAGTAAGAATGAATCTGCAAAATTTTATCATTATTCATGCAGTGTATTTTCAACGCGAAGAATTACTTCACCACTAAAAATGATCAATAGCACTAACTCTATCAATTTATTGCATTATCCCAGTCGTCCACATAAAATTCAAGCAAAAGTGAATATCTCAAAGGTGAAATGGCGCCTACTTATCAAGGAATGGGTGTTAAGAAGAGAACAACCTGCTGAAACAAGACGCATAAGACTGTTATCGCATGAAGATCTTAACTACTTCCTATAATGGAACATCAAAGAGTCCATCGTAACTGATCTACACAAATAAGAGCAGGCTAATATTGCAAACTGTATGTTAACAGAATGTTTTTAAAGTTCACAAATGTTGTCTCCGTAAAGAAAAAAGTGTACATGTTAGTTTTGTGCGTTCACACTAAAGAAATATTAGCCACGAAATCTACCTGATTTATATTCATTAATTTGTAGTGTTTATGAAATAAACTGTCCGAAACTATAAGTGGGAACTACATAGCAACAAAAGCAATATTGATACACTAAATAACACATTCTACCTAAAAACAAGTTGAAAAAGATAAAATGTACATTCTCTATTGATTTTACTCTACAATTACGTTTGATCCCGATAATATAGACGCGACTATGTGTGTAAATTTAAGTTACTAATTTGTTCAGAATTTCAAGAGTTATCTGTTTATTTAAGAAAAAAGGTACACCGATCAAGCGAAAAACAGAGAAGAAATTTTGAAAAGATTCAGATTGCAATCATTTAAGAGTCACCCGTTATTATAATATTCAATGAGATAAAATCGAAATAAAAATTTACCATTAAGATAGCTTGAAGTGTAGACATGATTGTACTAATTAAGCCAATAACAAAAGCAATTTTCGTTCGTTTATCATGCGATGGATGTTTTACAATAAAGATAATATTTAGAAAAAGTTCTGCACATAAAAATATATATTGTAAATAACCTAACCAAGCAAACTATAAATAAAGATAATACATTTGGTATTAAAATAGATAGAAAAAGAATTCGTACAACATATATTCCCAAATGATGATATCGATATACAACGATCAAACCACATCCATAATAGACAATTGATAAAAATATTAGTCCGAGGGAACGTATTCCTTGTCGATAATTATCATCTTTATCTTTAATTAAAAGACGACTATCAATCATAAGAAGAATTGTACATAAAATCTAAATATTCTCGTGTGTTTTGATCAATTTAAAAAAGGCAGAAAGTCAAAAAACTCACTAATTGAATAAATAAAAGAATAAGAATAATTTTTCGCCAACGACAAACTTTTGGATTTGTATCTAATGATGATGATAATAGGTGACTTTCACCAGTTTCTCTTACTATTATTGATGCATTGTCTGTCAGTCTTTGATACTGCATGATATAACTTGTTTTGCGTCACTAATATTCTATGTGGATATATGTACATTTTGGAGGATATTTATCTTTTTTTCTTTTTCTTTGCACATTCTCTCAAAAACATTGTCAGAATGTATATGACTACAAACGGAGTCATGTAGCTCGATTTCTAAAAGAAAGAACAAACAAAAGAAATACAGATAAGTATTCTGAATGGTATGTTCGTTTGTTTATTTTCTTTGAAATAATATCTTGTATATCTATGCTCATTTATTAATGTTAACAATAGAACAAAAGAAATATAGCACAGTAATATTTAGGGAATAGGATTAGTTTGAAAATGTTTAATTGATTGATAATAAAAGATTTAAATCATTTTGAGACATTTCATTTAAAAATTCTTCATAAACTTTTTGTCGATTTTGAGTACGTTGAAGAAATTCATCATGTCTTTTCAATGCAAGTCGTGCAAATTTAACTGCTATAGGTTGTAATTCATAACGATGTTGTTTAATAATATCTTTTCGTTCTTGTTCATTTGGTATAAGAATAAAATGTGTATTACCAGCTATTTTTTCATTTGTGTATTCTAATGATATATCAACAGATGTTTGAGATATTATTGTAAGAAGATCAATTGTACGTTCAATTTCGATAACTTTTATTTTAAGTAAATTAATTATTAGATCACGATATTTATCAATATCAAGTTGAATGAATTGTTCTAAAACCCAATTAAATTGAAGAAGAAAATCATTGATAGCATTTTCAGCTTGAATTGATATTTGAATAAATAAATCATTAAAAAGAGTCCATTGAGTTTTTATATCTTCTATTTGTAACGTAAGACTAATATCAGATGTTACCTCCATTATTAAAGAATCTAATTCAATAAGAAGATCTTTTACTTGTTCCATTTTTATTCTAGGATTTTTCAGTATGGTTAAACTTTCATTAACTATGTTTTCACCTTTTTTAAGTAAATTAGGTAGATATGTACTAATGGAATCATTGTTTCCTTTTTTAATTAAGAGAAGAATAGTTTTCAAATGAATAGGAAAATGTTCTAGACCAATTTGAATATGATTTAAATCTGCATATAAATCTATAAGAATAGATCGGATATTATCACTTAGTTGAGAAATTGTTTGACGAAAAGAATTAGGACTTTTGATATATGTCGTACAGCGATTAGATTCTTTTAAAAGAGAAAAATCTGATTTTGACGCTTGAACCATTAAAATATTCAGATAATTAGCAAGAATTGCATTAGCTAAAACATAATCTTGCCATTGTTCAACCAAAACATGGTCATCAGTTTTTCCTTCAATTGAATTTCGACTAAGAAGAAATTCTAAAATAAAATATATATTATAAATGACGAAATACATCACTTTTAAGCTAGAGTGTCTTTAAACGAAAAGAAGTTTTTCGTACTTGATGTTATATTTAAAATGGATTCTCCTGCTAAATTATTGTCTGCTGTGCTTGAATTAACTGTGCCCAATAATACAAGAGAGAACACCAAAAACTTGATTGCTATATCTGGTGATAAATTAGATTTACCTCACCAAAACAATAACTTTGAAAATATTTAGGTACTCACTCATTTGTTCTGCTCTTGAAAGTATTATGATGTATTCACAGTTTTTCAACAATATATGAAATGCACTTAATTGCTATTGAAATAAAAAGTACAAAAAAGCTTAAGTATCATTGATATTCCAGGACGAAGTGACTGATATACTAAAATGATTATATGATTTGCTTTTTCGCCGATAAAACAATAATTGAAAATCGATACCTTTGCGACACAATTTTTTTTTCTTATGAAATAGATAATAAAAAGCAAAACAACAATGATTCATCTCGTTTTTCTTTTATTCAACCGATTAGACTTATTAAATCATCATATGATGTTTGATTTAAAAATTTTTCATAGTTTCCTCTTCGATTTCTATCACGTTCCAGAAATTCTGTATGTCGTTCCAATGCAAGTCGCGTACTTTGAACAACTTGTGGTACTAAATCATATTGAAATTGTTTTAAATATCGTTTACGATCTTCTTCTTTTGTTAAAGTAAGTAAATGTGCATAACCACCTATCTGTTCATCTGTATATTTAAATGATATATCACTATAAGTTTTAGTAATAACACCGAGAAGATCAGTTGTTTGATCAATTTCAACTATTTTCGGTAGAAGTAATAAAATAATGAAATCACGATTAGTTTCAGCAAATGTAAGATCAGGTCGAATGAATTCTTGTAAAATCCAATTAAATTGAAGTAAAAAACTTTCACGCGTTCGTTCTGCTTGTTTTGCTAATTCAATAACGAGCTCAGTTAAGTGTATCCATTGAGTTTTAACATCATACACTTGTAACGAAATCATTTCATCAGTTGATTTATTCGTTAATAAGTAATCTATTTCAGTTAGAAGATTTAGTACTTGTCCAAAATTCTTTTCGGGTTTTCTAAGTACTACTAAACTATCGTTTACTAGTTTCTCTATAGCATTGAATGAATCAGGAAACAACATTAAAAGTAAATCAAATGGTGCTTGTTTCATCAATAAAACCATTGTTTTTAAATGATCAGGTACACGTTCCATACCTATGTGTACACGATTCAAATCTTCACGAGCACTAGTCAGAGCACTACGCATTTGTGTAGCTAACTGAGAGCCTGTTTGACGGAAAGATCCTGGATTTTGCACATATTTAATGGAATAACCAGTTGGTATAGAAAAAGAAAAATCTTGTCTGGAAGCAAGTACCATTAAACTATTCAAATAGTTAACAACAATAATATTAGCAAGAATCCAATCTTGCCATTCGTCAATTAAATGTTCATTATCAACCTTAGGTTTAGATGTATTTGTTGAAACCAATGCTAAAAATAATATATGTCAAATTGATCCGTTCGATAGAAACTATTTTAATATTTTATAGAACTCATATGCAGTTTCCAAGAAAATGTTGAGAGTAAGATTTAGGTCAAAGCTTTGCACCTTCTCCCTCTCGGCAGTAGATCTTAGCCATCGAGGACAATAGGCATCAGACTCTTATTTCAGACTTCTTTAGCGACAGAAAAAGGCACTAAATGGCATGAACGGCTAGACTTGGATTGTTCCAGAGAATTCTAGAGCAGTAAAAGGTCTTCCTGGAAATCTGACTATCTGGAAAACGTTTACAAATATTCTAAATAGTGCACTTTGTTCTCTTTTTACGTAGATGAAAACTTATATTTAAGATAAAAAAAATGATTGTGTAGTCATGATCAGCTTATAATTTCAGGAAACAATCACTATCAATATTTCTCAGCTTCTCGAGAGATATGATTTTGTATTGAAATCTGGGATAGATATCATGGATATATAAAACAAGCGTATTCATTAGATAAATCAATGATTAAAATAGAAATCATGTGAAATTAAAAGAATCAAATACAAACAAGAAAAATAATCAGCACAAAGCAACGAGACAAACAAAAACAACAGATCACCATTAACAACGAACACATTTCTGTTCCAAATACATAAATAAATAAGACAGATAATTTGTCGGGCAATCGATCATTATTGGAAAACAATTAAAATCTGTTAGAGATTCTTCATTTTACGTATGTTGCATCAATATAACTAAGTTAAAGCACACATATGACTTCCACATTTTAGCTACTAAAGGCCTGTGCTAACACCTTTTTCCATTCAGACCAAATCCATAGAGATTACCTCTTTCGTAGTTTATCTTAGAATCAATGGAAAATTCTTTAACCATTGAACTCGCCATTATGAACCGGTGATTATTGGTTACAAGCCAAATCATTGAAACTAAGTTCAAAGTCATCACTTCAATCGACAATATTGTCACTATACTTACTTAAAAATGTCCACATTCTTAATAATCAGCAGCTTAAAACAATATTTATATTATATCTACAACATGAATATTTTTATCAATCTTTTATAGATTCAAAACTAGCATGTAGAAATTTTATTCAATAAATCCAATGCATCATTTCAATGTATGATTTTTTTTTTCTACTTTAAGCACCAAGAACCACGTCTAAATAAGTAGCATATTCAGCTTGCCGATCAGGACTTGTTTCAGAAAATTGGTTATGACGTTCTTGTGCAAGTCGAGCAACGTTTATCGATTGTGATAATAAATTTTGCCATAATTGTCGTTGGCTTTTTGCTCGTACTGATTCTATTGCAATACCAAGATAAGCTTTATTTTTATTGATTTGATCAATCATGTGATCTTTTGATACATCAGTGTATGTACGTGCCATCATATCTAATAGATGCGATGATTGATCAATTGCAATTGTCATTGGAATAAGTTTTTGAAGTAAGGCCAAGCGATCACTTTGAGAATTGAGGCCATTATTTGGTTGTGCTTGATTAATAGGTTCTATGAAACTATTATTGATAGTTGTTTGAGTGGTATCCGCACGGTCTGAAAACTTTCTGAAAAGTTTTATTAAAAGATCCCATTTTACTTTTATATCATTAGCATAAGAAGTTGCTTCCATCAAATAATCAGCATTTTCTTCCGATGATGATGGTGTAGAAAGAAGTACTGTAGCGAGCTCTTCTACTAATAATCCTACTGAAACAAATCGTTCGAGTGTTGGCTTACTAATAGCTGATCCTTCATTAGCAGCACGTTCAACATTATGTAAAGTATATGGTAATAATTTACTAAGAAGATTGTTTGGTGCTGTTTGAATCAAAAGAAGACCTGCTTTGATATGTTCTGGAATTTGATCCATACTGCTTCGAATACGAATCAGATCTTCATGTGCCACTTGAAAAGCAGTTTGCATAGCTGATGAAATTTGCATAAGCACGGAACGTAAAGATTGAACATTCTGAATATATTTAATTGTGTAGTTATCGGATGGTGTAAGAACTTGATCTTTACGTGATGCATGTACCATGAATAGAGCCAAATAATTGACTGCTGTAGGTCCACCTAAAACAAGGTCTTCCCATTCACGATCAACTTCAGGAGCTAAAGTTGTTGTAGTTGTAGTTGTTGTTGTGGTTGTTGTTGTTGTCGTTGTTGTTGTTGTCGTTGTTGTAATTGTTGTTATATCTGTGATGGTATCTTCACCTTTCAAATCGAAAGATTCATTTGCGTCAATAGGCACAGAATAGCTTTTGCCGATTAATAATATTCCAATTGAAAGAAAGATGTTTAATATATCTATTCAAGAGATCTATTTATTTTTAAAGCAATGAGAATAAATGTTAACTTACTCATACTTGTTCTTCAAAGGTGATTGTACAGCTGTTACAAAATTCAATGATTTTTCGTCAATATTTGGTTGTTATTGAAATCAATGAAATATATGGAGGCGAGGATAACATGTGTATATATATAGCCTATACTGATAGAAGCATCTGTGAATTTATTTTTTCGATTATTGAAGGATTTACTGTTCTAAAGACTTAGGTCATCATCAAAAGGGGCATTATAATAGTGTCTTTGTGATTGTTTTTATAAGGATATTGTTTTTCACCGAAAAAAAAAATCATTGGAAATGAAACTCCAAATGCATTATGAAATTTTTACTTGGCAAGAGATTTTTTTAAAGTCAAGGCCCACTAAAAATTCGACAGTGATACATTCAACGGTAAAATCTACAAGGTCTAGACTGAATCATCGAATTGATGGTTTCGAAATGATTAAAGCAGACGATTTTTCATCTCGTAATCTGATATATAATGATTGGAATATAAATTTTACTTTGACGAAAACATATGAGAGTTCCTGTTCTTGTTGATTCAATTGAATACATGCCGAGGAATTTAGACATATTCATAAAAGTCAAAACGCCCTCATTCTATAAGATGAGTGATGCTATGATTCGAAGAGAACGATAGGTTTATGAACATGTTCATTCACAGAAAACGATTCCGGATTAATTGTGAAGACATAACTGTGTATGAAGAAAAGTTATTGCTTCCTATCGAAACACAGTTTGAGTTCTTTTTTAATACGTCGCATATCTTTACTGAAAATACATTCGCTTTGTACGCAAAATCATGTGATTCGTCTAAGATAAATACAAAAACTAATAAAATATCATCGAAAAGTAAAGCTTTAATAATGATCAAAGGTTCGAAACATGAAACTTAAGTGATATGATACTGAGCCAGATTAAGCGTAGCATCGACTGAATATCGAATTTAAAAGAATGAATATCGTGAAATGAAAAAGATGTAGTGAACAATAAATCATTAAACTATTTCAACAGAAAGAAGGAAAGAGAAATAAAGCATCTTTCAGCTATCTTGTGGTATATAATGATGCATCGAGATACTTTCGTTAGTCCAATATCTTTCCTACAACTATTACTAGTTCTAACTTTTGAGAGAAGATTGATCTGATTCAGAATTCTTTCGTTTAATTACTTAAGCCTATCATACATATGGCTAACTAAATACTAATGTCTGTGCCAAAACTAAAGAAGGATTGGTGTAAGCTCAATAATTTGATGACGGCAACGGTTAGTGTCCTGAGGATTTTTGAAATTGCAAAGCGGAGAAACGCAAACAGCCTTATGTTTGATTCTATCTGACACTACATTATTTTAAAAACTCTTTATCTTCTGATCGACAGGATTTATATGACTCGACGGAATAGATATGGGATTTTGTTTATTTAACATTAAGATATAACAAAATAATCACCTGAATCGTGCCGTCAACTACAGATCTAAAGTTCTTCTATGTAAAGCATATTTCAAACTTAAAATTGCATCAAAACGAAATACGATTTTCATGATTTTTTTTCAGATGTTTTGCAAAGATGTTCGACTTTACAATGATTTTGTGGCATATATTAGACGAGAAGACATTCTCAATTTTTCTCTTTTGATGGTTGAAAATCGCCAATAACTAAATGCTGCCACCGGCAAAACATTAAAGTTGCATCTATCCGTCTTTACTTCTGGCATGGATATTACTTCGTTATTGATGTTCTAGAGGATTAAGGAAAAGAATGTTGAAGAAGTCTATCCAAAAATAAGTAGTATGCAGTCATCTCCTTGTGGTTCTTAATAGAAGCTACATTTTTTTTTACATTTCAATCCCGCAGTAATTGTGCTAACAGTTTTATCTAAGAAGTAACTTCTTTCTATCTGACTATTTATAAATACACTTCTGTAGATATATTATCACGTATTGATGTAAGTGATGGGTTGCATTAAGCAAGTTCTCAACATCCGTTATCATGCTTAAAATAGTGTTATCATGTACAATCGAAAGTGTTGATGTCGTTCATTGAACGCTTCTTCGTTTCAATCAAGCGCAAGACTTGCTTGCTGAATTCATCGGATTGACTGAAAATATTCAATCAACGACGGAAACAGATATTAAATGCATGAAAGAACAATGTTTTCAAGAAAGTCTTGCAACTTTCAAGAATCAAAACAGTCAATCAAAAGCTGATCTAGACATTGTTGGCAAAAAATATGCTAAAGCTATGAAAATACTTCTGGCATCATCATGAACACCTGATATCATATAGACAAGGATTTCAAAATCAAAATTACTCATGATTACTGTTGCAATAATAGAAAGTAATTTGTATTTATTATTTACTACGGTTAAAACTTGTTATACTGTATCAAGTGAACATATGTTTTATCAAATTACAAGTATTGGTAAAATTTGAATTTTACAAACAGATGAATCACATCATGTTCAACTTCTATAAGCATTCAATACTACATCGGTTACTTCACTAAAAATAACTTAGTTAGCATAGGAGTGACATAAACTTTACCTGCAAGAAATACATAATTGCTAGGCTGAATATATAGCTGATGTTAATGATTTGATGACATTTTGAAGTTGAAACCACTGTTGGTTGAATGAAACTTTGAAATTTTGGAAAACAAGTTACTGATTATATGTAAAAGTTTGAAAATTTAAAACTTGTCTGTAGTTGTTATAATCAAAGTTCATCATTTTGAATACCAGAGTAATCCAAGATACCTTTGAACATAAAATTATTTAAAAGTCATCTGATCATTTGATTTATTAGTTGATAAGTAATCTATTTCAGTATGAAGACTAAGCACTGGTTCAAAATTTTTCTGTTTTTTTTTTAAGTACGACTAAACTAAAGAGTGGTCCAGAAGTTTTGACCCTCTCTGTAAATTGACGTTATTTATATCAAATATTTTTATACATAGTCGTTGAAATAAGCAGTTTTGTAGAGGATGAGAAGAGTTATCATCTGAAAAAAAGATGATTCAAATTATGTCGCAGTTATGAAAAGTTATGATCATTTTATTTATGATGACTAAGCATTTGACATCTTACATTTGTTGCAAAAAACAATATATGTCTGTAATGTCTGAAGCGAAAAATCGTTTTCTAGTTCTTTTTTTCTATGGTTCAATGCAATTCGTCGAAGTTTACAAGAAAATGGATGTGAAAAATAATTCTGTTGCTGTTTACTGTACAAAACTAGGAGGAAACCAGAAAGCCTGATAGAGATTGAATACAGAATACATTAGAGAGAGTATGCTGAACTTTCAATAACTTTAGCAAATCTACTATTCTGTCTGTTTATAAAGCTCGGAGAGGTTATTGTCAGCCTTCATTATGTGACATTGCATCTCTAAGCATAAATTAAAAGTCTATAAACTCAAATTATTCCAAGTCGCGCATACTTTCTACTGCAAGATTTGTGAGTTTTTGATTAATATTTTTGGTTTACTCTAAGTTTTACATCGGAAAGAGTATCAGAGTATTTTTTTGACATTCATATTCTTGTGAAACTCTATCGAGTCATATAAAAATTTCTAGTCAGGAAAATGTTGCTAAATGTACACGATGCAAATCTTCACGAGCACTAGTCAGAGTACTACGTATTTGTGTAGGTAATTGAGAGATTGTTTCACGGAAAGATACTGAATTTTGCATATATTGAATAGAATAACTAGTTGGTATAGAAAAAGCAAAATCTTGTCTGAAAGCAAGTGTAATTAAACTATTCAAATAATTAACAACAATAATACTCGAAATGGTTCACTCTTCGTATTCGTGAATTAGATTCTCACTAGCAACCTTAGATTCAGCTGTATTTATGGAAATCAATGCAAAAATGATGTATGCTACAAATTTGATTATTCATTGTTCTCAACTGCGAAATTAAAGAACACAAAATGAATTCAGAGCTGGGCCAAGTACTCGAAATACTTGATAAGCATGTATCATATCAAAATGATGCTTAATTCGGAACATTGTAGTTTATGTTTTCCAAGGATAAGATGAATACCCGGTATCTTCTTTTTGTTCTATACATATCTATGTATCCAGATAAATACATATACGCCACACCATGGTACAACAATAGAAGTACTTTACTTTTCTTATTCTTTCTCACTGGTAATATAACATATAAGCAATAACCTACTGCTGTCTATATATTATATAGTTCCTTCTTTTCGTATACATATTCCTTCTCACTAAATAAAAAAATTCGTTGGTATAATATTAGGGCTCAGTTAGAATGTCACTGTTAATGAACAGAAGACAGATAGTCACACTCTTCTTTTGATGATATAACAAGAAATTTTCATTGAGGTTGACGCTTTTCTATCGGACAAAAACTGGTAAAATGAATTTACTTTTCATCAAGGAAAATCTTTCTTCTTCTCTTGATGAATGTCCTTCGAAATATTTGCCAGTGCCAACTACATCAGCTTCTAGTGAAAAAATATTTTCTCCAGCAGTTTTGTACTACGTCTACATCCTTCACCGTTTACCTCAACAAACTTATGTTTTTTCGATATTTAAGAAAGCTTCAGTGTAGTCTGATTGATGGGAACTTGGTAATGAACAAAAAAAAAAACAATATATTAATTCAGGACTGTTACTACGCCTCGGTATCGAAATTGCGACAACAGTTCTAAAGCTACTAATTAAATTTTCTCTAGTGAAATCTTAGGAAGCACACTCTTACGTGCTCCTGCTCGACCAAGTCCTACTTGTCTAGCTCTGAATGAATTCAAATAAGACTTTAAGCACATTGATATATTGAAAAGAAATTATTCTAATATTTTTTCTTCGATCAATCCAATAGAAATTACCTCATTCATGTTATTTTATCATAGAATCAACAGAAAAAAACACTAACCATTGAACTAGCCATTATGAACCGTTCATTATTTACTATAAGCCACATCATCGAAACTAAGTTGAAATTTATTAATTCAATCGAAAATATAATCATTACACTTACTTAGAAATCTCCACATTCTTAATAATCAGCAGCTTAAAACAATATTTATATTATATCTACAACATGAATATTTTTATCAATCTTTTATAGATTCAAAACTAGCATGTAGAAATTTTATTCAATAAATCGAATGCATCATTTCAATGTATGATATTTTTTTTTTTACTTTAAGCACCAAGAACCACGTCTAAATAAGTAGCATATTCAGCGTGTCGATTTGAATTTGTTTCAGAAAACTGGTTATTACGCTCTTGTGCAAGTCGAGCAACGTTTATCAATTGTGATAATAAATTTTGCCATAATTGTCGTTGGCTTTTTGCTCGTGCTGATTCTATTGTAATATCAAGATAAGCTTTATTTTGATTGATTTGATCGATCATGTGATCATTTGATACATCAGTGTATGTACGTGCCATCATATCTAATAGATGCGATGATTGATCAATTGCAATTGTCGTTGGAATAAGTTTGTTCAGATAATTAGAGCGATCGCTTTTGGAATTGAAACCATTCTTTTTTTGTGCTTGATTAATAGGTTCTATGAAACTATTACTGATAGTTGTTTGAGTGGTATTCGCACGGTCTGAAAACTTTTTGAAAAGTTTTACTAAAAGATCCCATTTTATTTTTATATCATTAGCATAAGAACTTGCTTCCATCAAATAATCAGCATTTTCTTCCGATGATGATGGTGTAGAAAGAAGTAATGTGGCGAGTTCTTCTACTATTAATCCTACTGAAACAAATCGTTCGAGTGTTGGCTTACTAATAGCTGATCCTTCATTAGCAGCACGTTCAACATTATGTAAAGTATATGGTAATAATTTACTAAGAAGATTGTTTGGCGCTGTTTGAATCAAAAGGAGACCTGCTTTGATATGTTCCGGAATTTGATCCATACTGCTTCGAATACGAATCAGATCTTCATGTGCCACTTGAAAAGCAGTTTGCATAGCTGATGAAATTTGCATAAGCACGGAACGTAAAGATTGAACATTCTGAATATATTTAATTGTGTAGCTATCGGATGGTGTAAGAACTTGATCTTTACGTGATGCATGTACCATGAATAGAGCCAAATAATTGACTGCTGTAGGTCCACCTAAAACAAGGTCTTCCCATTCATTATCAACTTCAGGAGCTAAAGTTGTTGTAGTTGTAGTTGTGGTTGTTGTCGTCGTCGTTGTTGTTGTTGTAGTTGTGGTTGTTGCCGTTGTTGTTGTTGTTGTTATTGTTGTTGTTGTTGTTGTTGTTGTCGTTGTTGCTGTTGTAGTTGTTGTTGGATCTATAGTGATATCTTCACCCTTCAAATCGAAAGATTCAGTTGTGTCAATAGGCACAGAATAGCTTTTGCTGATCAACAATATTGCAATTGATAGAAAGATGTTTAATATATCTATTCAAGAGATCTATTTATTTTTAAAGCAATGAGAATAAATGTCAACTTACTCATACTTGTTTTTCAAAGGTGATTGTACAGCTGTTACAAAATTCAATGATTTTTCGTCAATATTTGCTTGTTATTGAAATCAATGAAATATATGGAGGCGAGTAGGACATGTGTCTATATAACCTACACTAAGAGAAGCATCTGTGCATTTATTTTTTTTTTATTATTGAAGGATTTGCTGTTCTGAAAACTTAGGTCGTCACTACAAGAAGCATTATAATGTCTATGTAATTGTTTCCATGAGAGTATTGTTTTTCATCAAAGAAAATAATCATTGGAAAGGAAACTCGAAATTGACTAGGAATTTATTGCTTGATTAGAAATTGTTTTCAACCAACACATATTAAAATTTCATACTAATATATTCAACGAAAACAATCTATAAGGTCTAGACTGAATCATCGAATTGATGAGTTAGAATTGATAAATTGAAATTTTTTTTTTCATTTCGTAAGCGACCATATATAAATTGGAATACAGGTTTTAACACAGGAAAGCATGAGAAATTCAATATCGATGGTTTCATTAAATAGATGTCGACGAGTTAAGACATATGCATAAAAGCGAAGATATCCTTATTATAGAAAACGGATTATTCAATGATTCGAAAACAACGCTAGATCGACTAGTGAGAACATTTATACAAAATAATCAAGAACTAATTGTAACAAAATGCAACATATTCTTCTATGTAATACAATTGATTGCCCTACCATAGATATCGTCGTTCACTTCTTCATCAAAACTGAAAAGATATCGATATAAAGAAATATTAGAATCATTGATATTGATAGAAAACATTTTGTTAATATTTTTTTTTCTATTACTATTAAATTTTGAGTTTTCAAATAAAGACATAATTATGCACGATGAAAAATTATTGATTCTTATTGGGAGAAAGTTGTGGTTGTTTTGTTATGAGTCGTCTCGAATTACATATTTTCACTGAAAGTACATTTGTATTGCTCTAAAAATCTCCAATTTGTCGAAAAGGAATATAACAATTAATAAAATATCGCCGAAAAAATAAAGCCCCATTGATGATCAAAGATTGGAAACATGAAACTCAGGTTCCATGATACTGAATATGATTGAATGTATTATAAAATGAATATTCAAAATAAAAGAATGAATATCGTTAAACAAAAAAGAGGCTATGAACAATCAATAATTAAACGATTTCAACAGGAAGAAAAGAAGAATAGGCTATCTTTTAGCGATCTTCCAGTATAGGATACTGCTTGGAGACACTTTTGTCATAGATGTAAAACTTGTAGAGTTGTTTCAACTATTCAACTATTAAAATTTATGATTCGAATATTCAAGAGAATCTCCTAGTGTCCTAAAGAATCTCAAAGCATTCTCTGGAGATATTCCAAAAATCTGAGGGTCTCTAGGGATTCTCAGAAGATCTTTGTTGGATCTCCTATGAATCCCAGAATATCAGTCAGACGGACAACCAAATATGACTGAGTTAGACAGATAGCTGATTGGTATAACATGGACTTCGAGCTCATAAAATTTGTATTTCATCTTTACGAATTGTAATAGGTGTGGACATCACAAAATTTGAAAACGCTCAAGCACACACAAACGCAACTTGTAGCACTCTGCTTGGATACCACAGACAGAATAATTGAAAACTCGATTTACAGATTTTTGAAAGTTGAATAGTTGAACAGTCGTAAAGATTTAACGATTTCTACACTACTGTCATTGGAAAGTCACGCTTACTGGTAGAGACGAGGGACTTGCCTACATAGTTAACTGAGAGTAGTTCACCAGCCATTAAATAAACCTATTCACACCGATACTATTTTGTAGTGTGAGCTGATCAACAAGTTTATCATCAATAATTGATTCATACGGATAGTTATCACCAGAATGAGACAAAAACCTATAGACAAATTTTCGAAAATGAATCGTCTATCTAGATTTTTTTCATAGAATATAGAATCTTTTCAAATCTAAAAAAGTATTTTTTTAGAAAAAAGTCTATCTGTGCAACTCACCACCTAATGAATCATCATTGTTTAATGATTGCAACAAAACTTCATTATCATACATTTGTGCAATAGCAAAGGGTTCACCATAATCCCTAATAACTACTTGTTGAATGAAGGGACCACTGAATGGATTCAATTATTTATCCGAAGATAGGAAAGCTGTGTGAGTAATGGAAGTGCCATAAACATCATTAATCATTACCATGATCAACACCAAATATATCAATGAATGTGCTGCAATTAAAATATATATTTCGTTAAAGAGAAACAGCTGTGTAAACATTGATGAACTTTCGATCAATGTTTTTAGGTCTAACGTAAAATATGCTTATATTCAATCATAAAAACTTACATTTTACCATCATGTTGACGATTAACTCCTACAATATTATTTTTGCAAGTGGTAAAACCTAACGAAAAACTTTTTTTTTTTTCATAACGTCTTATATATTGAGTTGTTAATATAATGTGATAAGAACAACTACAGGTGCAGAAGCAACAGAGTTATTCTCATGGATTATGCATCCATTGATCAGGTTCTCATCATGGCTCCATCTCTTGTGTGTACTGGTATTCGATAGAAATCTGTAGTTTCTGAATACAACACAATTTCAGCGAAAAATTTACATAGTTTGATCGATGAGAATACTCATTACCTATCACAGCTGTTTTTTGTCAATCAACTATGCACTCATATAAGAGATGCAAAATTTGTTTAGGACAAAAATGCAGTATGCTTGAATTGTCAATATTACAATTAATAAACATGAATTCAAGTGTCTATAGATAATTTCATCAAAGTTCAACATTTTAAATAATAAATAATTAAGCCACTATAGTGATGCCGCTGAAAATAAAATTATTTAAGAAATGCTTTTATCGGATAGTGGTTATTGAAATTCGTTGAATATTAATCAGAGGTAGTCGATAGATAACTATCAGTCTTATGCTCTGAAAGTTTTTAGAACGTTTCCGAATTTATAGAAAAGTATTCAGTTGTTATTAAAGAAAGTATTTGAAAATTTTTAAGTCAAGAATCAAATGCGGTTTGTTTTATTCGGCATAAATCAAATCTAACAAGACAAATATAAAAAAAACTTGAACATACGCAAAAACTTGTTTTTCAATAATAATATAAGAAACTTTTTCAACAAAACATAAATCGGTTCTAATACAGTAACAACAAAAAAGAAAAACAAATGTTTGTTGAGTTAAAATGAAAAACTATCTGTATATAATTTAAATCTATTTATTTTTTATTGACCACCATAATAATAATCAACAAAATGATGTCGGTATAATATTTCCAAACAGAGTTTTTCATTAGTATTAAATGTATCGATGATACAGAGCGATTGTAAATATGAGTGAAACGATACATTATTATGTGAACGATTTCCAAAAAATGTTTTAATTGAATCATGTTCGATTTCGTTGCTATCGATTTTGTTTAACATCAGTTCAAGTAATGTATCATAATTGATATTTAAAACATTGGCTTTATTTTTAATTATTGATTCCATTTGATATAATATATTAATATTAAAATTTATTGGATAATTAGCTCGATTAAAATCAGCTATTTCCCAAGATATAGTGTTATTATGGCCATGTAATAAGCAGGCATTGATAATTGCTTTTGTATAATAAGAATCAGGAATATTTTCATGCATCATCATTGTTCGAATTTCTTTAATCGTAGGTATTAACATTTCTGCAATTGTACGACGTTTTATTGTTTCTTTTCTTTCTTTTTGTAAAAATTCAATTTGACCTTCTAAATCTTGAGTTCGATTTTCTATTTCTAATATATGATTTTTCATTGTTTGATTTTCATTTAATAAATCAAAAAAAATCTTCTTAATTTCATTAGTAAAATTGTCCAACTTCAAACCTTGTTCGTGAGTAATTGAACAATGTTCATTTACCAAAAAAAAACTTCATCAAATAAATAATAAATACGTTCAGTAATTGTTAATGATTTGTTATTTATTGTTTGAACAAATTTGTCATCCGGAATATTTTCGATCGCTTGTTTTAATTCATTAAAAGCCGGACATTGTTTTCAAATGTATAACGGCATAACAGAAATAACTGTTTGTTTAAGTTATTTTTTCCTTTTTATTATTCCAAGTCTATAATTTATAGATGTGACACTATGCTATAGATAATATACTAGTATATTATCATAGTAATATTTCAATGCACCGTTTATTAATAAACTTATGCAAAAAAGAAATAATTGAAAATAATTGTTAAACGAAGAAAATTCTGTTTTCTGTTTATATATTGAGTTGTCTCAAATTGTCGAGCATCATATTCATCATTTACTTCTGGTGATTTTAATACACTATCAACATCGCCCTTTCTCCATTCTGGGTTACATGTTGGACATGGATAAGTACTTTTTTTTATTAATTGTATTATTAGTATAATTCGATAATCGAAGGAAATATCGAGCAGCACATAAACGATGCATTTGAACATCACTGTAAAAAAAGTAGGTGTTCTACCGAACTTTGAAGGTTTCGCACTGTTTTACGAAACGATTTTAAGTTCCGTGACATGAAAATCGTTTCGTAATTTTCATACAGAACCTTTTTAAGTTCGGAAAATTGAAGAGGGTTTCTAAGTTTTACTACGAAACCCTCTAGAAGGTCCGTGCATCGTATACTGAACTTTCGGTACTTTCGCATCTTTTGTACAAAACCGGTGACAGTTCCGTATAGCATGCAAATGTTCCGTATAAGTCCTACGAAGCCATTCATAGTTTCGTAATTGCTCTAATAGTTCCGAACACATTGTACGAAACTATGAACAGTTTCGTACAATGTATGCTGAACCTTTTGATGTTTTACGAAACCACTGATAGTTTCGTGGAACAACTAAAGGTTTCGCATATCGTATACGAATCTATCGAAAGTTTCGTAAAATATCAAAAGGTTCAGCATACATTGTACAAAACTGTTCATAGTTTTGTAAATTATGTAATGCTTCGGTATGTCATTTACGAAATTATGGCTAGTTTCGTACAATGTGTCCGGAATTATTAGAGAACTTACACAGCTATGAATGGCTTCGTAGAACTTATACGAAATCTTTAGATACTCTACGAAACTGCCAACAGTTTCGTAACATGTATACTGAACCTTTAGATAATTGGCAAAACTGTTAATCGCTTCGTATAGCTTCTATGAAACCATTATATGGCTTGAGGGTGTGGATGTGGATATTCTCTCATTTACGCGCACACCCAAATCCACACTCACCCACCCACACCCCACACCCACACCCCACACCCCCACACCCACACCCCCACACCCACACCCAACACCCAAAAAAACAGAAAAAATAATTCTGTTTGAAATATAGAACTAAGTAAGAGAGATTCTTTCAGAGAATTATCGATTCCCTCTTGGAAACAGCAAAGGTTAGCTAGAAATGTTTCACTTATTTTGTATTAGTATAATGAAGCTTCTTAAGATCACACATTAGTTCTACATTTTAGTTCTAAAGTGAATTTATTGACACATTTTTTTAATTCGCTTCAATAATGATGCATGCTAACTGTAAGAATCAAACAAATTAGCAATGCAGTTTTATTTATTAAGAATATAGGATTCATCCATGTTTTTCAATCATTTTGTGAATATCAACGAATACTAACTATTAACTTTTCTTGCATCAATTCGGGCTAACAGTTGTTCATATTCTTTACGACGGTTCTCCATACGTACAATATATTGATTTTGTTGGTCTTGAGCTAATTGAATGACTTGTGTTGATATCAAAGCCATATTGAAAGAAATTTCACGCAAATATGATGATTGTTCATCATTTGTTTGTAAAATGAGTAAATTAATACTATTTATTTGGTTGATTATATATTTCGAAGAAGTATCAACGTAAGATTTAGACATTGTATAGAGTGAATCAGCTTGTAATTCTATGTCTTCGCCTACTTCAATGAGAAAGATAAGGACAAGTTCTTGATCCAATGAATCGAAGTGGAAATTATAATTATTTGAATCTTTGATGATATTAAGAAAATTTTGAATTAAACCCTAAAGCGTAAAAACAAAGAATAATATGAACAAAATTTATCAGCTTTGCATAGAAACTCGAAACTTAAATGAAGTACAAAATTTTGTTTTTCTTACATTTTGTAAATGTTCAACGTGTAAAATGAACATGTTAAAGAATAGCATTAGTCTATTCCATTGGGTTTTAATATTATTGATTTGTATAATAGAGTTGAAAAGAATGTTGATAATTTCTTGATCGTTCTCTCTAGAAACAACATCAGCCACATTATGCAAAACACGTGGTTGTTGCGATCGAATAATTTGCTGAATGGTTTTAGTATTATACTTTCCAGATTTTCTTCCTATTTTTATATGTTTCGCTTTTAAGGAAGCGTTATGTTTCGTTGTTCCCGCTGCAGTAGGATTGGCCTTCAGTATTGCTTGATTTGTATGATATAATTTCGAAGCATAACCAACTGTAGATAGAGAAGTATTTGTTTTAGTCAAACTACAATTACCTAGTAAAGCCATCTGAAGGTTACGATATTTTTTTGGTGTATTCTTTACAAATAGTCGTTCATCTTCGTATGATTCTTCATTGAAAATACCACTCCTATCACGGTCTTGACTATTAAATGTTGATTCGATGATATACAATTGTTTTTTGAGATTGCTGTTCATATGACTAGAATGAGTGGCCATGCTTATTTCCGAAACCTCCGAAATCAGTTCACGTAAAGAAAATAGTTTATCAACTGTTGTTCGTGTATGTGTAACACTTTCATTGGCTATTCGATTAATATCCTTTAAGATTTTTGGCAGCATGAGATCAGTAAGCTTGGATGAGTTTGAAGTGAGTAACTCGACAGCTGTTCTGATATAACTTAATAATTGTTGAGCATTGTATTGAATACGAAGCATTGCAATGTGTACATTAAGAAGAGTTGAATAAGCAGTGTCCGATATTTGACAAGAGATATTCGCATATGATACAACTTATTTAAAACGATATATAACATATTAATTACTTGAATTCGTTTCGATTGATGAATAATCGAATAATTGTCGCTTGAAATGAGTTCAAATCTTTTATGTGTCTAAGATTTATGTTTGATGGGTGAATAAATGGAAAATCACGTTTACTAGCATATACAAGTAGACTATTCACATAGTTCATTGCAAGTGGTCCAGCAATCAATAATTCAATCCATTCACTAGAGGAATTCTCTTGTTGGTCAAGCTGATCATTTATAATCAATTGATGAAAGTTTTCACTGCCAGAACGAAACAATGAACCTACAATATACTTAGAAACTTTATTTTAATCCCAAGTTCATTATCAGATTTTCGATAATAGAAAAAAAGAACATACATTCAAAAGAAACGAGCTTATTTACACTGCAACTCACCATCCAGTATATAATTATGATCTACTAGTTGAGATAGAGCTTCATTATGGTCCGTTGATGAAATTATATTGAATTTACTGGGATTTATAGTCAAAGGTAAGATGTTCATATGAGTTTGTGATGGTTCACATACAACAGTTATCCATGCCAGTGTAAGCCCTAAAATTAAAGATATCAAAAAGATTGTTAGCGCAATTCCTGCAGAATTAAAGTATGAAGCACGATGTAGCTGCCGTTGTTAATCTACAGAAAATTGTTGTATTCTATCTATTTTGAAACATATTCCTTCAACATTCTTTTCCTTAATGCTACGAATTAGTTCATTTATTATAAGAAAATGTTATTGATATATGTTCTTTGCTCGTAAATTAACTACGGCAATCAAAATCTGTGATGAGCCACTTCTACCATGCCTTTCATGGTCTTTAAAGGAAGAAGGGGCTACAAATTTTTGTTTTATATACTAGAACATTCCTTTTAGATAGTTTTTTCACAAAAATCAGAATATTTAGATTTGGTTTCGTAATAGAACTAAAATGTAAAATAATGTCAAACAAATACTTACAGATGATTATCATTTTGACGACTATTCAAATCAATATTATTTAACCAGAACAATGTTTTTAACAGCAGAAAGATTTTTATTATTTGCTTCTCACATAATAAATTAGAGACGAGAACAGATGTGTACTCAGCAGAAATTTATTCCCATCGAGCAAGTCATTATCAGTTATATTGTCAGTAAGATTAAACCCATCGCTATTTTTTAAAGCGAAAATCTCTTATCTAATGTCTGCACCATAATTGAAAATGATTGATTCTAAGCTGAATAATTCGACAAGGACAATAGCTAACGACCTGTAATTTTCACTAATTAAAAGAAAAAACTCTAGACATCCTTTTGTCTGATACTATATAAGACAAGTTTATTTTAACGTTCATTATCTTTGCAAAACACTCATAAAATGCATGAAAATGGTGTTCCGTTTCAATGTAATTTTTATTTTAGTATATGCTTCAGATCTATGGCACTCGACAAGATTCATGTGATTATCTTCTTAAATCTCAATGTTGAAAAAAACAAAACTTGCCAGATGTTCATTTAAATTTCATTGAATTCTGCTTTTTTTGTTTTCTAATGAAAACTTCTTAGAAATAAGACATGGTTTTCATGTCAGTTTTTCAATTGTTTGCGAAGACTATTAGTTTAATCTAATCTTACTTAAAAAAGTATCAAACAATAAGACATTCACAGTTATCCTCTCTTGATTGATAAAGATCACAGGTCGCTAGTTGTTGTCGTTGTCAAGTTATTGATATTACATCTACGCCTATTTAATTCGAGCGCTGTCACTAGAAAGAATATTTTATTTATCAACAGATTAAGTGCTTGCATTAGTCTATAGCAATATGCACAATTACTAACAAAAACTGTTTCTTTTCTCTCATAAATAATAGTACGAACAAACCAGTTAAATTTGTATATGCCATTAGTAGAGAGAAATTATAGTTATTTTAGTGGTTGTGATAATTTAAATTTTCAAGATTATTTCATAAATAGCTTGTTTATTTTACATGTTAGTTTTCATTCGATCTTTAAGATCAATTTAGAAAAAAATAACAAATTTAAAAAAATAACTCATTCAATTATTTTTAATTCAATATAATCACACATAATAGTGTATTTTCTATATGGTATTTGCCATATTCTTAAACCAAAATAAACATTTGATAATTCATAAACAGTAATAATTCCCATTTGTTCTTCGAACCATCGAGAATCTTGTTCACTATTATTATTTGTACTACTATTAATAACATAATGTAAATCGAACCAATCTTGATCCCATTCATATGAACTCATCATACCAAATTCTGGTATACATGTAAATTCACCTGTAAATTGATCTTCATTACTTGGTTGTTCATAACGTACTAAATTTAATTTCATTCGACAAATAATTGCATATCGACCGGGTATAATTGAATGAAATTCTCCACGTATTGCTGCTAACCATTTCGAATCAAGTATTGCAACAGTACCAAAATCACTTGTTGTATCACTAATTCTATTTGGATGATGTATATTAGTAATTCTTGTTATATCAAAACAAACATATGATGCAAATGCCAATGATAAACGTATTCTTTTTGATAAATAATAATAAATAAGTTTTGATAAAGTTGTTTTTCTATGATGATGAATTAAATTACGAAATATATTTTCATCAATAGCCATTTTTAATTTGGAAGATAATTTTGGTATATAAAATTTTGCTCGTTTAGCAGCTGCAAAACCTCTCAAATTTCCATTTTGTGCACCAGTTATAATAAGATTCCAACCGTTACGTAAAATTGCTGGTGGCAATTGTGAATATTGTTTTTCAAATTCAATTAAGTATTTATTTGATAAACATAAATTATCACAACTATTTTTATTTGAAAATATTTCATCACAATAACGTTTTAATAATATTGAACCATAACGTATTCGAATTAAATGTCTCCAAAAGGAATCTTGTTCAAGAACATTATATAAATTATGATTTATACTTGATAAATGAGTAATATCAGTTATTTTTGGTAAATATTCACAGATTGAATACCATACTATATCAGGAAGAGTAGTCCAATCGAAACTCATAATGTCAGATTATTCCTCGTTTTTTTTTTATTATTGTCTATCGTTTTCCGGATACATATATATATATTAGGTTACGAATATGCCTTTAGAAAGTACAAACAGAACAAAAAATACAGAAAAAAAGAACAAGAAGAAGAAGAAGAAGAGACTTGTTTTCTTATTCTTAGCAGAGTCAAAGTATTTTTCGTTGGTTGGAGTATCATAACACATTATTTGCGCTCCATGCATGTCAATGCATAAAAAACAAATGTTATCAAAGTCGATAGATGTGGCTATGAAACGATTTATGCTATATAATGCCATCTGGTTGACCATGATAGAAATATTTGAAAAATACTATTTCGCCAATGAGTATTATTCCAAAAAATGCTATACCTAAGCCCATGCCTAGTTGTGCTGAACGAGTTGGTGCCGATTCACCTACTCAAAAATATATGTTATTTTCTTTTTAAACAGAAAAAGAAAATTTTACCTATCAAAAGTGTTCGCATAGAACTGCTTGGTGGTATTGGGTCAGTCACACTACTCGAATTAGTATTATTGTCAGTAGTTTTCGTTGTTATACTATCAATTATTGTAGCATCAGAAACTACTGATATATTGTTCCAAGTAACTTCACTATTAACTAAAAGTCAAATAAAATCAGAATTTTTTCATTGATTTATTTCGTTATTACTTTCATTTTTATATTCATCTGTAGTTGTTGAAATTGATGCAGTTGAATTTTCACCAGTAGCATCGATATCCACATTGATAGAAGCAATAAATATATAGAAAATCATAATTTCAAAGGCATTCATTTTTAACAAAGAGAAAAAATAGAAAATGATACTAATATTTAACAACACAAATGTACACCCCAGGAAATTTTCATCGAAATACAGAAAAATGAGGATTTATCTCAATATTTTACATTAGAATAATATAAAGAGAAAAAAAAGCATAGAGGCGTCTAATATTGATTCTCTTATAGATTTTTATTATTTTATCAAGTTAGTAGATCATAAGAGTGTTTCTAACATTCAACAGATAGAAATGAGGAAAGAGAGGTAAAAAAAAAAAGCTAGTGGCGTCAGCAATGACAACTAGTAAATGAGTCAATTAAATATAATACTTGAGTCAACAGAAAATAAAAAGAAACGTGACAATATCATGAACAACGACAGGCATTTGTTCACTAAAAAAATAACAATAATTACCAGAAACGTTAAAAAAATAGCTCATGATTTTCTCGATGCGATTGATGACGTTTTTGACAACTATGAATTGATAAACCATATCTTGCATTGATATTCTATTTTTATTGTGATAGAATCAATATATTTTTTCTTTATAATGTCTAGTCTTCTATATTGGAGAAAATTCTATTTATTTGATCATATTAAAAAATTTATGAATGTTTTCATTAAAATGTTTCTGATTCACCACTATTCTGCTGAATATGCCTGGGCAATGATTCAGATTGTTTAAGTCGTTTTTCATTTTTTTGTCGTGAAGTACCATTTCTTGAAGTTCTCTTTTCAGATTTCACCGGTTTTTCTTCAGTAGGAGATGTTGATGTAACAACTGAACCTTTTAATGCCCATATATATTCTCCATTACCTTCTGGAATTCCATTAACAAATTGTCCATGATATGAATCACCATTAGCCCATAAAAACTTTCCATTGCCATGCTTTACATCATCCAAATATTCACCTTCATAAAAATCTCCACTAGCATATGTTAATTTTCCATGTCCATGCCTTTTCCCTTGATTAAATTCACCTTCATATACATCACCGTTTCCATATTGATATCGTCCTTGACCATGAGGTAAATTATGTTGCCAATTACCTGCATATGTTGATCCTTTATCTTTCCATATATGTGTGCCATGACCATGTTTTTCATTTTGATCATAAAAACCTTCATAAATATTTCCATCTTTCCATGTAGTTTTACCTAGTCCATGACGTTTACCATTAACCCAATTCCCATCATAAGAATCTCCATTATGTGATAATAATTTTCCTTTTCCATTTGGTTGATCATGTTCAAATCGTCCTTCAAAAATAGCACCATTTGACCATTTATATGTGCCTAAACCATGTTTTTCGTTATCTACAAATTGTCCTTCATAAAACGATCCATTATTTAATATAAGTTTGCCAAATCCATGTCGTTTACCATTTTTATATTCACCGATATATCTTGCTCCACTCATATAATCAATAACACGTTGTACATCTTTATCATCAATATTAGCAGACATTCTATACAACGTGGAAATATTCAAGTGAAGAAATTACCAATAAATATAAACGTTATGCTTGAGTGAGTTTTTATAGATACAAAACTAAGGTAATGATAATAGAGAAAGAAAAAAAACAATGTAAAAATAACATGTAACTAAATTATGAATAATTGTGTTGTAGTAAATAATTATTTTCAGCGTTTTTTGTTTATGACAGGACAATTTTTTCGTTCGAATTATTGAATAGAAAATTTTTAAAGTTGAAAAAATGAAATTGATATTGTTTATTTTAATAGATTAATATAAAAGAACACTATTTTACGAAAGAAATAGTTAATTATTCGAATCATACCAAGTTTATGTGCTCATATTCAGTTGGCTACATTTTTCGATGTATTTTATTAAACGAAAATTGTGGAATTTAATTTTTTTAATTAGTTTTTTTTATCTCATACAATAAGGTCATAAAGCATTTTTTTGATAGAAATACGATTCGGACATAAGGTTTCTACTATTGCAAAAAAGTAAAGAATTATCAATATAAGTAAGAATCTGATCAGTTCATTGATGAAGGTAATCGTCAGTTTTGCTTTTAAAAATAGGAAGAAATGAATCTTGTTTTGATATAGAATGTCTTACTTATTTTTTCGCTATTTTATTTCAACTTTTTAAAATTCAATTCGTGTTTGTAGAGTATCTAGACTATACCTTTCATTCCTATTGAATGATTTCAAAGTTGTTTTTTCTTTAAATTCTACATTCTTCTTACTCTCGCACAACTACACTAAATTGTATATTTCTATCTTGTATTGTTCCTGAATGATAGAGATTACAGTTAGAAAAAATGACAATTTCGAACGAAACATACGTAAAGATGACATTTGTCGGAGAAACGTAAGAAATAAAAAACAAAATGTAAATAGGTCATTTTATAACTAGAATATCGTTCTCTAAAAACGTGTTATTCGTTGGTCTTTACATCTTTCTACTCACGACATTTGATGACAAGCACTTTTCTTCTTTATGTACAATGACAGAAAATCACTGCTCCGAGAGACGAAGAAAGACTTGAATAGGAAATCATCATATAAAATAATAGAGAACTTTTTCATATAAAAATTTTTACCTTTTCTTATTTCTATATTAGAGAAAAATGTATCAAAGTACCAAGAAAACAGTATATTCATTCACTTTGTATAGTGCAATTTTGGAACTTGCTTAGTCTATACCTCATGAATAATAATTTTGATCCTATAACTTTTACTTTGCCAAATATATTTAAATTGTACCTCAAATTTTCATGTGTAATTTAATTCAGAAGAGTTTGATGAACAAATCGGAACGTATTTTCAGTTGTTCTTGACTATTTACTTCAAATATAGAATTGAAATCGATCCGAGCCTTTTCATCGAATTAAACCAATTGAATGATTGAATTAAGCAGATATTGAACTGTACATCGTATATCTTGCTTAATATTTAGTGAAGCGCTGGAAAGTTTTACTGTATAACTTAGGCAGAGATTATAATAAAATGTTCTACTCAGACATTATTTAAGTGTATTTTCATGTTTTCGTGTCATTTGTATCAAAAAGTCGCAAGTTACTCATATATACAGAGTGGACATTAAATAACACTACGATAGTAATTTAAATAACTTCGCATTAGTTCAATCAAATGAACTGAATATTTTGGTTCTTGATAGGAGTTTATTCAAAGTTTTTTTTTTCATACGAATAAGATAAGTAAATAATACTATTCAGTATTATTTTGGGTATCATGAAAGCAATTTTACCTGTTATCAAATAAAAAGAAATACATATACAGCGTTTCATAGATAATTTTCAGTTGTCATTTAAGAGCAAAATAAGGAGTCATTCGTAAGGAAGGTCTAAGTAAAAATCATATCTTTTGACGCTTCTCTTATTTTGGACAGCTAGTATAACAAAAAACAACTTTCAGAAAAAACTTTCTTGTTCAAATCTACTGCTTCTTTTTTCTTATTAAATAATACTTTATTAAATAAATATATAAGAGGATAATAAAAAGAAAACTCTTTAAATAGTTAAAACATAAAATGAAGTTCAATACCAATGGTAAATGAAAACATAACAACATTCATCTTACTGCTTGAGAAAATAACTACTTGCCCATATAGCATAATCTTCAATTATTTCAATGCTACATTCATATTCAAATGATTTTTTCAGTCGATTTCCTATTTAAAAATTCTTTCCAAAACAAACTACTAAAATAACCTCTTGAGGTATCAAATGGCTTTTCGACCAAGATGGTGTTCATTTGGTAAATGCTAATGATTAATGAAAAAGTCTACAATGATTTCGTTGTTTTGATCTTCGTTCTTGAAACATCGAACATTTACTAGCTTCTTCAGCAACAAGCTGTAGTTCCCTCAGATCACACGAAAATTTGATTTTCGGCTTCAAACTTAGCAAGAACAAATTTTTTCATTGATATTAATTCATTCACCAAGTTGTAACTTTTCTGGTATTTTCGATTCTAAAATATTAAATATTTGAAATTCTCTAACGTGTAAAAGATGTTCAGATAAGAATAAATCAAGACGAACTTTATGAATGATAATATCTAGATATACATCGTGCAAATTTTCTGAACTAGTTAGTTTAAAAAGTCAATGATAATAAAATTTCGAATTTTTCAAACGTGAATGACTGGTTTTTGCAAGGTTGTTAATGCTCAAAAGGCTGCGATTGTGTGTTTTACTAATGGGACACGAGTTTCAATATTTTAAATTGACTAGTTTTGAAGACGTGTACTGTGCGCATTAATATAGTTTGCTTTGACTTCGTATTCTCTGATGGCAACTGAAAATCATCTATAAAACATTTCACATGCATTTTTCTTAAGTGAGAATAGATAAAATTTCTTTAGTGGGGCTAAAAATATAACTTGGCAGGAGTATTTATTTACGTTATCTGTATGCAAAGCAAACTCTAAATAAGCTCCTATTATCAACCAAAAAATCAACCCATTCCAGTGAACTGAAACGAAGATATTTTAGTTTTACATCATAGTGCTATTTATGGTCCATGGTGTATACTATATTTCAGATATTTTATTTTATTCTTGTATACAAATATTTTATGGCTAACGTGTAATCTTTATTGACATTATTAAATTACTTATTTTTAAGACTCAAGTTATTCACAGTTAGTTCAAAATAATTCAGAGTATTTCACGAACACTTTATAAAAGATGGTCAAAGATTAATTCGTATAGAACAAATATATACTTTACTGCAACATCTTCCTTTTCTCATATCGCAAAAAGATAAGACAAGCAAGCGACTCATGTATATGAGTCACACAGCAGCATGTCAGGTAGATATCAAAAGAAACAAACAGTTAACACGAAGCAATAATATTACTACGTTGTTTCATCTCGGACCGTTTACATCAATATAAAAAATGCGTCGTCCCGGTCAATTTAAAATGGTTCTATTGGGTGAATCGGCAGTTGGAAAATCTTCTCTAGCACTTCGATTTGCTAAAGGACAATATCAAGAACATGCTGAAAGTACAATTGGTGCTGCTTTTCTCACACATACACTACAAATCGATTCTGATACTTCGCTCAAGGTCGAATTATGGGATACAGCTGGTCAAGAAAGGTAGATTCAATTGTTATTGTTTTTCGTTGTCATATTATTATAAATCAACGAATATTGTAGATATCATTCTCTTGCTCCAATGTATTATCGTGGTGCACAAGCTGCACTTGTCGTATATGATATAACCAATAGTGAGTCTCTTCGTCGAGCTAAAATGTGGGTTAAAGAATTACGTCAAGTCAATGCTAGTGATATGGTTATTGGTTTAGCAGGAAATAAAGCAGATTTAGCAACAGGAAACAAACGACAAGTAGATACACGTGAAGTTGCTGAGTATGCTGAAGAGAATGGTCTTATTTTTATGGAAACATCAGCTAAACGAGGTGACAATGTCACGGAAATATTTATGAATGTTGCTAGACAAGTTGCTTCCAAACAGCCAACAAGCACATTAAACAAACCGCATGGTGCTTTTCCTCCAGCTAAACCAAAACAAAAAGAAAGTAGTGCTTGTTGTGGTGGTGACAATAAATCATAAAACTTCTTTTTTTTCCTATTCATTTTTCTTTTATGGTTAACTGTGACACATTTGTATCAATCAAATTTTTAAAAGATATGATGTCAATCGACGAAAAATATATTTTTCATTCGATAGAGATCTTTTTGTTTCATAATAAAGAACTTGAATAAAAATATGATTGATTATTTTGGCAATCTTATATCAAAACATGAATGTACGCTAAAATTATCGATTACTATTATTTTATCCATATACTGTCACTTAATTTACGCAATTGAACATGAGGTAAATGAAAAATGAAGACCTATCAAGTATAACGAAATTTATCATGATCTATTTTATTTACTCGTCAATCAATACATTGAATTTCAATATGAAACTTTATTATCTCGATTTAATATGTGCGGATACTCAATAATAGTAGCAAAGAAAAACTATGCATTATATATAGGCACTGTTTTATTTTGTATACTATAAGAAACGATTTTGCACTGTGTATTAAGAACGATTCTTTCTCCAAGAATTAAAATACTCTTGTAATTTTAACACTGACAGTTTGTACGCAGAGCAAATCGAAATAAATTGGTATAAATCTCAACTAATCAATTGTTGTTTCAATTCAATTAGCAATGAGTAATATATCTGAAAAGGACCTAATCATCTATTCTCATTTTCACTCATTTTGTATATTTGTTTCTTCATCATTTCAAAGTCTGAAGTAGACAACAAACCACTTCAATGAGTATCAATAATTCTATTTCAAATATTCAATAGATAGAAAGGATGATATTGTTTTCTTATTTAACATACTTTAGAAAAGTTATTATATTTTTGTTTCTAGGCTGGCATAATGATGTCATCATATGAGTCGTGAATCAGATTTTAGAATTTCGAAAATCTGTTTGGGTACTACTTCCATGTCCTTATAATGGTCAAGCTAATTATCTTGGTGCTACACCACAAATATATTACTGTATTGCTAATACATTTTGATCGAGTTGGCTGCTTACTTAACTTAACTTTCCTCAATGAATTGTAAAACACGAGAAAGATTGGAAACTGAGACTAGAAATTTCAATGGACTGAGCCAGCTTTTGTCTATTCAGTCGAGTCCATTGAGATCTACGGCGGAGACATAAGATCTAGTTTCTGCAAGCATTCAAATTAATAAAATGAAAGCACTAACACACACAACCGTAACACTTTCCTTTTTCGAATGCCTTTATTCATACTATGATTTTATCATGAACTGCTCGTTAGTATTTAAAATATACGTTTACAAACGGTTGATTAATACTTTTCGATCTGTGAATGTTCCTAGATTATACTGTTTTCTTTTGTTGTTTTTGATTAACAGAAAATGTTTTTTTTCTCAACAAAACGATTTCACAATAACCGTACGACTAATAAAAGATTCAAGTTCAGAATTTATCAATTAGAAATGAGTCAAATATTTAAATTTTTATTAATCTAGCAATCTTGAGAAAACTTTTAAACCCATTCCCTCTTATAGAAGAGAAAAAAAATTGAAAACATCACTTTTTTGTTTGAATTATCTTGATAGATCTCATCCTTTAAGTTTATGAGTTGTTTTCTTTGGACAATCAGGTTCTTTCTACAAGTTTGAATTAGTAGCACAATGCAGGAAACGTTTAAAATCGGACATTATTTTTGCATTAGCGATTTCTTTGAGTTTCATATGAAAGAATCCTTCACGAATCGATTTTGAAACATTATCGAAAATATCGATTAGACATTCTCTACAGAAAAAATGAACTTGTTGTTATCAACCAATCTTCTTTTATTACGAAAAATATCAATATTTTAGAGACATTGTTTGTGTGAAATAGTTGATTCGAACCAAATCAAGTTTAACAGATTAATTTGTTTCTCAACAAAATTCATTACATATTTGGAAAATAAGATATCTTGTAGATACCTTGAAAGATATGAGACAACCAAAATGAATAAGAGAGACAAGGTATGTTTGTTTTATCTTCTATAAAACATGAACTTGAAATGTTTCATTTTCTGCTGAGTTTTCATTCATATTCATGACTCAAAAAAAAGCCAAAATGTTTTTTTTTATGTTTTAGTGAATAATTATTCACATTGATCGATGAGGATGGTCCAGCGTTGAAACCGGGCCGGTAGAGACCGGAATTTCACCGGTTGAAAATGTTCAAAAATCTTCGTTGTTAACCCTGTTTTCGACCATAAAAACTAAGGTGTCATATGTTTTTTCTGTCAGAATGCGTAAAAAAAGTGCTTAAAATATATGTTATATTAATCATCTTTTCTGAGGTTCTCTTTAAAAAGATTCATTATGATGAGTGTCTTTTACATGCGCCCTAAACTATTTCAGAGTTGCAGCCATTTTTTCTCAAAGCCGGTTTTCAAAAAAATTCGACATTTTTTCACCGGTTTTTAACCAGTTTTCATCGGAATTTCAGCGGCGGGATATCTGATTTCAACCGGTCGGTTTTCAGCCGGGCCTGGCCGGTTTACCATTTCTCAACCAGTTCCAACTCTGGGATGGTCAAAGGTTTAGAGCAACTGTATTTTTAATTTTTTTCTTTTCGATAATAATAGCTAGCAAGAAACTGAAAACTATTTGAGTAGCTGAAAATATTCTTTATCAAGATTAACACATCTTGAGGCCTCAAAAACCTGCTTAGAAGTTCTGCAGAAACCAAAATTCTCCAAAACCAGCTTGTTGGCTTTCAATCGAAGCTTTTGAGAAAATACTTCATTTAATATAGCAAAACGAGACGCTTCCGAACTGTCCATGAACGTCCTGCATCGAACCGTTCTTAATTTAAAGAAGGTTCAGAAAGTCATTTTTTCTCTTCTTTTTATTGAAAATTTCAATGCTTTTGTTATGTTTCATACTTTGGAACCTTCTTTAAATTGAATGCACTTTGATGAGGGAAGGTTATAGAGAAATTGAAGATATTTTATCTTGTCCTATCGAATATTACCTTTTCTCAAAAGCTTCGAGTGCAAGTCAGAAAGCTGATTTTGGAAGGCTTGATTTTCCACAGATCGTAATCCAAACAGTTTTTCTGAACTCTACAGTCCTACTCATCATGATAGAGAATGCTTTCAGTTACTCACATGTTTTTTCAAACTCTTGCTAGCTATTACCATCGAAAAGAAAAATAAAAATATAGCTGCTGCAAATTTTTGTGTGGCATGATATGTTTTACACCCAATTATGAAACTTGACATTTATGTTTATGCACATAGTGAGATCATTATTTTTATCTTCATCACTCGCTTTTTTTTTCATTTGAATTATATATACATGTTTTCAATCCGATATGAACACTTATTTTAGAACTCCATGAAATTAGACTTTACAATAGTGATGGTAGAGCTGCAGTAAAGCTTATTGTTGTTGTTTCAATAGATGCGCATATATTAATTGTCATTAACTGAACTTCTTTTACTCAGATCTACGATATAATCATTTGAATATTTCTAATGAGTTCTTTCAACAATGCAATACTAATATTCAATTTTAATAAAGACTTCTTTTTCGTTGAGTAAATTGAGAAAAAACAAGATTTAAAACACAGATAAAGAGCCGTTTGTTATAACAGTTTCATTAGAAAAAAAAATTCAGAAAGAAAATAATCTAATTCACTATGTTCATTTTGATTTTCTCAACATCGAAAGAGTGGCGCCTATTTTTCTTGCTTAGCTTGGTAACCCGATTACTAATAAATTTTTGTGTTTCATACCATTTATTCATAAATATTGAACTTCTTTCATACAATGATTTTCTCTCTTTTTATTTTTCCATATTTACTGCATATATTTCTTATTTGCTCTAATTTTGATATTATCACGTCAGCAATAAAAGAGCCAACAACAAGTACAAAATCAGCAGCGTCTATAAAAATAATAAGTACAAAATCAACAACGACTAAAAAACCACTAGTGAATGTAACATCATCAGCTGTTAAAAAATCGATACCGAATGCAACATCGTCAACGACTACAACATCATCAACAACTACAACATTACCAATAATAAGCATGACCTCAGAAATGGTGCCGAATATACCAGTAGTCACTGATGAAGTAATAGAAACAATCTCGTAAGTTTCGAAAAAACAATTTAATTTTACAATCGTATCTGAGATATCGTCTTCTAAATTTCAAATAATGAAGAATCCCTTAGAATTATCTTTTTTTTCTCTTTATTAAAAAACATATTATTGCCAACAATATACATTTCCAAAAGAATATTTTAAAGAAGTACTAATTTTTGTTTTTTCTCTTTCACGAACATCAGATCTGGTGCAGATCAAGATGATGAAAGTGAGGATGAAACATTGTTGAAAGATGCAACAGTTTCATCTGACATCAATGACATCATTTCCACAATGTCAGTGATGTTACTTCTTTTTCATTTTTGCATAAAAATGTATTTATTATTTTAATGTAGCGCACAATTTGTGCCAACGAATAATACTAGAAACCATAAAACAAATTCAACAAAAACGCCACAAAAACAAAAATCTCCAGTACCTATTATATTGGGATCCATCTTTGGTAGTATTGCTATTGCTCTTATTATTGCATGTTTAATTACTTATGCATACATCAATCAAGGAAAGTTTAAAATATTCAATCGAGGTCGAATGCAAAGAAAAGCCAATGAACAAACAAGAATAATTAATTCATCATCAGCAATTCGTAATGGAAATCCGTCTGAAAGATAAACAAATATTAATTCTTAGTTTTTTTTTCTTTGTCTATCGACGAAAATTTACTTATTTTTTCTTTTTATTTATTGAAACCGGATAAATATCGAATAGGTTTTTTGCGAAAACAAAGATACTTCAATTAGAGATATAAACCGAGCGACTGAGCGGCCACCGCTATTGCCCAAAATAGATACTAACGACTCCAGTCGTCACTGTTGAGAGACAAAAATAGATATTTGACTTATAGAAATTTCTGAAACAGCCAATCTAGTTTCTTGTCAATAATAATTGGATATTAAAAATCATTCTTTTGATAAGTACATTCCGTATTCAGTCTTCTCATTATTAATGACGGTATGCTGGTAAGTTCAATCAGTTATCTATATAAAGCGTCCTAAACATATATTTCTATAGTAAGTTGATATTCGAAGTTCATTTAGCGTATTGTATAGACATACAAGAAGTTATAAACTAAAGAAAACTTATTATATGAAAATTATTCTATGATCAAGTGCGAGAAGACATTCATTATTAGATATTTTTGAAGATTATTGAGAAAAGACAAGCCACACATATGATTTAGATTAAATCATTAATGAATCGATATTAAAAATCAATTATTACCCAAAATTTGAGTCATGTATTTGATTACATCACTTCATTTGTTGTATTTCTATGAAATCATAATTAGTCAAGATTTACCTCTCAAAATTTTGAATCTAATAGATAAGACAATATTCCATCAAAAAAAACAAGAATATTTTATCTAAAAATGATATGGAGAAAAAAATCAGACAGATGATTTTGAACATTCTCCTATTTTGTACTCTGCATCGACTTCCTCAAGATATTATTTTCATTTAGCAAAATTACATTATACTTAGCCTGGAAATAAATATTGTTATATAAGATATAGAGTTTACATAAATGACAAGAATCGCATTAACAAATGTTGCACAAGCATCTAGTCGCACTGGAAATTTATTAGAAACTTCACATGATATATGAAAATCGTAAGAGAAGTACATGAGATGTTCAGTATCCATAAGACACTTATTATAAATTCAAGATAATGAGCTACTTTAATGTTATTCCAGTTACACCATCTTGTTTAACTTACGAAGGAACATTGCAAAGTTTCATATCGCTTTTGAGGTAGAACCTAGAGAGCCCTAGGTAATCGAGTGCGATGATTCCGAATATCACAATGATTGTTGAGCTCGAAAAACTTTTTGCACAAAAAAATTGTTTTGATCGATCTGCCGTGTACAGCATATTGAGTTGTGTCTAATATTACATTTTTTTTGCTTTGAAACCTCTGCAAAGTCAGAAAAATTTGAAAAACCTAAAGCCTTATGAATGAAGTGCTTTTCAGTACCCGACAAAGTTTTGCTCTTACGTGTGAAGGTGTGGGTGGGTGCAGAACTTCTTTTTCGCACACCCACCCCACATAGTTATTGCTGTTGTCGACGTCTACTATAAAAATACCCACAGGCTATCGATTTTCTCAAGAAATGAAACAGATATTTTTCAATGTCATGAAGTTTATCGAAAAAAGGGAAGCTTGGCCCTATATTTCCAGTTTCTATGTAAATGAACGACTCTCATCCATGTTTGATATGTTGATGAGATCTGTTGAAAGATAGAACGAGATAAGAGAGATCGAACAGGAGATCATGCAAACAAAGAAGAGAAACATAAAATACAGAATCAAAATCTACGAGTAATTAGTCGACTTCGAAATCTAGAATCAAGCTTGTCGTCGTCATTATTCTCATCTATTTCTAGGGCTAACACCCTGACGACTACTTTTCCTTTCCTAATCTGCCGCATAAAATTATTAAATTCTGACCATCTACTAACCGTTATGACCGCATAATAACAGAAAAGTATTCGGTGAGTTCCATGTAGTCAAACAGGAATATCAACAGGAATATTTTGCTTAGATTTCATATTGGTTGCCTTTCTTCAGAGCTAATCTATCCTACCATCGACGAGATTCTTATACATATTCTGACCAAGGATAGTGATTTTCCTATCCAGTGGAAGGTGTTGCTATGATGTGGGAGGAGAAAAAGTGAATTTATATTTTAAATGAACGTCAACAGCCGTCGTACCTCTAAATACTGCCGCATTCATAGCTACGCGTGCCCACTACTTCGCCATCATATATGAACTCCGCAGTAATCATTGTCAGATTTTTTGGTATGATGAGACATGATGCAAAAAAAATACAGAGGAGTATTTTGTTTGGACCGACAGAACAACAGGTCTAGATTGACTAAAATCTATGATCAGGGCAAAGATATTCATAATTCTTTTTATAATCCAAATGATTAATGTTGATAATAACAGGCAGAAGACTAGCGATCTCTGCTTTTTTAAGCTGATCATGATTGTATGAGCAAAGAATTGACATTTTCAAAATGTGATGAAAATCATAGTATAGATTTTACCACATATTGCATGAGTGACATATGGAGGTAACTATGCCAAGATTGTTTTGATTGTTGATAATTCCATTTGGTATGATCAAGTTACTGGATATACAATTGCTTCCAAGAGAGCAAGTCTGAAGGAAAGAACTTATCGTTCCGTAGCTAATAAATCGCAATATTACAGTTCTCACCATAGACACTAAAACCAAGTGACTCGAGCCCGCTCTCGAGAATCTGCCAACAAAACGGTGCGTGATCTATGAGGTAGCAAAAGTACGATATCGATATTTTACGGTCAGTTAATACTCTTTCAAAGAATATTTCATCGTAATATACGTATTTGTATATATTGTTGGTAAAGCATAGTACGTTCAATCTAATTGAATTAGAATGAACTGATTTAAAAAACTATGTACATGATGAAAACATTACCTTGTGCCTCAATGACGTTCAACATTTAGCCTACCAATAGATGACGTCTTTTAGTAGAGTGAGCGATATTGGCTATATCAATCAGACACACAAAATCGAAGGCTTCTTCAAGAAGTTCAATCTATTCACTGAAGAGATATTGAGAAACAGTTAGCCAATTAAGAAGAAGAAGTCGATTAGAAGGTAGAACAGATGGACGCCGAGCAATATCGTTGCTGCTCTTTTTCTTTCTCGTCTTTGTCATTAAGAAAACGAAACCTAAAATGCAGTGTTTCTCGTTATAAATACCTATGAGATATGATATACATATTTCAAGTTGCCAATCTAACCACATATGAAAGCAATATCGTACAATCACTAATAATAATCTTTTGACAGAATAAGACTTGTTGCATAGTGAAATAAGCATGACTATTCGATTTCTCATGATCGAAGGCACCAATAATGACAATTTGAAAAATGATGTGCCCGAGATGAAATAGATAAAAAAAACCTTGGTAAATGCCGTCACTATATGGTTCATTGCTTTTAAAATAATTGAGACAAAACTTTGAGTCTTTCGTACATTTAGAGATCGTCAATTTGTTATTCTAGCTCACTTCTTAAAATTTAAGATATATTTCATTTTCTTAGAGCAGCAGCCTATTCTTTCAAGGTGGTCAGAGATCACTAATAGCGCATGAAATGAATCTCGCAAATTCTATATGGGTCTATGCATCGAGAAAGAGTCTTTCAAACGAAATGAACCCGAACTTGATAGACAGTTATGGTTCATAGTTATTAAAACAGTATCCAACCGATTTATTTAAAAATAGATATTATTTTTCGAATTTTCATTGTCAAAACTCTGATTTATAACTTTTTGATTTGATAATCCTGGTTTATGATGAGTCGCCGAAGTATCTATCACAATTTTTGGAAGGCAATGGAAGAGGTATTAGATGCAAATTACTACTCTTTAGACTTCAATACTTCTTTTATTTCGTGTTTCACAAAAATAACCAAATACTACCCGGTCAAGTTTAGTAAGCGAAAAGCATTTTTTCCAAAAAGTTTGTTAGAATCCTATATCTCATATTAGCTTGATCATTTTTCAGACACAAAATAGAGTAAACAAAACTTTAGATTCTACGGTTTTCGATGATACTCTTTGATTTGAAAGAAAAGAAACGTAGTGGTCAACATTTTCGAAGAGATGACTATGTTTGATGGAGTCGTTCACTGTCTCTTCATACGAACACATTTGTTTCATTTCGAAATTTTTCTTTGAACGAAAAGTCTATAAATTATAAGTGAATTCATATTGCCAATGAAAGAATTTTTCTTTAATATTTCACAAAAAATTGTTGCTAACTATAAAAGCATATCTACAATCTATTCCTTAAATAAGAAAGATCTCATGAAAAAAAATGAAAAAGATGTATTCATTGATAGCTGAACACAATAGAATGAATTAACTGTAAATGCATTTGTTATTTATCTATTCTCATTTCATCAGACTGATAAAATAACAATACGATGTATTGCATTTTCCTAATAAATATTAATCAGAATTCGGAAAAAGATTCTCCGCTGCATATTAAATATAATATGTTTCTATTAATTCATGTAGAAATTTCAACATATCCGTGTGATATTACATTATTGTAAGAGAATCAAATTTCCTATATGAAACAATATATCTCACATCATTATACATAAGAAAGTATTCTTGAAATATGATGTAACCTTCAATATCAAACATTCAATTAATATTCTGATAAAAACAATTCTTGAAATTATTTTATTTTATTAAAACGTAAAAATCATTATGCAATTTCATCAGTTATTTACACTGCTATCAGCTAAACTTGATACAGACACAACAGGTTGATGTATTATAATTATTGGCGGTGGTGGATATCCTAAATATATAAACAAATAACAGATCAATATATTTAAATATATATATATATATATTAATCATACCTCTAATTTTCATCTCTCTAGCTTCTTGACAAATAGCACATGGTGGACAACAACATGTAATTAAACAATCTCCACAAATACCTTCTTCTAAACTATATTTTTCTCTTAGTTGTCCACGTCTAACTGTATGAATAAGACAACAACAACCTAATAAACTCATTAAACTATACACACAACAATGAGTTAAACATTTTGAATGATTATCAATTTTTGCTGCATTTTGACCATATAAACAACAACAACACCAAAATCCATAACAACATATATGTCGATCATTAAAACAGCCACATAATGATTCTATATATTTAAAATAAAGAGGAACTAAAAAACAAACAAATCGACTTTATTACCGTGCCATGCTTGTTCTTGGTATACTTGCATGTTTGTTTAATGATGATGACAGGAATAGAATAGAAAATGAATTTTTTGACAGAGTTGTTAATATATTCATGAATAATCATATATCAAAATAAGCTCAGTTTTCCTTCATTTCAACGATGAGAGAAAAAAACAAAATATAACATATTACAATGTATTGAATTTCAAATAATAACCTAAAAGAATGTCCTTCATATGAAATATTATTCATGTTTGACTGTAATTAATAAAGAAGAAAATAAAATTGTCTTTTATTAATCAATCGAAATAGAACTGTTAGTTTATTACTAACTCACGCATAGAAATGACCCTTTTTACGTAGAGGATCATGTTATTGGCATAGACACGAAACAAATTATTTTCGTCACAGGTACAGACAACAACTGTATCATCTTTAATTACTTTATATTACAGGTGACGCAGATTAAACAAGACAATAACATTTTTTTGTGAGGCACTCAGATACGCTTTCAAAATTCGATAGAGAAAGTTTTATTTCATAAAACTGTTTGTAGTTGTTGTTCAAGTAACTGTTTGTTTTTGTTGGAGAAAAATTTTAAATATCAACACTTACTTAACTGTCCAACTGCAACAATAAAAAAGGAAGGAAAAATCATACCACATATTTTAAAGAACGATTTTCTGTTAATGGGAAGCATGCCACAAACATCTGCATCGTTTGTTATATGTTTCGGAATTGGCAGAAGAAATATTTACGAGAATATTCATGAAGTAAAAACTAGAAAAAAGTCTTCTTTGACAGGTTTACATGATTGTTATTTTTATCTTGATACAATCTACATGCTAGTATTAGTCAATTTAGCAGTCACACGATTTTATTCAAAATTAAATTCCACATCTAATAGAATGAGAATGACTTTTTCATACATTAGGTCTCGCTTTGGAAAGCATGCTTTTCCGACGTGTTTAAAATATATCAGTAGGTTTTACTGCATCAAGAATTTTTTTCTCGTGAACAATAGTACCTAGAACTTTGAAAAGTCGTTGAAGCGGAAAGCATAAAATTTCCTATGCATTCATGCTAATTGCGTTACTTTTGGGATTAGTTTTCATAAACGAAGACTTATACAAATTGAGAGATATATGTAGAATATCGAAAACCCCTGTTAAACGATTGAGCAAGAGTTCATATTCTTAATTTTGTTTCAACAAGAAAAGTTTATTTGAAAAATAAACAAAGCTTTTTTGTAGAACGAATGATTTTCTATCTAATAACTTTCTGAAAGTGTATCAGAATGAGTCAAAAAAGAAAAAGAGTCTGCCTCATATAATCTGCACCAGTCGTCATACATGAAAAATATAAAGAAAAACAATCTTTTGTATTTTCTTTGCTTCCTCGTTAGTTCGTTTAATTAATAATCAAATCTTTTTTTATAAAAAGACGTTCAATAACACATTTTAATTGAACAATTTTCTTTGTTTATTTCGTTCCATGTTCTAGGTATTTACTGTTTTTTCATTTTAAAATTCTTTAGGTAGATCATTGTATGTATCAAGTGATTGTATAGTCAGTAATTATATATACATATATGTGTCATTAAATTGTACATCCTTAACATCTTTTAGTGCTATCTCGATTATCGACTGAGAACAAAAGCTGTGATTATTCGATGTGAACAACATAACTCTAAAATGAGCTAACTCTTTCACGTTTGATTCACTTCAAATAGCAATACAACGGTTGTCTTTTCGATGAGAATATTAAATTTGATCTTGATTATAGCATCTGAAGCATTTGTCATTTGCTTGACCCGAATATTTCTTAAATTGATATAATCCTGGATTAGTAATTATTAATATGCACCATTTTTAGAACATGTTACTATACCCTAGAGCAGCTAGCATTCCAAACAATTTAAATAAACTTTCCCTAAACTTTGTTTACCTTGAATTTTTCATTGCTTTCACATAGGGAACATGTGTCTCACTGTCGATTTACACCTAAACTTATACTCATATATAGTGTTGCTTGATTCAACACCGTTATTTTTGATAGATGGAATTCATAATTTAGCGATCTGTCATATAATGCATTAATAAAACTTGTTTTATTGCCATTTTTTTGGAGTGAGCTTTTGTTTTATTACATCTATTGGCGCTTACAATAATATAATAACAGGAAAGAAGAAAAAAAGCAAAGGGAAAAACGGTATGACATTAATAACAAAAAAGAAAGAAAAACAAAAGGCAAAAACAAATATAGTAAAAAGAAAGGAAAATATATGAAAGTGGGCTCATATATTAACTTATTTCTTCTACACAAAATGAATGAAAAGGAATCTCTGAAATATCAGTCATAAAGGATATTAAGATGAAAAACGAAAATAATTTTTACAAAAAGAAACTAGGAAGAACTCGCGTGGTGACCGAATCTATTTTCTTATTAGGAATGATTTCCGATGAAATGGAATCAGCGAATTAGAAGTTATTCGTGTCTATCAATAATTTTTGTTCACTCTGGATAATCTAAAGAAATATACGAAGTTTAATTGTCGTTCGGCATCTTCTCTTTGTCTTAGTCATAGAGATATGTCAGATAGAAAAGATCGTTGTATTGCTGTTGTATGAAATATTTTTTGTTCAATACTTATGTCATTCGACAATTATAGATAAGTATATAGTATCGAGCAATTATTTTTCAGTCTTTGACATTTTAAATAACTTCTCAATTGTGGAAAGAGCTTCTATACAATTTTCTAATAATATAATGTTGTTGGAAGACTTTAACGGTATCCTCCTCTTTTTGGTCATTTCTGGGCTTTGAAGAGGATACAATCAACTAGCATGAAATTTTTACACAGATAGAGTTCCTAAAATAAGGAGAGATTTTTTCGAAGAAAAGTAATTTTAAGTGAAATTGTCATAATTTTTTCTGGATCACCCTAATTTTCAAAACAGCCATTGCGGACTCGTCTATGACTCCTGTTCAAATTCGTTCGATAGAGTCGAAAATTTTTTTTTTAGATACTTTAGGCTATATCGCTAAAGCAATTTCAAGTTTTTTTCCAAAATCTGACTTTCTATTTTTTTTTAAAGAGAGAAATATGCAAAGGTTCGGATCCAAAACTAGAGTACTAGCGTTCTGAGCTTTATAAATCCTAATAGAAAAGTCGAAGACGAAAACAGCTCATTTCACTTCCAAATATTCGTGGTCAAGGTTTCAGCCCGATCAAACAATGTTAAACGGAAGTCGTAATCGGACCTTATACGATCCTATGGAAAATCAAAACACTCCTGAAAAAATCATGAATGTCTTGTTTAGAATTTCATTTTCATGTGATCCATCTGTGGTAAAAGTCTCATTCAGATTCGTTATATCCTTTATGAGAACCAGGCATGACCAAAAAAGCAAGAGACATGTTTAAGACTTGTACTGCTTCATCTTACATAACAATTCACTGATTATGACGACTATTTTCAAAGAAGTCTTATATTCTCTTTTTTTTTTTTGTTTTATCTCTCACATTAAATCATCCGCTTTTTGACAGCATGAATAACAATAGATAAGAAATGACACTCCACAATGTAATTTTTCTTCTTTTGTCTACTATTGATTTCATATTAAAAAAAATGATTATGTTCATTTTTATTATATCGAATAAAAAAAGCATATACATTATTTCTATACAAATAAAAGAAAACAAACATATTTTATTATGTTCTTATATTATGCATTTGATGTTTTTTTTTCATGATTATTACTATCATTTTCATCTGGTGGTGCAACATAACTAAGTACATTAAGTATAATGACAAGAAGAAAAATAAGATAATCAATAAAAATAAGAATATAAGCAGCTTTATATAAATTTCCATGGCAATATTCCGGTAAAGTTGGGTCAGAAAATTCTACACGTAATTTCACTTCAAATATAAATACTTGTCCAACAAAAAACCAAACAACAATAAATAAAAGAATAAGTATAAATATAGGCATAAGAATTCGAATCATTAACGGATATGACTGATGATCATCATAGGATGATAGAGATAATTGTTGTTTACGAATTTTTACATGAATAATTATACCAACAATTGCTAATAAAATACCAAAAATACCACTAACAATCATCCAAACAACAATCATTTGTTGAACAGGACATTGACCAATATAAATAAGACCAATAACAAGTTGTGTTATGGGTATAGTAACATAAAGAAGAAGTGAAATTACAAAATAAATTGAAGTAAAAAATCCATTTGAAGCCGGCGGATGAGGTGGAGATGAAACATTTTCAGATAATTTTAATTTAATTGGTATTGACAAATTATAATCGGATTTTAACGGAACAAGATAATCAGTATTTTCATCAATAGGATGTTTATAAGTAACTCGTTTATTTTTAGATGACATGTTTAATTAGAGACCTGGAAAGAAGAAAAAAAAAAGCTAATCATGATTAAATCTTTTCAATGTTTACAAAACAAAGGAATCCTATTTAATTATATAAATCTAAATGAAAATATTTTAATCTGATCAGTCTTTATCTGCAAACAGGAAGAATAATTCAAAAAAGTGATTAAGTATAATTATTTTGTGTTATATTGAGATTTAAGAAAAAACTTCAATAGATTTATGTCATCTGATCTGTGCTTTTCAAAATTATTTTCGCAAAAAAAGAATTGATTAAATTCAATAAATTTCTTCTCTTTATCTAACAATGACTAATATTATCAATCAAAAATAATTTTAACAATGATGGATGATGATAGTCGATGATAAGCAAGTAAATAGGCTCACCGTTTTATATCTAATCACTATTTTCTTCTTCTGTTACACAATTTGTCAATGAACAACTGCCTACTATCACCAATTCTCGAGTAGTACAGCCTTGAATTTGATGCATGTTCATTTTTTTTCTCCTTTCTATTTCTCCTTCGTTCTCGTTTTTTTTTCTTCTGTTCTCTAGGACTTCTTCTGCTTTAGTATGTATGCTGCTCTCACCTTTTAGGCGCTAGTGACGTAGAAAAAAAAAAAAGAAAAAATGAGGTGGCATAGTTAAGAGAAGTGCGATTGTGGCAATAACGACAGCTGAAACAAAAACGAGTACAAAAATGCAAAATGCCAGAAAAGAAAAAAAAACATGAGATCCAATTTTACATTGTGTATGTGTGCAGTAACCCTTTGATTACATGAAGAACAAACTGAAGGACGCATACATAGGCGTGATGAATGACAAATATAGACAAACGATCGAACGAAAGAGAAATCATATAGGTGTACGTAAAAAGAAGAAGTTTACTTTTTTGCTTCATTCTTACGTCAAAATTGAGAACATCCGAAAAAAGAAATGACGTTTTGTACTTCATAAAATAGATTTTTTTTTGTGATTCACTATGCATATAATTTTTTTTTAAACTTTTTAATAAGAAAACTGTTAGTAAATTATATGAAATTTTGTATGCAATTCTTATGAATACAAAATCATTTGAAGCCCTGACATCTGATGGTATGTTTGTCATAGAAAAAAAAATGTAGATAATTATAAGCTGTGTCATTGTATTTGATTTGACAAATCAATTATTCAGAAAATGTATTTATCATTTGAACATAGAATGAAGAAATTATAATACAACTATCTAAACCTATATGCATGTGTTCGTAAGTACTTTACGTACAAGTAACATTATATAGAGATTATTATTAATATGATGCTTGTTGAAACGATTCGATGTGATAGAATTCTTTTATAAAAGATAGTGCTTTTAGAATGTCAACATCAGTTTGATTGAGAAAAAACAAAAAAACCTCTCGTGTTGATGTGTTTTAATCGAAATATGATAGTGAACAAAACATTCTAAGCTTTTAGTTTCTATAATTAAGTTCGAATGTTAACCGTACCGTAAAAGAGAGATCACATTTAAGAACAAATAGTATCCATTTATCAACTAACATATTGAAAAAGTACTTCGTTTTTTCGTTTCATATTCATTTTTTCTGTTTTATGCTGCTATTGCCGAATAGTAAAGTTGTTCAGTACATACCTATAACGTATCGTGTTTGAATTGAAGTGTAACTAACATGAAATGACCCTGAACAAGTCATTGAAAGATATTTGTTTTGAAGCAATGGTTCGATAGCATGTTAATTGCATAGTGATATACATTGTCCTTGTGAGTATGCATGTGATTAATAAGTGTGCACGAGAGACTGAAGTGATTGGTTAGAAGAACTTTAAGTCAGGCTAACCTTCTGTCCAGACTTACATCTATTATTAGTTTTAGAACAGATATCAAGATTACGAAACTGCCCCTCAACAATGCTCTATAGAGTAAGGTCACCGAAAAGCGTATTAATTTTTTTTTTCTCTTTGAATAATAAAGGTATTAATAATAATTAATCTAGAAGAAAATGAAATTGGTGATAGAATAGAGTAATACTTACTAATATATTCCATTTCTATTCATCTCTTTTATATTTACATCAAACGTCAAGAGAGGTGTTTCCGTCAGGACTTGTGGTTACTGTGACATATTCTAAAAGTTCGAACGAAAGAAAAAATGTCAATAATTTCTCGGCAATTCAAACGTTTTAAATATTTTTTTACAATTTGATCGCATATTTGTTAAAACTGTCAGATAAAATATCTATGTCTACAAAAGTCAGAATTAAAATAGTTTTACTAATGTTGGAGTTCGAGTTAGTTAAGCTGCAAGTCGAGTTCGGCAAAAAACGCACCAATTGAATCTTGTATTAGAACTACATTTCAGCGATTTTGTAAACCAGTAGTGTCACGAATCGAGCACGTTCTGGGAAACTTACCGCAATTACCGAAGAAAAAGTCAATAAAGTTAAGGATGTCTGTGACAATGATCGAAGATCGAGTATTTCGATATTTTGCACAAGCTTGCTCATTATCACAAACAATAAAATATTGGATTATGACGCAACAAATCTTATTAAAACCATATAAGATACAATTTGTGCAAAACATTACTAAGAAAAAGAATTACGTAGACCACTCTATTGTCTTATAAAACGTCATCAATTTTTAACAGTATCAGTTTTACAAAATTCATAGAATATATTGCTAATATAATATTTAGTTGGTGTGGTTTTTTTAGATTCAATGTATAGTTACTGTTTTACAATGCTGGCTCATTTGAATTCGATCATGAGATATCAATCTCTTGGATTGCTAATGAGCTGTTCATGCGTTTTTACGTTCAGTCTATCGGAATACCCTATATATCTATATATATATATATACTTACGATCCCGAAAACAGGATTCTGTCCTTCTGGAAGAGAAAATCTAAATAGAATACTGTTTACATTTATCATTCAATATTTCCATTACGAAATTATCTCATGGAATGAATTATATCGACAGTCAAGATGTACAATATTTAATGAATGGATTACAAAATAATAATATGAGATATGTCTTCTGAGCATCGATCATATATTCATTTTTCTCTTCAGTATAGATAATCATATTACGATATCTTACAAAACAATCAAATCGATAATTAAGGTGGGCAGTCTTTAGAAAAGTCAATACAAACTAATATGATTAGAAAAATATTTTACTTACTTATATATCTCTAATCTATCTATATATTTTAACTTAGACATTCAAAACTTTGGATCTTAGCTGGAATAAAACTATATCTGATATAATACAATATCTCCCTAATGTAATTGAGAATAAAACAGTCATAATCTGTCCTATATGATACATAAAACACATGTTTACGATCAACATTTATGGATCAATTCTGTAATTTATTTAAATTTTTTTCGTGCATAATTTCATAATAAACAAATTACATAGATCCTTTTGAATTAATAAAAAAAGCACAAATGGCACTAACAAGTGAAAACAATGAACCAACTAAAGCGCAGATAGCAGCACCACCAATTAGATCTCTGTCAGATTGCCTAACCCAACTAAGTCCAAATAAAAATCCGGTCATACCAAATGCGAAAGAACTAAATAAATAATTTGATATTAATACAAATATACAAAAAAAACACAAGGAACTAACAGACAAGCCAAGCCGAATCCACCGTTATACATAATAGATTTATAGAAGTTTTTAAATATAGAAATAATACAAAAACATATAACTCCAATACTCGATGTAATGCAAGCCATAATCATAAAGATTCTAAAAATATAAGTTTTTAGATTGATTTAATTAATTTTTTTTTATTTCTTATTACCGTGCTATAATGAGTTTCATACATGGCATTCTTTCCTTTGCACATATTATTTTAAATTTTACTAATCTTCCACTATAAACTGTATTTCGATGCCATAAACCACTATAAACTGAACCAACATTTCGATAAGCAAATGGAAAAATACTCCAACGAACATAAACATGACTTGTGATAAATAATATCAAGGCAATACTCAACAATAAACCAGCTCTAAAATAATAATATCAAATTTGTTAAGTTCTCTAAAATGAAGATAAAAAGATTTTTCAAGAAACTTATTTGACACTCATCATATAGAATTCGAAGGATGTCTATTGAACAACATTTGTAATACTTACATCCAAGCAAAATACAATCTTGATGAACGTAAGTCTGAAATGTACGATTTCATTTAATTGAATATTGAAATAAAACAATAATAACAAAAATCGATAAATAATCGAAGAAGAATGAATGATTCAATTTATTGTATCCAAGGAAACTTTTTTTTCGATAAATATTCAAAATCTTCATTAGAATTTTATATCGAATAAATTGAGCACAGAAAAAAAAGACCAGAAATTTTATTAGATTTTTCTGATTTAATACTAGATTAATGTAGGATAGATAATAGTGTTTCGAGAATTGACGCAACAATATGAATATATCAAAAATAATTGAATTAGTAACATTAAAAATTTTGTCTGTAGATAAACGATAGTGTTTTCTGCAAAGCTATGTATATTTACAATTGACTACGTTCTATAAAAAGAAACCAAAGTTCGTCTTAGAAACAATTATGTACTTATTGTATTTGTTTTATAGCTTATGATAATTCCTTTCGTTTTTGTCTTCTACTATAGTTTGTTTTAGTACAACTGACTTTGTTTTTTATTATCCTTTTTCAATTACAACAAAATAAATCGTGTAACATTGTTCTTGATCTTCATCTACATAATGATTATAAGTAGTTTTTGTTTGCATATGTGCATGATTTGCTCAACAATGTATCTGATCTTTTAACAGATAGCTATAATGAATGTGTTCATGAAAACGGTAATGAATGTAGTCGATGCATTTGTTTTAGAACAAAATTGTACAGGATAGACGTACATAGAACGGAGTTTATAGATAGCGACGCGTCGAAATGATGATAGAGTAAATAGATTCAAGTCAATCAATAGTTCATCGTCATGCGAACTAATCGATCTGTTTTGTTTCATAAATTGGTAAATCGATGAGTATAATCAATTCCCCTCCTAATTCTCTTGATAATTTAAAAATAAATTCCAGACAGTATCTATCAATCACAAATACTCAAAGGACATACTGAAATTTTTTTTTTCCTAAAGTTCAATTTTTATTACCGTTATCAACGAATTCGAATACTTCATCAAATCGATGAATATTTTAGGAAACATAAGCTTTATGAGAAAAACTTTCAGTTTCAAACTATTCTCTCTTAATTCTTCATTTCAACAAACTTTACTTTGTTTCTTTAATTTGTAAAAAAAAACATGTATTCGACGTTATTTACGTTATCCGAATTCAGCAGACTTTGATAGTTTGTCGCTTGCACATGGTATTGATTTTCGTTCCATTCGAAACTTTCTTTTCGACTTAGAAAGAATATTCACAACAATACAATCAACCCAGATATACGAATTCTCATGCATTGATTCATAAAAAAGACTTCTGTTTATAGTTGTTATTTCTATCTTCATTTCGGTTTGAACAATCATTCTACACATGATAATCTATGAAAAAAAACTTCATTAAATATAATTTTTAATTTCGAATGCTTATCATAATTTTCCTCAATTACATACACATAGGATTCTTATTTATATGAGCTAGGCAATCTAGCGTTATAGACATAATTGATCAGTAAAAACACATCTTAGTTCTTTCAATCTATCCATTGCATTTCTGATTGTGTCTAAAGAAATTGTAACGACACTAACTACCACTATATCATCATCAATAAGTTCAGTCAGTATAATAACGAGTACTATATCATTAAACAGTATTTCAATCGATACAATAATAACTTGAGTTGTCAGTGAAGATTATTTACAATACAATAATCAACGTTGAAGAATCTCTGTCTGACTCCAAGAATCTTGACGAGTAAGATTGATTCAAATTCACTTTGCTCTTTTTGAGAATATTCATATTTTAAAATATTTCGAAAGTTTTAATAAGAAACGAAGTAATAATAAGTTAAAATTGATATTATCTGGTGACGAAAAATATTTTTCGAAACTAAACTTGTGTGTCATTTCGTACATTTCCCATAGGTTTCCATCAGAATCACTCATAATGAGTTTTTTTTTTCTACTAATGAATAGGGCAAATCACTTGAGATTTCGTTCACGAGAGAATCTTGTTCTCATTCCTTTGATACAATTTTTAGCATGTTAATGATGTACAAGATAATGGCTTAAGAAAAATTTTTCTAGAAAAAAAATGTAATTATTAAAATTGATTTCGAATGACATGAACAAAATTTTCTGCAAAAATTAAGCAATTAATGATTTTTTTAAATGTACCATACTATTTCAATACTATACTATTAATTTTTATATGAAAATAAGGACATTTAATCATGATGATGATTACATTGTTTCAAACAATAAAATATTTTTCTATTAATCATTCTTAATAGTTAAGTTTAACTATAGTTTTGTGACGTATAATAATGACATCAAATATGGCATGATTCATTTATTTTTACTAACTTTTCCTTTATTAGTATAATAGAAAGAAAAGTATTACAATTTCAAACGATGTTCTCTATCAGAGCTACGAGGTTTAAGTATAAGAAATACTTGTATTGACCAGTACACAAAAACTTTATCAATATAAATTCGATCTATCTTTTCCAATTAGTAGAAAAGTTTTGTTTTAGTTCATCAAAAGTTTCAAGTTTTTGTTTGTTTCACAGTTGTTTCAAAAACTTACAGATTGAATAGTCGATGGGAACCACAGCTAGCGAATGGGATATCTATTTCTTGGATTTAACATAATTAATTTTTGATTCAATCAATCAAAAAAAAACCGATGGTTTTCTTCAAAGTGTGACTGGGAACATTGTCTTGATGAAAAATCATTTTTGTTTTTTAATTGTTTGGAAATGAATAAGGAAAATTATATGATAAATATGATTTCAAAATGTTATCAATATAATAATATGATTTAATTTTGAAACTTGATTTAACACAACGAAGAGATATGTTGTCACAAGATGAAATACCAGCTCGTACTATAAATTCTTGAGGATGAGATGTATCTTGTTGAATTATTATTCCTTTATGGCCTGGATCGATCTTTTCGATGTAAGAAACTTTTCTGTTTCTTTCAGAACTGTCGAAATAGAACCAAGATTCGTTAACAGTGATGAGATTTATATAGCGACTATTAGCTAATTATCAATAGAGTTAATGTGCACATCGAAGACGTTTTTTTTCGGCGTCATTTTAGTAATTTCAAGTTTTTTTTAAAGAATGAAGTTAATAAATCTTATGATTCCTGAAACAGTTGATCAGCTGACATGACAAGATTTGACAATGGAACATTGAATTCGAGGATTCTTGACGTCAAGTGTTTGAACAATTTTTAATAAAGCCAGTAGTGTAGACACTGGTTGTTTTTGAGAAAAATTAATTTTTTCAACGACATTAAGTTGACAGGCAATCTCTCATTCAATATATATATATATAGTTGAAAGTATTTCTGTTGCATAAAGTGTCAAAATACATTACTCGACCAATGTCAGTGACGGTTTTTGAGGAATTACTTTGAGCAGAGTATACACACCCCTTCTATATGAAATCCCAAAACTAGCGAAATTTTGTGAATCATGCAGTATATGTGTCTCACACTTAATATATATAACATTACTATGTCACTGCATCGATTGTTCTTATGTACTTCTATACATAAAATATAATTAAATTGATGTGAACTACACTTTTTCTGAATGATGTGTCATACGCTATGTCAATTCATTGAATATAGAAGACTATTAAAAATAATAGTCTGGAACATGAGTAATCTTTTCCATTGGAAATACTCCAATCGATCTAAGAAACAATTGAAAATTTTAGCCAAATATTCTTTAACAAATGTTATTGATATATATGATGTTTGTCTATCCATTCAAGGTAACGCTCTAGGGTATAGTAGTACTGATGTATTTATTATACTTATTATTTTATATCAAAATGTATTAAATTTTTTCTAGTTTGAATAAAAATAATGTTAAATCTTTTATTTGACAAACAAAATATAAATCTAGTCATTGATGATCTAACATCTTCAACAGAAAGATATTGTTGATCTTTTCTATAATTTAATATTTACTCTAAAATGATATTCTCTATTCAACTCTTGATAGTAACTCATCGAATAAAAAAAAAACAATAATTTGCAATTCTTTGATTTCTTTTCATAGGATTATGTCAATGATATAATTCATCTGGTGCACATGTACTAATAGCTGTAACATGTAACATATTTATCATATGTAATGAATTATGTAGATTGACATATCAATCTACTATTGTTCATCATATTCAGACTTTTTCACTCATTCTGATTGTCAATATAAATATTCTAATTTATAATTCTTTTCATCAATAATCAAATGTCAACTAGGTTATAAGAATTATAATCGAATGTCTAAGTATTCAAAATGCTTGAAATGTCAATTTTGTCTATAATGAAGAAATGATAACACCTACATCATTAGATAGATATATTATTATGTAAGAAAAGAAAAAAAAAAGAAAAGGAGAATACAAATATAAATACTAATGAAATGAAAACGAGTTGATAAAAAAGCAGAATGAAAAAAAGAAATATGAGACAAATAATATAAAATAACATACTCTTCAATGGCAAATAACAAACTCTTTCTACATAGCACAAGTAGTCATTGAAACTTACGTTAGAAACAATCAAAGGTAATTTCTTTTTAATTTACTCTAATAAACTCAGACGAATTTTATGAAGATAAGTATCTTTAAAACAGACAGAAAATATCTTTTCAAATAAAATATTAATTATGTCATTCATAATTTGTAAGAAATAGATAATACTAAAGTTATTATTCCTTTGAAGGTCGGTATAAGGGTCAAATACACACGAAGTATGTTTTTTTATTTCAACATGAAAATTATTATTTATAAATCTTTTATTTATTTCATTTAAGTTTTAATAATTAACAACATGTCAATTGTTTGAATAAATTTATCATAATTCAATTATATGAACAAAAGTCTAATTAATATTTGATATTTTTATTTTAGTGAATCATAGATATGGATACATAATAATCAATCCTTAATCATATAACAATAATGTGTCAATCATACTAATAAACAAGAAGATATATGTTCTAGTTTTGTGTAAGAGATATTTTACAAAATTATATATATCTCAATGTCATCTAATAAAAATAATCGATAAAACCAAAAGATGTCTCTAATAAACATTAATTTTAATGAAAATGAAAGAAAAACTACTATGTAAAGAATTTTCTCATATAATCTTAATCTACTCCTATGATTAATCTCAAGAAAAAAAAACGATGATGTTTTGGTTTTCAATCAATGCAAAAGAGACAATGTTTGATTACAAAGGAATGATCAATTCTCTCGCATTTTTGTTTTGTATGAGTACGGAACCAATGAGCAGCGAGCAAGCCACGTCGAGCATAGTCTGCTATTGTGTGTGTACTTCAGCAGACATAAGAAAAAAACGAAAAAATGATGAAGGTTGGTGAAATATTTTTGCCAGATGATCAAGATTTTCGTCAATTTAAAAACGATTGTATAACTGATGAAGGATGGGCTTTATGTTATGATAAATCATCATGTCGTGTAGCTACAAAAAAAAATTCTTTATCACCATTTGATGTTCTTCGTGTAAAATTATTTTTGTATATTTAATTAATCAAATCAAATCAATTCTATACGTATATTTCTAGGTGCAATCAGAATTTCAAGGTATATCAAGTGAATTGCTTTATGATGTTATACATGATGGTGAATTTCGTCAAACATGGGATACAGCTATGTTAGAAGGTTATGAAATTTGTTCTGTTCTGCCAAATAGTGATATAGGCTATTATTCAAGTAGGAAATAAACAACGAAGTTTTATTGAATAATTAATATTGTTTTTCTTTACGGTGTTAGTTAAGAGTCCACCGCCATTTAAAAATCGTGATTTTGTAACACAACGTTGTTGGTTAGATTTAGGACGAAATAGTGAAAAATACATTCTCAATCATTCTGTCAATCATCTTGTACGTGTTTTTTTTTAATTAATATTCTATTTCTAATTATATAAATCTATAGCGCGAACCACCGCGTAAAAATTGTATTCGTGGAATATCTTTTTTAACAGGTTATTTAATTATTCCAACAGGCCCTTCTTCATGTACATTTTATTATATGACACAATCTGATCCTGGCGGTTGGTTCATATAAAAAAATAAAGTTTTTTCTATTTAAATAAGATTGACTATTTTTTCTTATTTCTTTAGGTAGTTTACCAGCTTGGCTTGTAAATAAAATTTCGAAAGTACTAGCACCGAAGGTGAGATCTTTTAATTTCAAAAAGAAGTTAAAAGATAAACGAATTCTTTATAGTTAATGAAAAAATTAGCTAAAGCTTGTACAAAATATGATAAATGGAAAGCCAAAAATCAACCTTCGCATAAACCATGGCTATATCCTGAACAGATGACTATTGCTCGTTATAAACCAGATGAAATTGGAACATTTGATGTGAATGAAACATTAACATCCTCAGCTAATACAGGTGAAGCAAATGTAGGAGAAAATACAGTTGAAATAGATAATTATGTGAAAGACGATTAAATATTATCCTGTGATATACGTAAGGTGATGGATTCTATTATAATGTGAATTTTTATTTGCCACGATTATTTCCGCTGATAAATACTTTTTTCCATAATTCCATTGCTGTGGATATGCGTAAACATCTTGGTTTTGTTTTTCTCCTTCTTTCTTTTTTTTTTTTTTTTATTATTGTCAACTATCGAATGTTGTGCGCCATAATGCCTGTATTGTGTGGGCTGTTTGGAAGAGAAGCGACTAAATAAACTCGTCAATAAAAAGCAACAAGAGAACGACGGTAACGATGATGAAAAAAAAAGAAGAAAAAAATTTACTATTAGGTGACATTGAAATAACAAAAAAAAAGGAATCATAAGAAGTGCTGCAGCAATAACAAGAACGTGAATGAAAAGCTGTATGAATCATATAGATTAGTTTCACACAAAGATTTCGAAGCAAAAAAATTAGATTGAAATTTAATCAAATATTTATATAAGAAGTTTATTATGTCTTGGCGACAAATCCTAATTGGATTTCTTATATTTGCCACTCTTGTGATACCTATTGTCCAATTATCATTTGGTTTTCATTATATAAAACAAAATAATGTTTGTCCAATAGAAAGTGATATTATGTTATTGATGGCTATTGGTGGCGTATTTGAAGTGCTTTTTTTTGCTGCAAGTTTTGGCTTTGTCTGCGCAGTTACACCGTCAAAATATAAAAAACAAAAATCAAAATCTACAGCAGCAGATAATACTAAAGGAAGTAATCGTGCATCATTAATTATCGTTGGTAAACTATCTTATTTTTCTATTTATATTAGTTCTTCTTCTATTAATTGTATCTAGGTTTTATAACGGCTATACTTGGAGCATGTGCTATTATCTTTTTTGTTCTTATACAAATTCGAGTATATGCAAATTTTAATGAAGCTCAATGGACAGTTTCTGATTCACCAAAATATTGTCTATTTACAGTTTTTTCTAGTGCTTTTGGTCTGATGATTGCTACTTATGTTGCTTTTATATTGCTTATTATTGTTACGATCATCTTACTATGTGGAATTTATGCTCCAAAACAATAAAGAAAATAATTTGTTAAATAGAAGTTGGTTTTAATTGTAATTTTGCTCGCTGTTTTTATAAAAAAATTTATATTTGTAAATCGTGTTGAAATCTACATTAATGGGATTTTATTCTATAGTAACAATAATAGAGTAATGCTCAATTTTCCTTGTCTATAATTAATAAAATCTAATCTCAAATTTTTATAAAGAGAAGATTAAATCTGCAGAGTTGCATGAAGTTGTCCGACAAGATTTTTATACATTAATTTCAGTAATATAAAGCTACTTTAACATTAGTATCAAAGTAAATTTTGCTTTAATCAAATCCACGCTGAAGATAAGTCCTTTTTTTTTCTTTTTTTTGATTTATGAGTTAAGCGTTTATGAAATCAATTCGAATAGTAGATTCTTTATCTTTCAACAAATGTGATTTTTATGTCAAACTTCATAGATTAGAGAAATTCAAATGAATTATTGTCCAGTGTTTTCGCACACAAAAATATATATAATAAATTTTGAATAACGCTTCAAATGAATTTTGTATTAAACACAACAGAAGAAAAGTCTGTGATTTCAGTATCATAGATAGATTTTAATTTGAATACAAAACCTTATAGAATCAACCAACAGCCTATGAAAATCGAAGATTTCACGTTAGTTTTATCATAACACAACAAATCTACTTCATGCTATTTTAATTACTACTAGATGCACACCCCCGCTTGTCTGCACAATTGGGTACAACACTTTCCTTTTCAAACATCTGATCTAATTTTTACGATAAAAATGTTGATTTTCGAGTTGACTTGAACTTTCTTCGTATTTAATTATGATATGTGTAATGTAATATATTCTCAAATGCATTCCTATCACGATTAATTTCTATTAAAAATAAATGCTTGAAAGAATAAGGAATAATTATTAGCAGTAGTTACAGGAAACAAGTCATGAAAGTTCAATGTTTTGAATGTGTAATTTTCAATCACAGAATTTTATTCTCTTGAAAAACTTTCTAATGATTTGAACTCGATTCATTAACTTGTTCAAAGAAGATTCAATCAATGAAATTATTTATTAATTGGATCAGTGGTTTATATGCGAAAAACGAACGTATCAACATCTTTAATACTGATTTTGACACTACTAGAAAACAGATCTGCAGAAAAAATATTAGATATTAATATTAACAGTTAGTAAATTATTATAGAAAGTCACGCTATTTAAATATATATATTTGACCCTTTGAAAACACAAATAATGAACAAAATTAATAAATTTATTATTTTTAATTCCTTTTAATTATTGACAACATTCAATATAATATTCATTAAATAAAATTAACAATATCTAACCTTACTATTACTCATGAACAGAAATAAAATTTAAAACGAAAGAAGAATTAAAGAAGTCAGACAACCATTTTTAAAAGCAAAACAGAACTTTTTTCACGTCTTGATAGTAAAAATGTCCTATGAAAACGTAAAGAGCGTCATATTCAAGGTGGATGTAACACAAAAAGTACTAATACATGTTAAATGACCTACAAAAAATAAAATGCTAATTACCCTTGCTGAGAAGAATTTTCATTCTGTTTTTCTTGTTAAAACAAACATCTAATCATGAAATCATATATACACTTGACATCTTCTACAAGCATTAATAGAACTCCTACTTGATATTGATAAAAAGTTATGAATTTTTTAATTTTGTTAATATATTGTCAATAGAAATCAAAAAAAAATTCTTGTTTCTCATTTTGTTAGATAGTTGAATTGTTTGTTAGTAGAAAATAAAAAGCATTTGAAGTTTTTCAGAAAGAATAATTTTAAGAATTGAAACGACGTTCTATTGTGTTGTTAAGAACGAACGAACGTATGTACGACGTAACAAACGAACGATTAATAGTCTGAGAGAGAGAGAGGGAGAGAAGTCAACCGACAACGGTGATTGAAGAATAAGAAATTAAAGTAATCATTACATATTTGAAGTGAGAAAAAGAAAAAAATAAGAGACTCTTTTAGAGTATAAAATACCGAAGACCTTAACGTGAGCAGTCACAAAATCATCTAATAGGTGCTGAATTTGTTTCAATAATGACAACAAATTATGTCCATCGTGGTATGTTACATAGATATAAATATATAGATCAAATTTTTTTCTTAATGAAAACTATTATCTCGTTCTATTTATTTTCGAGTTGCTCTGAAATATACATTTTTATCAACTATTATTGTCAATTAATAATAACTTTGCATGAGAAAAAAACTTTTAGTCAAATTTTTGTGAGATTAAAATATGAAACACGATATAGATGCTGTTGCTAATCACATAGAGATTGTTTTATTCTATTTATTTCGAGACACATTTGTTCACCATCGTTTTACTTAAACCTTCAGAAGTATAATAAGGAAATAGCACATATATTATAACGAGACGTTATTGATATACGGTCGTCTGTCACGCAGAGAGAAGAAGAGTATTGCTAAGATGTCTGTCACGCATGGAGGGAGTATCGTTTAGGCTTGGAGCGGGTCGAATTTTTCCTAATCGGACCGATTGATTGAAATTCTCGGCTTAATCAACAGAAAACCGGTCTGTGCAATTAAAGAATCCATTGACAAAAAATCGGTGCATTTATATGCGTCAATTAACTTATTAGTTCTTTTGAGAAAAAGTTTATTAGTACAGCTCACGAAGGTATACAAGGTGAAATTCATATAACTGTTGAGGTTTCTAATGGTAACAACTTCTATTTTAGTCTCTCGCGTTCCATATTTGCTAATACTCAGAACAAAGGAAGAATTCTTTTAAAACCTGTCATCTTGCTAACTCATAATAACTGATATTGAATCAAATCTATGCTTCGTTTGCCTGGTTTTTCTTGAATAAAGATATAATTGCTTTACAAGAACTGATAAGCTTAATATTTTCTTGTTTGAAATCATTGTTTAACCCAACTGAAAGGCTTCTCAATTTATATAAATTTATTACTGCCGATAGAAAGAAAAAATGAACTTCAAAGTTCGATTTTTATATTAGGCTTCATATTTGTGGGTCACTTAATATTTAGATATTGCCACAGTTACATGAAGTAATAGGCAACAGAACTTCTACAACAAAACAAAATTTTTTCTGATATTGATGTGGAAATAAAAGCAGCTCAACAAGTGTGAGCTCGAAATTTTGAGGTTAACAATCTCTTGTTTGTATCGAATTAACTTCTAATGGCTGGGTAACCTTTCGTGACTATGATCAATACATTCTGCATGATCCGAAACCATTATTACACTATGAAAAAAAAGTGAGTTCAAAACTTAAAACAGGGACTTTGATGACTACTAGAAACGCGTTAGTTGGAAACTTTTGCATTCATATTTCTGGGACATTAAGGCCGTGAAAATGGACCAAAGCGAGCTAAATAGACTAGCTTCAGTCGATTAAAAGCTGATAAAAATAGTAGTGAAAATCTTCCAGATCTAAGTCTGATATTGCTAAGGCATCTGTCATGGTCTTTAATGAACCGTTTCTTACTTGCCTGTCGGAAAGGAGTGTGGTAAGTTTTTAACTCTATCCTTGAGCATTACTTTTAGATCGAATGTCATCAACCAGTGATGAATAAACATAGTAGAAAAACTCAGAGAAAAAAAAATGCATTCTTCTCTTTAATTTTAATTAATTATTATACATATAAAGATAAGAGTTTTTATTTGTTCTATAGAACCAATACGGTTTCAACCATCTCCACGTATTGTTCCATCAGACAATCTTCAATTAACTGAGCAACAAATTAAAGGTCGTCAACAACTGGCTCATGTGTATGTTAATATCAATAAAAATATTGACTTGAAATAAATATTCATTTTTCGTTCTAGGAATGTTGTTGTTACACAAGCTGGAAGAAACGTTTGGGATTTTGAATATCCATGGTCAAATAAACTTTGTTCATGTTCTACAGATATGACCCAATGTAAATAATATTGATTTAATTCTAAAAGATATTTATTTTGACTTTTGTTGTTAGGTTGTTTTGCTTTCTGTTGTTTATGTTGTTTCGAATGTAGATTATTTAAACGTGCCGGTGAAAATATGTGGACCAGTCTAGCTCCTGGTGCAAGATATGCACTTCGATCAAAGATTCGTACTGCATTTCGTATTGAGGTAATTTTACATGTTCAGTTTGTCTTTCTGTTACATGTTAAAAAAGAAATGAATTTATATAAATCTTTCCTGCTAGAAAAAATATTACATTCCCGTTAAGCTGTCAACATCTGTTGGAGAGTTTCTATTGATCATACTACTCTTCTACTCAACTAAAATAATTAGTAAATCTATAATTAATTACCTTTTGTTACTAGATTTCGAGTATTTATATGTTAATTAATCTGATTTCATCACGCTATTAAACAGTTACATGTTTCGGTATTCAATATTCACAAAGTGATTCATTAAATAAATCAGTAGAAAATATGAAATAGGATATAATTTGTTCGAGCTGACAAATAAACTCTAATCTTCTTTTCAGGGTGATTTATGCGAAGATTGTTGTGTTTCAACATGTTGTCCATGCTGTTCAGTCATTCAAATTGAACGCGAACTTCATTATCAAGGTCTTTAAAAAGTATATTTACCACCATACTAATTTCAATAAAAGCATTATTTTATCGAATAAATATTTTTAATTTAACTAATTGAAGAAAAAAAGGAACCATCCAACTTAGACTTATTTTTCTGTCTTTATTTTTATGTACAGAATATTAAAAAAATAAAATAAACATATTTGATGATTTTTAATTTATGTCGAAAGTTCATTAAGATAGGATTGTGCATCATATAATGATTGAGAACATTGTCGTTGAAAAAAAAGTTTTTTTAAATTAAGTTCAACACATGATAATCTACGTTTATTAAATAATGTTTCCAATGCAGTCCACATATATTGATGATAAAATTCATTTTTATTCATTTTTAAGACTGTTGGTTTAAACCACAGATATAAATGAATAACATTACAAACACGAGATACAGACGGACGCTAAAAAAATAAAATCTTTTAGATAAAACCGAATAGAAAACCAATATGTATATGTAAATACCTCTTTAGGATTTCTTCGTAACATTGAATGAACAAGTCTTTCAATAAATGGAGATGCTAGAGGTGAAAGTGATGGTAGTTGTTCATCATTATATGTTTCTTGTCGATATGAACCATGAAAAAATGGATTTGGTAGAGAAAAAAATTCATAACATAAAGCACCACTTGCCCAAAGATCAGCTTTTCTATAATCAAGGTAACTTTTTGGACCAGCTTGACATGATACAATCTAATTTAACAGCATCAAAATATAAAAATCATCAATCATTTGTAAGATACATGCTATAAAATTTATCTCTTTCAATACACTAATAAACAATTAGAAATCCAAATGCAACGTTCAAAGTTAAAAGAAGGAAGAAGAATACCTCTGTCTTTAGGCATGGAGTGCTATCTAATAACAGATTCAGTAGCCCAATATGTTCCCTACAACGAATATTAGCTGTGACTCTAAAGCGAAGACTAGCATAACGTCGAGTTCATGTACTGATTTTTTTGAGCTTCCAAAACATACCAACTAATCAAAAGAGGAAATGGTGGAAATGATCATCACGATCGGAAGTCTACCGCTATTGCAAAAGTGTTCGAAAAATTCTTCAAAAGCCTCTTCCGTCACTGTACCAAATCAGCACAATTAGATTGAATCTATCAGATTCAGCACGATTCTAACTGTTGCACTTGTAGATACTCAAATCGAATGCAAATCCATGCAATTTTACAATTTAGATGTCATGTGTTTCTTCTCATTGGCGAACATAAAACTAAAACTCAAAAAACAAAAGTTTAACTTAATTTCAATTGTTCTCTTTTATTTATTTCAACTATTAAAACAGAAAATAATCCAAAACTTGAACTTCTCGTTTTTTTATAGTTCTTGAAAATTTATTCATCACAATTTTAAGAAAACTTATACATTCAATTTCATTTTCAACGAGCTCGCATTGTTAGAATTCACTATACATCATTGTTACAACAAGATTTTTTTCTCGACTTTGAACGGATCGTTCAATTGTTATTGTAACATGAAATTAAACATCAAATAGATACAAGCTAATCTAAATGCAAGAACATTTATATACAAAAACCAAAAATATGAAACATGATCTTCAAATAAAGACGACTTTTTAATTCGAGTGTAAATAAACATCTTCTCTTCATGTGCACACTCATTCATATCCTTATCTCATACTACAGTACTACAACTGACGAATCGAGTACCCGTACAAATACGGATGTGAAAAGTAAGGATTTATGGAGACTCAAACATAATTTTAAACTTTACATTTCTTACTAAATTTTAAAATATGTGTCTGTTAATGCTGGTGTTTAATAACAATATCCTTGAACACATAGTTGATTCGTCGTTCTGTTAAACTATCAGCCATATGTCATAGCAATGTAATCGACAGATTGAGTACTCGTAATTACTTACGCGTATGACGAGTTGTATATATGCAATGCTCTATCTCACATCAGTAATAACTATTGAATTACCACTATAAATGATGATCGAATCTCTTTGAAACCTTACTTTCACTTTGATCAAACTCGTTCTTAGTTAAAGGCAAAACGATGAGCTTTGCTCGTGTATTATGAGTACTGATTCATCAATGACAAAAATAAATGTTGAACTAGTCAATATCTATCCAAAGTATTTAGTTCTCTTTCAAAAAAACATAATTTTGTTTCAATCGATAATAATACTTTATTTTAGGACTTAGATTACTTCCAAGACCAGTTATTATATGCATATAATTTTATTTCATATAAAAGTTGATAATTACTATTTAAAAATAGCTTTTCTTTTATAGCATGTATACTCTTCTAGATATTACTTTCATACTATCCAGATCACAGTTTTTTTCTGACTAAAGGTTCACATCTTCTATACAGTGTAGCAAATACTTTACGATCAAAATCTTTATAGACAAATAACTCACTTCTTCTATAAAATATGTGAACTTTTCCTAAACCAAAATAACTTTGGATTAAACTTTGCGCCTTCATTAATAGAAAGCTAATAAATTTCTCAACTGTATAAGTAATCGAAAATTTAAAACAAACTTTATTCATATTCACAAATGATAAGTAGCCTGTATATATCTCTCTATAGTCAGCAAATTATGAGGTGGATAATCCGAGACAATCAACTGTTGATGACTTGTCCATGGTTGGTGATACCAAGATTGGATCATAGTTACTTGTGGTATATTTACAAAGCAATGTAGTCAGGCAAGCATGGTGATCCTCTAAGACTAGACAATTCTGTTTTGATTAAAATCGATAATTTTCTTATTTTCACTATATTAAAATATCGTAGTTTCCTAGATACTACGATACATTCTCAAAGTTTTATCTTTTTGTGTCTTGAAAGAGACGTCAATTATTTATATTTACATATAAGAACAATCAATTTTTCAATTGATTATTATATTTGATATATAAAACTCACTTCAGGTGCCATTAATGCAAGATTTCCACCTTTACCAATTTCATCAGTTGTATAAGGTACTTTTAAATTGGGTGGTTGATATAAAGCACAACCAAAATCAGCTAAAACAAGCTCACCAGTTGAACTACATATAAGTAAATTATCACTTTTTAAATCTCTATGAACAATTGAATGACGTTTTAAATATAATAAAGCTTCAAGTAATTGTGAAAAAAGTATTAAACGTTCCTCATATGTTGGTTTACTTAAACGAATATATTCACTTAAGGTTAAATCATAACGACGCATAACAATAAATAATGTTTTATTTCTTCCATAACCATCTGGTGATAAACTTGTTGGTATTGCCATTGGATAATATACATATGCTTCATTTAATAATGGAAATGAATCAACAAAACATGAATACATATGAACTATATTTGGATGATAAGAACATTTGCGTAATGGTAATAATTCTTTATCCATGGCCTTTTCAAGAGCTTCAGCATTAGATTGAATACCATAATTAAATAACATTTTTATTGCTAAATTAAATTCACCAGCTACAAATAGACCAAATTATGAGTTTATAAATAGTTAATTTAAAATAAATATTTACTTGGTAATACATTAGATTCAATACTAGATGACGTATTCATATTTATCGACGCTCGATATCGAACTATAATAAAAAAGCAATAAATTTCTTTTTAATAAGCAGATGAAACTATTCAAGCGAAGATAATATTTTATCTTCTTTCTCTAATTAATATAATTTTGATATAAGTAATTTTAGTCCTCAGTTTTTTTTTCCGAATAATTTCTATGTCAAGGTATTATCTTGGTTACAAAAGAATTACTTAGAATTATTTTGATTGATTGAATCTGTCAATAACATAAAGCATCTAGCAACTGCTTAATATAGTGAGCACAAACGTTCATACATAAGATAACAATATATATGTTTATGATATATATATGGTTAGATATCATTGGCATGATCTTTTATGTTCTCATTATTATTTGATAATGTTTGTCTTTTCATTTTGCCTATTCAAAAGTATTTGACTAGTTATTAAAAAACAATTTCTCTTATAATCCATCTATATGCGAAACAAATCAGTTCTTTTTCTTTCAATCATTTTTAATAAGATTCATAATTGTTCATATTCATCGCATTGAATACTTAGATCAAGGTAATGGGTGACGCAAAATTCCATAGAAATATAACCTTGAATACATCATCAGAAATAATAACTCAAATAATTGGTACAAGAAGACTATAAACTTTAAAGGTCATGAAGTTTCTTAAGATTCATTGTTTTTTTTTCTCATTGATAAATCACGTTAATTTTACTCTGATGATCAAAGTCTATAGTTTTTACTTAACCTTAATTTATTTTATAATATCATAGGAAACCTTTATCATACCTTCTTTTAATGTTAATTCATGAAGTCGTTCTTCATCATCAAGGTTATCATATGCATCTTCATACAAAGATGAAGTATTTGATGATTGACGTGAAAGTGTTTCAATATCACTTTCACTACTGTTTTCATCATTAATTATAGAATCTGATTGTTTTGTTATTTGAGATATTCTTTCTGATGATGCGCGAAGTCTTGCTTCGTAAACTGCTGCATTACAACCATAACCAAGTAAACGACCTAATTCGAAATCATCGAGCGATGCTCGATTATATTTTTCATTATCATCATTTGATTGATCCACGTTGGTATTTTTTGATAGAAGAGTACCAATTTTATTGATTGTTTCGTCCGAACGAATAGAATCAAATGATGATTGTGGTACAAGTGAATAACCGAGAAAACTTAAAAGAAGACGTGAACCAGTTGGACCTAAGCAAAAAAAAATTACAAAATAGAAATTATCTGAAGATTAATATTCATATTCATTTTAGGAGAAAAAAAATTATTACTTTTGTTTCTTCTTTTTTTGTCAAAACGGAAGGAAGAAAAGAAAAAACACTTTGAATAGGAAATTTCTTTTTTCAGTGTCAATTTAATGATAAACTATAATTTATAAGTAAACTTCTTATTTCAACAAGACAACATTTGATTAGTTCAAATGATGTTTTTTATTCTTAATATTATTTAAATATTCCCTTACGGAATGTATCAATGATTTATGCTTCACTACTCTAATTTACTGCTCAATATTAACTATAGAAAAGAAAGAAAAAAAAATATATATGCAAATATGTTTGCGGTCAACTAATTTCAAAGAAATCAGTACACAAAACGAATGTCTAAAATAAATACAGTTGAATAAAGATAAATACTGAGACTCAAGTTTGCCTAGCGAATATGATAAGAATAAAAACCTAAGAGCAGTTGTTCTACATGTCATCTCATCTCATCACATTATTATCATTGTCTGCTTTTTTCTTTTTCTGACAGGCGTTTAGCACAGCTTGTTCTATTCCCTCGAGATCACAAACCAGTTGATAGAGAAAAAGAGAAAGAAAAGAAACTCATTTGTTCGTTCGTTCACCTCTTTTGTTACTATACAAATGTTGAACGGGGACGACATTCACTTGTCTTGGCCTGCTTAATGGTGATCTGTGCTATGTACTTTTATGAGGAGAAGAACAAGAAGAAGAAGAAGAAGAAGAAGAAGAAGAAGAAAGAGAAGAATTCTAGTCGTTTCTCTCTCTTTCTCTTGTTGGTTTTATTATAACTACTTCTCTTCACTATATGGCATAAATTCGTTTTTTTAATGCAGCTACACGACAGAGCAACCAGAAAAACTCTTCTTTTTCTCTCTGTTTCTCATTACTTTTGAGTGTGTTGAAGAAATGAAAGTACTGATATGCGTATATATGAAAGAGTCAACAAAAAGAAAACGAAGAAAGAATAAAAATACAAACCAGCAAAAAAAAATCGTCGTTTAAGTTCATTGAGCGTTGTTCGATATGGCAGTAAATTCGAAAGATTTTGTTGGTAACGACCAATCGATGACCCGTAATACGGAAAGAATGATCGATAAGTAGATGAAAATGAATCGAAACATAATGGATGTTTTGGATGAACTTGAGGATTTTTATTAATTTGTGGTATTTCATGAACACGGGAAGAGTATATTGGTTTCAGTGAACGAGAAAGAATCACTCGACTTAATCGAACAAGCATAGTGGCTGTTCCTTTAAACACCATTGTCGACGTAAACAATGGTGTAACGAAGCTCAAATAACTAGGAGAAACAGTATAGCTGCGAGATAGACAATATTGTAGTATTTAAATATATACACAATCATCATGTGATTGCATTTCGTCATCAAAAACACAACGAATAGGAAGATGATAAACATACGTGTTACCTGGTGTGTCTTCAGATATGCTCCTGATGACTCAAAAAAAAAAATATTTCGTCATTCTTTTTCTTTTATTGCAATGGACATTTTTTAAATTTAAGTTAGTTTTATTCATTTGATTTATTATAAACAAAAATTGAATAGAATGATTCCGACAACAAAATTTTTTTTTCATTGATTAACAAGTAAATCATCTCAAGTATCGCTAAATGTTTCTTCAGAGGAAGCAATTTTTCTCTTTTCCTAATTTAGTGTACAGTAAATCATGTGTAAGATAGAGTAACTTCCAAGACTTCTTATTTTGAGGTCTACAGTTTTCTAATATCTCTTTCAGTTTCAAACATAGTAACAACAGATAAGAATGAGATCTTTTTTTCATATATTATCAAAACATTAAAATACAAAGTAAATGTTTGAGTACGGTCAATAACATAGAAGTGAGAAGCACATTTACATTTACAAACAAGTTTGATGTATTTTAATTTTGATTTTGTTGGCCTTTTAAAAATATCAATTACTGTATTCTGTATGTCAATCATCAAGTATGAATGATATCATTGGTTAACCTTTAGTTTCTTTCAACAAAATAATAATATCATGATGTAAGCTAAATAAATTGATAGCGTGTAATGAATAGTCGATTATTGTCTCAAACCTTTCGAATACACATACATTGTTACAAAATGCAGCAATAAGCTCATTTGATAGAGAATTCAATTGTTTATAAAGCTGTCAAGTGTTCCTCTCAAAGAATTTTTCCTGTTGTTGTAAAATTCCAAAAAATGAATACTTATTCTCTCGTACAATTGGGAATATCAAAAAAAAAAAAACGAGAAAATGTTGAAAAATTATAAAGAATGAATGCACGAAAATTTTACATATGCTACATTAAGAATCCACATGGAATTTTGTCTTTACTAAAAAAATATTTGAAAACACAATTTTTGAAATAATAAATGCGAAGTCACAGAGAACGCTTGTTAAACAGACACCAGCTTTTGTCTTGAATAAATTCAAAGTTGTTTAAATCTTTCAACTATCCAACTTAACACTTCAATCATTTTATTTCGAGTTAAATTGTTCATCCGATCATATAAGAATCTATCATTTGTAGGACCCATCTAGCATAGAAAAATCATGATTTATCATTATACGTTTAAAAACACTTCTAGGTGCTAAATTTGACTTTTTTTTTTGTATAATAATTTTAGTTGTAACATGGATCTTCGTGAACGCATGCTCACTATATAGTATCATTTTGATATCTTGACAAAAGTAATAAATCGCCGATGACTAGTTGAATATATGTTAATCTTTTGAACTTAACTCCAATACGGAGACTATTCCTGAGAGAAAACACTGACAGAATTAAATTTTCTGTGGTTTACATCATGATATTATGGCTTTGTCGAGTGGAACCAAAGAATAATGAATGACATCATTCATAGAGATGCACGCCGTACGGTATAGAAAATTCAATCTTTTCAAAGGTCAACAATGTCACACTTCGAACGCGTACAATTTGACTGAGCATCACGAAATTTTTTTCTTTTAATATAATCTTATCATAAGATTAAATCTAGAGATTTGAATAAGAATTGATGAACGATCGAAATTTTGAAACAAAAATGATAATATGTTCTTTGTTATTAATAAGGTATGAACACATTCATTTTAGTCACAGCGACCTCACTCTCACACACTGCTCTACGTGTATAAATCACACCAATCAGTGTGACGATGTTATGACAGTAGAGTAAAGGTATCCAATGAGGTATATCAATGAAAACTTCTCTGTTTCGTTCATTATTATGGCGCAAAAATAATATATAAGATTCGTTACTAGCAGTAACCAATCAACGTTACGTTAAATAGGTCATCATTCAACATTTACGTTGAACCTTATTAACATGTTTCATTTTATCTAACCGTATCATTCATATGCCTATTAAGTATTAACTCGTAGGTTTTATTCTATATGATCATGTAGGAATATAATTCATTATGTAAGTTGAGTAGCGACATCAATCTTGTTTAATAAACGCGTCATTCTTTTATCAAATGGAACATTAAAAGGTAAAAATAATCTATTTTAACGTGAATGGTCTGTTCTTTTTACACTCTTTATTGATCAACAATAGTAAAAACTTCATAAATAATTATAATATCGAATTAAATGGCTGAAGAAACATCTAATTCTAATGATTACGAAATAGAAACGTCGGAAAACAATGAATCATCAAATTTAGATGAATTTCGAGTGAGAAAAAAAGCAGCAAATTTTCTTCCATTATTAAATAAATTGTTTTTTTTTATTTCATAGGAAATGGTAAATGTTGCACTGAATTTAGATGTATCTGCTGATACAAATAATGAGAGTAAGACATTTTCATCAATTTTATTTTTATCTGTAATATTCTTATAGAAGCATCTATTGATGAACAAAGTATTAATCAAGCTTTATTATCACTAGATATTTGCGATGATACTCGACAAATAAATGGAATTAATACTAACACAGCTGTTTCAGTTGCAGAAGTACCTAATGATATAACTGATAGTCTTAATGTAGCTGCGAAACAATTCTCTTTACTCTATGAAAGTGTTGTTAATGTATCAACAGCTGAAACAGATGAAGATTTTATTGACGATTCACTTGAAAGAGAAGATGAAATAGCTAGTAATTATGGCAGACCATGTTCAGAACAAAAAACAGGTAAGAAAAACAAAACAGAAAAATATTTTATAAGCTTTATATATTAAGTTCAATTTCAATCTTCCTCAACCACTCCTAAACCAACAACTTATATAACTACGGCTGGTTACCAACAACCAAAACGACATATTATGATAAGTTATAATCGTTCATCACGTGAAACATGTCAGAAAATTTATGATCGCCTTGTGGTAATAATACATGAATATAAGATGGTGAAAAAAGTTTAATGACAACGTATTTTTTATTTTTTTTCGTATAATTATAAGTCATTAGGTCAAATCCATATATTAATTTTGCTATTCCATGAACTTTTCTTTCCCGAACATTTCATAGATGAACTATGATGGTAAATTTCTTAAAAATCACACAAGATGGTTTTCATTTTCAGAGGATTTCGTCGAAACTATCTGTCAGTAACACCATTGTACAGAGAATAAAGTGAAAGATCACGGCATTCCCTACGATTTTACCTTGTCTGAAAGAGTTAAAACTATTACAAAAACCGTAAAAAACTCTTTTAATTTTTGTAATAGTTTTAAGTCTTTCAGACAAGGTCAAAAAAAAATGCAGCGACTCGTCATTTTGTTTTTCATTTAAATAAAATTTTTAAAAAAACCATGTCTGAAAAAGTATTGTGGAACCTGAAAACGACTGTGTGCGAATTGTTTAGAAAGCTTGCCATCATGGTTTTATCTATGCAATTTAAGTAAAAGAAAATTCCTTTACCTATTAAAATCACTATCTTGATTTCAACTATTCGGTTGACATTATAGAACAAAAAACACAAGAATACTTGGTTATTAAACGTTTTTTTCACCATTTTTTAAATGTATGATTAAAATTTTTATTCTTTGGTATTTTAGGAAAGAAATTATAAAGTTTGGATGGATTTAACGGATATGGGTGATGATATACTTGTTAGTATGGCTCGAGCTGTAGAAAATTCTTATATTGTACTTCTTTGTATTAATCAAAAATATTATGAAAGTGATTATTGTCGATTAGGTGAGCGGATAATAATTTTTTTCAATATTCTTCTTTCTAATTTTTGTACATAAATTTCTTTAGAAGCTGAATATGCAGCTGAAAATCGTGTTAAATTTATTCCATGCTTAATGGAAAAATCTTTCCGTGCTGAAAGTTGGTTAGGTATTATAAAAGGTTCGAACGTTCATATTGATTTTTCATCACCCGAAGATTTTGATGAATCATTGGAAGAATTAATTCGTCAAATAACATTTGTTGAAAAAAAATTATCACTACAACCTCGTAAGATTTTATTTCTTACAACATGATTTAATAATTAATTTAGGTCGTACTCCTGCACCTTGCTCAATGGTAAATCCGATGAAATTAGCAACGATGTCTACATCATATACAACAACATCAGCACCTACACATGATGTAAGCTCTCGCCGTTTTGATGCTATTATTCGCGAATATAAGCAGTCAATAAAGAAAAAACGACATCAATTAAATCGATTAAAACGAAACGAACTATCAGATCTTATTGTTAAACTTCGTCAAGAATTATTTACTGAAACATCACAAGTATTATCAGATAGTGATAGATCAGATGATGAAGATGACAAACAACATAATGATAATCAAATTTTAGAGCAACTTTTAAGCCGAACATTAGATCAAAATGATTTCTTATTAAGATTAGTTGACCGTTTAACAACACCACAACCTGCAGAGCAGAACAATACACATAATTTAGATGTGAATGCAATTTTGAAAGTGATATTAGCTGTTATGATTTTATGGGCGTTAAATATATTATATCATAAAGAATAATCATTTTTTATGATTAGTGAATGAAGTCTCTGTCCGTTTGTTTTTGAAAGTCTGTGATAATTAATAAAAATTGTGTCGGACATCAAATATGTATACATTAAAATCATTTAAATAAAAGCAAGATTTTGTAAATTTTGTCTAATTAAAATGAAAAGTATTCTTATTGAGTTTGTTTCACAAATTGAATTTTGATGAATCATAACATTTTTGTTACTAACTTCTTCAAGTAGATTGTCTTTTTTAATTTTCTTTTGAAGTTCACTCATATATGTGAAATATTTATTTTGTTGGAACTTAAATTGGTATTTCGCATTATTTTATTTGCGTAACTCATAAGTATTTGTATTTGGTATTAAGATGCTGAAGTACTCCCCGCAGTCTATAGTAGTGTTTACATCCTGAATATCAAGAGTCACTTGTTGAACATTCTTCTGCTGATGTAAGTACTACGAATAGTACTCTTTTATACTATTGCTTTTATCATAATTAACAAGAGATTTATGTAACAAAAGATTGCATTCAAATAAAAAATAAAAAGCATAATTAAATATCGATCATAAACTGCAATTTAATAGAGCATATTAGTAACTATTTCCGTACATTATATGAAATGATTTGATTAAAAAGTTTCTTGGTATTGTTAATTTAATATTCAAATAAATATTTTACAGTTTGTTTTATTTTCTTATTAAAAATTTGTAACGAAGTTTCATCATAGACAGTTATTTATAATAACATGTACCGTTTAGAGCTTAGTTGTTTCATTCAACTTACAGTTTTTATGATCTACGAAACATTGTGATTGAAAAAAGAATCATATTGTTGTTGAGTCTGTCAAGTGAGTATCGCACCGGTGTTATCAAATGTTACGGAGTTTCAAAAAATGAAATTTTGTTTCAGAAGATCTGAGGATGTTATATTTTACTACAAAAAACAATTTTAGAATATTAAGTCAGTTCTGAAGAAGCATAATTGCATTAAATGAAAAAACGAAAAAATAATGTTCGTTATAGGACTTTAACCTTTTCCCCAAACCTTTCAGCTTAAGCCAGAATAAATTTAAAAAAAGAACAAAAATTATCAGATATTTGTCAAAAGTGTCAGATTCGGCATCAAAAGCTATATTTTTCACTAGGATTGACGAACAAATACTTTTCGATTACCTTGATCCGAGGAATTTTCGAAAAAACTCAAATCGAGGTTCGATAAAAAAAATATTCTGTTTTGTTCAGAATTTGGCGTTAATTTCAAATATGTTCTTTTGACACCCACACAGGTTCATATTTGACAAAGTATGCCTATTAGAAATAAATCATATCAGCTCGGTCTATTTTAATACCAGTATAATTTCCAACAGCTTTGTATGTCACAGACTCTCAGTTCGTAATATGAATAATAAGCAGCTTCATCTGCCATGTTCTACACGTATTCCATTTTAGTCAAGTATCTTGATACTATGAAGATGACTTTACTTTTTCTTTTCATGCACTAGTTTCACTTAAATCACTCAGTTCTAAATTGTCACATATCTAGTTCTATCTAAATATTTGGTTGTTGCCGAGAAAATTAGTCATATTAGTGACAATAACGCACTTTGAAACGAGTTTTGTCATGAAGTTTGATTAAAAACATACATGGCTTGTGAACACATTATATTGTTTCGTACACATCTCACATTTATTTGAAGACCATATGTTGAAAAAGTTTTTCACATTTTATTTGTTAATATATTATTCAATAACTTCTTTTTTCTATGGATTCATATTTGTCTAAAAAAACAAAGTCTTCTATTATAGTTTACCGAACTTTTCGAGTTGGTCATTCTACGAACAATTAGGCATGTATGAAACATTCACGACTATTAAGAAATAGAAAAGCTGTCATTTAATATACTATCAATCATGTTCTTTTCAATGGTAGACTCGGTTGTCTTTTCTTTCGAATTCGAGCTCTTCTAATCTAATTCATTAATTCACCAGTTTTCAAAAAACTTGTCCGTTTGTCGAACGCGAGTGATCAAAATTTTTCTCCTAAAGTCCCGTCTTATCGTATAAATTACATATAATTGGATTGTGCATTCTCTTGAAATCGACTTTCAAAAGAATGATTGTAAAATATTTTTTCCACATGCAACTACATAATGACACCATCTCAAATCAGTATCCTTGATCCACTTTTTTGTAGTAGATCACCATCTAAGCAAAATTCATTCGAAAAAAAAGAAAACATGTTATATGATCATCATAAGATATTCTTTTAAGTTTTTCTTATCAGAAAAAAATAATAATAAAAAAAGTTAGCTTATCTAAATTAGATAATTGATAGATACAGATATATATACAATACACAACAAAAGTAAAAATAAAACATAATCGTCAATTTCAAAAGCTTTAACAAGTAGTTAAATTAATTGCATTCGACATGTTAAACGTTCCATGTGGTTGTTTGAGTACAACCATTGTTAGTCGAAAATAGATTATCGAAAAAACAATCGTACTAACAAATACTAGTGTAGCAGCAACCATTTGAAGAATAACTATTTGACAATGAGATGTTAATTCACGTGTTGGTTCACTTGGTTTTGTTATACATCGTTTTCGATATAAATCACTATGTAACAATATTTCAGTAATTGTAAACATTAATGCTGAATTTGAAAAAAAGAAGTTTCATTTAAAAAAAAATAAAATAAAATCATTTTTCTTACCAACTAGTTGAAAAATCAATATAACTGATGTTTGATGACGTTCACGATCAGTACCCATAACTAAACATAATAAAAAAAAAAAAAGACTATAAAAGAGACAATTAATTGTTTTTTTATTTTCAACAAACCAAGCACAATAATAGCAGCACCAGCAAGTGCATAAATAACACCACACCAAAGTCCTAGAGCAATATCGAAAGTAAATAATTCAAGGGCAAGTACAATTAATCCAGCAAATAATTCAAAAAAGCCAAGAATCGCTACTGTTACAAAAGGAAATTTTCTTTGAAACGGAGGAATAATTGATATCGCATTTATATTATTTTTGGAAATAGTTTTAATTTGATCGGATAAATTCGACTCAAGTGATACATAGACAGGCTGTTGTTGCTGTTGTGTATTGTTTTCATATGATGATCGTACAGGTGACGAAGGAATCGTCTCATAGTGGTAAACAAATGATTTCGGAATATTTATATCTATTGAAAAAGAATATTTTGTGGTAATTAATGAATTGAATTTTGAGAAAAACTTACTTTCATACATTGAAGTATAAATTTAAACATTGAATCGAAAGAAGCAACGTGCACATGTCGAATGAAAGATATGAATGATTATGATAAATATGATACGATCGAACGAAATTAAAAGCGATGTTGAACGAGAACAAAAAAAAATACACGTGTTTTATTACAGATTGAACTAAGAAATGTTCATCGAACGAAAAGATAGAGAAGTTAATCGTTAAAGCATTTTTTATTGTTTAACTGAAACAAATAAGTTAAAAGCTAAGAAATAACAAATTTAAGCTGAAAAATTGTTATGTCATTCTATGGAATTCATATTTACACTCACGGAGAATAGTGAGTGTAAGTTTAAATAAAGATCTCAGCAACTCTTCCTTTCTCAGCCTTAGCAACACAATTCAAAGGTCAGACATCAATGAATATGTTTTCATAGCAACAGATGGAGGAGATCGATGGTCATTGAATATGTTCCTGTAGTAGTCGGGGACAGCCGTCACCCTACGACTTTGCCAGAGTTAGTTTACAACAGACGAATTTTTTCTAAACTTTTCTCTTTAGTTTGAGAAGATGAGGATTGAAATGTTGAACACACAATTTTCATTTAATACTACGAGCATCGCTCATATTCAGTCAACAAAAACAAGAATATGGGTGTGTCTTCTCACCGATATCCACACCCACACCTTTCTTCTATGATGTCTGAGGAAATCAATTTTTTATCCTAATCACTACATAGAATCTTGTTTGTAACGAAAAATACTAAATAAATAACCTATTCACGTATACTTACACAAGGAATCAGCATTCATTTATTGTTTTTCTACGATTTTTTTGATTTTGTTTGCTGATATCACTAATATGTGAGAACTAATTGTGTACAATTTCGCACTATAGTCAAAAACAATGCATAAATACAGCTACAGTAGTAATCAAGAAATTAAGAAAAGTTGCAGATGATGATATTGTTTTCTGCTATGACAATCATGTAAAAAACAGAAAATGATGATATCAATTTATTTTAGAGCCCGTTTATAGAATAAGTAATTAAATCCGAATATTTCATATTAAAATGATTTCTGTCATTTTTTGTCATGTATATTTTGAAGAAATTGTTTTTAAAAAGTATATTGTTAAACAGCTCGAGTTCCAATTTTTTAGGAATCGAAATTGAAACCATTTTTTTTCAGTTTTACTAACCAGTTCCGGGTATATTTTGGAACCGCTGGACTTTAGTGGAAAATCAGATCATTCTAAGATATTTAACAAATCAGTAAGATTTGCTAATTGAATAAACAGGCAAGGCAAAAGTGATTGAAAATTTAGGACAGGTCCTTCGCCATATTAGAAAAGTTATCAAAGGTTTCTCCTGGTATAATCTGTTTTCGATTTTATTGTCGAAATTTGATGAATGCTTACAGAAGAGACAGAAACTACTCATACATCGTTTTGTATGAGTAATGCAATAGTATCGGAAAGAAATTATTCCTCGAAAGAACCGATCTGAGAAGTTTTTTCATTACCTCGGTTTCGAGGATGTTTTTTGAAATGTAGGTTTCAAGTATAATTCGCTTTGGATTCCTCGCTCTATTCTTATGTCAATGAGGAGTCTCATATTCGTAATTGTTGGGTTGTTACTAATGACGCTTTTCAGTTAGGTTTGACTATTGTCAGACAAGTAATAGATAGGTAGTCATGGAATAGTATCGAGATAATGTCGATACAAGTACATAGCATGTTCATTTCATTAATACTCTTCAAAATAAACTATAAATTGCACAAGTGCCGCTCGTTACTGCCACTCGAGCTTTGGTGTGGATGTCAGTGTGCGTGCGGTGTAATGCTTCTATTCACTATTCAAGTAATCACATTCATGTTTGCACATTCATACCCAACATCAACCATCGCATCATCATATACGCATCCATCCTCTCATTCACACGAATATCATATACTCACACCTACTCCCACAAGAAGCATGTCGTGTGCGGCTTTGTACTATATAAATTGTGGTTTTTTAGTACTCTATATACGCGTCGGTTTATACCAGTATAGAGTGACGTGAGCTCTGCAACATTTCAGCATACAGCTCCTCGAAGCGCAATGTTCCTGGAGTTTGGAAAAGAGTCCAGGCCATTTGTTTCACTTGAATCTGCGAAAGATTCACATGGCAATAAAATAGACTGATGCAAGTTTAAAGTTTTTAATACCACGATTTTGATACTAGTTTTATAAATTTCAAGGCATGATTTTGAAGTATAACATATCAGTTTGATTTCAGTCATCATTTTTCTATGAGAAAAGTTTCATTGAACTAGTGTAAAATACATCTTTTTTGCATTTTTTTATTCCATAGGAAGGAAACTAATAATGTAGTTTCAGTTTAAAAAGAAAAATGTCTGTTCGAAATGCAGAAATAAACACGACAAATAGTTTCTCTAGAAACCCATTATTCTTTTGAAAACAACCATAGTCTTCTAGAGAATTTTCATTTTATATATTTTGTATAAGTATAATGGTGCTAAAGGAGACGTGTGAATTCCACATTTTAGCTCCGAAGCGGCTATATTGACAAGTCTTATAAATAATAAAATGTTCAACAAGAATGTATTGTCTTCATGTATGTCATAATATATTGAGAAGAGCACAATATCTAACTGTTGAACATCATTCTATTTCATATTTTGAAGATGATTAAGTTTCTATGACAATCTAGACTCAAGTTTCAATTTTCTTACTATATCAAAACATATCATTCTTTTGCTTCTCGTTTATTATAAGAAATTGTTCGTTGAGGTTCAAATAAAATCTTTATTTAATTAGTATTCTTATTGAAATTTTTTACTCAGTAAGTTCTTTGAATTTCGAAATCCTATTGTAGTCCATTTGGAAAAAAATCAAGAGTAAATATGATCGAATATAAACAAGTAACAGACTGCTTTGTTATTAGCCATTCAAGGACACATTGGAGAAATTTTCTCAGTGCTAGACTTTTTCTTTTTTTTTAGTTATTTTTCTTCATATGATGTAATAATCGTTGAGTCAGAGATAGACAGTTCAAAGCAACTTTTGACTTTAATTACATGTATTAAAGTCTTTGAGTTGCCCAGGTGTGATAGATTTCGTCATAAGTCTATTATACAATAGATTTTCTCTTTGGACCAAAGAGAGATTCTTTCGTTATCAAAACACACTCATATTTGCTTCACAAAACTGAAAATGATATATCACATGTTATATGCATGATACGCAGCCAGAATTATTGACAGAGCTACAAAATAAAAACCTTTGATCTGATTGGTACCAAGAGAATAGAGAGAAAATTGAAAAACATTTTATTCTTAGTGGAAAAAGGAACACCAAAAGTCATACGTGCAGCCTATTATCGAATGTTGTTATCAATATACTTAGAACTAATTATAGAGTAAAGAGTCGAAATCTTCTATAAATACCTCTGAAAAAGGATTATAAAGTATTTTCTAGTCATATAAATTCTTAATTTTATCGTTTTTTTTGTAATAGTGACAGATATTGTTCGTTTGTACTTTTCTTCTCAATTTGTACCCATATGATCGTCTAATAAAAGGGTAGTTATAAATCACTTCATCTTATTTTTGTTTTATATGTTATCATTTACATCATTTATTTTTATTGACTCCCAGATAAATTTTAACTAACGAGAAGTACTACAAAATGTATCTTCATTAATATTCAATTATGATATCGAAAGAGAAGATTTTTTTGAAGAAAATCAAGATAAATTGGAATATGATGATGTTTCTATTGAACCATGTGTTTTTATTTCTCCAGCTGTATCAACCTTGAGTATTGATGATTTATCAATTAAAAAAAGTTCATTGGAAAAAAATATCAGTTGCTTTACTCGTTTTTCTGGTATAATCTATACATTAACATCATCACTTATTTTTACTTGTTCAGCATTTTCAATAAAACAATTAGGTATTGATTTACTTGATGCATTCTTTTTACGTTTTATTGTTCAAATATCAAGTATACTTTTATTTGCACTATATAAACATTATCCATTAATTTCTGGTACAAGTACTCAAATATTTTTACAAATTCTATGCTGTACAACAGGTGCTGGATGTTTTGTCTTATATTTTTTTGCTGTACGTTATGTTGAATTATCTGATGTAACAACTATATTTTATACAAGGGTAGTTTGGACAGTTGTTTTTAGTATTATTATTTATCGAGAACGGCCATCAATAGGTTCATTGATAGCTTTACCTCTTACTATATTTGGTGTTATTTTTGTTAGTCAACCAAGTTTTTTATTTTCATCAACAAATCCTTCGATTATTATTGTTAATAGTAAACATCGTTTACTTGGTCTTTCTCTAGCGTTTGCTAGTGCATTAGCATCATCAGCAAATGTTCTATCATTTAAACAACTTGTTTCAACATCTAAACCAATCAAACCAAGTATAGTTAATCTTCAGTACTGTGTAGCTATATTTATTTTTCTTACTATTTATCAATCATATAAAACATTTTTTCTTCATAATGGTCTCACATTTAATTATATTCTATCATGGCGATATTTATTAGCATCTATACTATGTCTCACTATGATTATCTCAAATATTTTATCACAAACAGCTATTAAACGTGAACATCCAGCTATATTTTTACTTCTTACTTCAGCTGATATCATTTTTTCATTGATTCTTCAAAATATTTTTACAAACAAACGATCAAATTTATTTGCATTGCTTGGTTCAGCTTTGGTTATTCTTAGTGTAGTTATTCTTGGTTTATCAAAAATTATCACTGAACGACGTGCACAAAGGAAAATTGAATTGATGGATATTGAATCTATGATCAATGATTTTAAAGAAAAAAAATAAATAGTATGAAGATTTTTTTTTGTGATTTTTTCAATATATTTGTATTTCATTCAAGAAAATTCATCGTTTTTTTTTTTTTCTCATAATATAATTTCTTCATTTGAAAAATGAATACATAAAATAGTTTCTAAATAAACATGAAAATTCGAAATTTTATCAACCGATAATGTTCATCTATGGATTGACATCAATAAGAGAAAACGATAGCTGTTGCACGAATGTTTTTAATTTACTTTTAGTTGCGCTGATATTCGTACTAAGTAAAAAAAAGACATTTATCCTTTTCATGAAATTCTTTTAAACATCAAATTTATTGTGAAATTCAAACTTAAAAAGAAACAACAAAAAAAAACAATCGTAACTTGTGTTGATTCTATTCTTTTCATATTAAGTGTATTTAGATATTACAGCTTACATAAACAAATACTATTCTAAGTCTACAATTGAAATAAAACGATAAAAAGATATGAAAACAGCATCAATCAACAGAAAAAAAAGATGATAAGTTTTTCTTTTTTTTTTTCATCTGCTGTTTTGATTTTCACATAGTTCAATCGGATTCATAAAAGGAAATTGAATTTTCAACAAAATAATCATAAATACGTCTACGCATAGTATCAACATCTTGTTTGAAACCAACTAATTTTAAATGATTTTGTTTTACTTGTAAAAGTACACGTCGTCGTCGAAAACCACCTGAATTTGAATATAGATCACGTACATATGCATGCCATGATTCGCTTGCTAAACAACGTTTATCATCTTTATCTAACATTATTGAACTAACACGTACATCATGACGAAGTATATCATAGACACGGTCACAACTTTCACGTGTTAAACCATATAAAACAAGTTTATTATGACCACTCGTTATTGATGATGTATCAAGACTATTGATGCTTCGTGGTGGAGATGCTGAATTTCGTCGATGATTATTATTTGAACGTTCAATTTCATAAGCACATACATGATCTGTATGCATTAAATTTCCGATTATTAATTCGACTAGATAAAAAAAGAATATTTTTTCTTGTGTGTCCTTTTATGAAGTGAAACTAAGGGATAGACGGAAATTTTCTAGACAAAAATATTTGAAATATTTTTCGCGTATTTAAATGTATTGGTAATGTATTAGAATCAGGATTATGTGCTTTTTCGGAGTATATGATTAGAATTTTTCTATGAGTTTGGACTATTTAACTATAAATAAATCTTAACATGGCTCAAACAAATTTTCTGAAGAAAAGTCTGCTTCTTGTAGACATCATATAAGTTCTATGAATATATCGTGCTTTAGGATGCTTTGTATTTTACAAGATGATGCAACAACGAAGAGATTCGATACATCCGCTAAAACATGATAGAATTATGACAAAGTATCATTTTGCGCTAGCAAGTTGAAAATCGTGAAAATAAACATTTTTCATATGATTGGTTTTATAAAAGCCTTTACCTCACCTCAAGAGCTTGTAAAAAAGCTACCGCTTTGTAGAGAATTACTCTCTCTATGTTCCAATATATTCGATAAAATTTTCGGTGTGCCTTAGAAAACTTCCTTTTGAAATTTTTCCTTTAAAAAAAAATATTCTTTCAAAACTTAACTATAGTCAAAAGTCACCGAAAAATTCTAAACATATACTCTGGAAGAGCACAAAATTCTGCTTGTAATATACTAACAATGCATTTAAAATTTGCGAAATTTGGTTCAAATATTTTGTCTAGAAACTTTCTGTCTATCCCTTAAAAATAAAATTGTTTTCTTTACCAGTATCAGGATTTGATAGAAAAACTGCCATTTCTTTTCCTATTTTATAATGTTTATGAACCATACCATTAAGTACAGATTCAAAATAATTTTTACAAATAGCTACTTGATCAGATGGACCACATAAATGAACTCGTCGGCCTGTTCGATCAATATCAATTCTTAGGTCTAAATATGTTCTTCGAGCTAAATCAACAAAACGCATTGAAAGTAAATCAAGTTGATATAAACGTAAATTTTCAAGATGATCATTAATAGTCATTTTTGATAGTGTTGAAGGTAATTCAGAATTATGTGTACTTTGTCTTGATGGTGATGAACCAAGTAATAACGATGATCGATGATTATTTACTTTTGGATCACGTGTTGTACTCACTGGTTTACTACGATAAATAGCATCATTGAGAGGTATAATATTATCAGTATTTATATTTGGTAATGAGAGCACATTAGTAAGTTCATTTAAAGCTCGATCAAGATGCTCTTTTAATGCTGTTATAATAATGTGATCTGGTTGATATTCTGAAGGAGATAATTGCATAAGACGTGTATTATCTTTTAAAGAAAGATCTGCAAGTTGTTCTGCAACAATTGCTGGTATTTTATTATTATTCCACGGTACTTTATGAATAATAAGACGTTCTGTTAGAAAATTTTCAATTAATTTGTCAATATCTTTTGTCCATTGTAAACGACGTTTTGCTGTTGAACGTGAACCATTGAATATTATTTCTAAAGTACCTTCTGTTTGTAAACTAACTTGAGCATTTAATGATTTTAATTGTTCACGAAGTTCATCAAGTAATGGGCGATTTTTAAGTAAAAATAAATATCGACTATCATCGAATGCACGATAACGTAAGGGATCTGGTTGCTTATCAATATTAGATGCATCAATAAATGGTTCAATACCCATATATTTATAATAAATTCTGACATCTAGACGATGACCATGTATCGAATGTTCATGCTTAATAACACGACGTACATCTAAAATGAAATCATTTATTATTAATAAAAAAAAAAAAAGTCGAAAAACCAGATTTTTCTTTTCTTTTTTTAAAACCTTTATAATCAGCAAATGTGACGAGTGCATGTTGATATTCATCATCAAATGCAACATCAATCACTTGTCCACCATTACTACGACGTCGATTTGAAAAATATAACTCCAGCACATCACGTGATATATCTGATGGTAAATTTCGTATCATTATAGTTGCTGGTGGTGTAACTTCAACTAAAGAAATTTCAGAATCGTTTAATTTTGGTCGCATTGTATGACGACGGCGTACTTCCGCCATATCTTAATAAATACAGATTATTATTTATTTTCATAAACAAAACAAAAACAAAAGTTTTCTTTTTTTCTCTGTAAACTAACCTAGTTCAGTTTTAAAAGTAACCATTGCAGTTGTATCTTCAATATTAGAATATTCAATTCGTTCTATTTCAGCTTCACCTGATAAATTTTCTATGTAAAGTTCGAGATACTCTCGAATAAGATCAGTAGGTAAATTAAGTAAAATTAAACGGCGTAAATCAACACCATTTGAACGTGATACTGATGATGAATTATTTATTACTTTTGAATTTTTCAATGGTATTGCATTGGGTCCAAATACAGCAGTATCAGTAGCATTGAATGATTGAGGACTATTCGTTGATGAATATTGTGGCATAAGAAGTGATGATGATGATGATGTTGATATTGTTGGAGCAGTAGGATATTGCTGATAGTGTGAGGGATAATGTGCTTGCATTGGCACTGTAGGACCTTGCTGCATATTGAATAGCTAAGATGCTCTTCAAAACAAACTAAGTTTTAAAGTTGCGCAAAAAGTTAAAGAGGGGTGATTTTTTTAAGCTTATGTTAATTTTTCTTCTCTATCGAATGAAGTAGATGAGGATATAAAAAAGAGACACACATTCTCTATCTCTGATTCTCTTTTTCTCTTTAGTGAACAACGAGAACGTATGCACACAATCTATGAACCGTATCGTAACAACGTATTTTAACTTAGTCGACTCACATCTGCCTAGGCTTTCGCTTCATTTTTCTGCTTGTATATAAAGAAAGCGACGAATCTTGTAAAAAAAATGGCCCGCTTGATTGGCTTGTCAGGTATGCATCGATTTACATATACATGATTGATAATTGGAGGACATTGGTTAGAATATTCATTATGATCACACATCCTACTAACAATATCCATTTTGTACCAATCAAAGAAACATTAGTGTAATTAAAATATATAGTTGTCTATTTTGCATCTAAATATGTATGTCGAATGATAATTAAGTGATTCAAGGTAATTGTATCGTTGTTAGAAGTATCTATTTTGTCAATGTATGATAATTAAATTCAATGTTATTTTTTAATTAGAATACTAATTTATTTAGAAAGAAAACTATTAGAAAAAGAATTATTATTGAAAATAATATTTTAATTATTTTCTTTTGGTTTTTACGTTTTCGATATGTTTTTATATCGATTATTTCTTTTGTTAAATCTCGAATATCGTTTGAACCATTATAACCACATTCATTTGGTGGATAGATAAGTCGTATTTTTTCATCATTTTCATGATCTTCAATAGCAACAAATTTTTCATTACGTAACGATGAATATCTTCCTATAGAATAGTCACCAATAGCACATCCATTGGAATCAATTCGATATTGTTCAAGTAATTTTTCAGCTTGATCGACATAATCAAGATATCGATCAAGTGGAATTTCATCTTTACGTGTTAAGTCGTGCATTGCATATATATCTCCTGTGTTTGCCAATGTCCAATCAATCATATATTTTGGTTGTGTTAAATTATTACTAGAATAAAGCATTGTTTGATGAATTTTTAATGTATTTTCATAGAGAAGTATGTAAACAGTGATTTCACGTCCATACATATGTTTAGGCCATTTATTTTCAAAATCTTTCCAGCTATCTGGATATCGAGCTTTGAGACCTACAGGTAATTTCATATTATAATAGAGCTCTGATAGAAGATTAAATGCCAAAGGAATATCACGAGGTCGAATGGAAAAATGTATTTTCCAATCGGCTGTAAGATGTTCACTAGTAGCTTGTGCAAGCCAATATCGACGAGCATTTAATGTAAATAAGCGAACAAATTGATTTGATGCACCCAAATAATAATCTGATCGATGAAGCATTCGATTTTCAACAAGTAATCGAACATAATCAAAATAGAATTCTTCTTGTGAATCTTTCTCTTGTTGCATACTTACAATGATTCATGAAATGACACGTAGATTTGTCTCAAATAACTTTGTTTTATATTTATTATGTTCGGTATTACTTTCTTTTCTTTTATTTTTACGTCAAAAAACAAACGTAACAATGAATCAACAAACACACATGAAAATTTTCTTTTCATTTTCTTTTTCTGTTAGTCATCTGAATCATCGAATTTTATTGAATACGAATTAACTGAATCAATTTTACCACCATGATATGAACCACGTTTCTTTTTAGTTTTTTCATGACGAAAACTTTTACCACGAGTATTTTTTAAATCAGTATTTGCTTTTTCACCCCATGAGCCACGTGCACCAGCCTATAAAAATATGATATATGAAAATTAAATTTAAAAACAAAAAGAAAATCTTTTACCTTATGTTCAAATGCATTTTTACCAATTTTTTCTAGATATTTTAGATCAGCATCTTCTTCACGAACACGTCGAAATGGTGATGTTTTACGCTACAAAAATCGAAAATTATATTTTATAATAAAAATTTCATTTAACTATACGAACCTTTTGTTTATCATTATTTTTTGAAACAGTCATCTAAATAAATAATCAAAGTAAAGCAAACAAAGATAATAAAGAAAAAAAAAATGAAAACAGACTTCTTGATTATTTGTTTTTGTTGTATCATTGGTAGATACATTATTAGATGGTTTGTCCTCTTCGGAATCACTATTTGATGATGATGATGATGATGCTTTACGTTTTAAAGGACCATTACCATTGATTGATGTAACAGATGGTTTGGTTACAGCTGAACCTAAATGAAATAAAATTGATTGATTTCAATATAAAAATAGAATAAAAGGGTTCTATCGACTAAAATGATCACTCTTAATTTGAAAAGTAGTCTCTAATATTTTGTTGAGTAAATCGTTCTGCGTCGAATGACATTTACGAAGTTACTTTTTCATGAAGTTTTATTTTACTGAGAAGTCATTAACCAAGTAAGGAATATTGTATTGATTGCGTATTATGTGACCAAATATTGAGACTCAATGTCTCCAAACTAACTTCTATCAGATTTTGTTTAAAACTATTTTCATAGAGTTTTGCTTGATCTTCAGTCTTGTATATCTAACAATATTCAAAATAGCTTCCTTCGTACCAAAAATTTTAGCATTTATCCTAGTTTCTGTACCTGTATTGGCATTTATTATCTTTGAAATTCTTCTTTACTAACACTTACTATTTGGTCATATAACGCACAATTACTATAATCTCCTTTAACTGGTATATGACTTTTGAAAACATTTAAGTTTGATAAAAAAAAAAAAGCAATTTTCTATATACGATTCGATGGACGCCTAGCTACTCTACAAAACGATAGAAGTGACATGTCAGCTGAAGAATAGTCATGTTATTTGGCAGGAGCCATTGATTATACAAACCATTGACAAGAGATTTTTTGTTTGTTGTTGGTTTATCATCATCAGAATCGCTACTACTACTTGATGAAGCAATCTTTTTATTATTATTTGAGAGATTGGTTGATTGAGCTGTTGGTTTATTGACAACACTAGGTTTTTTGTTTGTTGGTACATCATCATCATCGGAATCGCTACCACTTGATGAAGCAGTTTTTTTTAATGATTGTTGACTAGATTTTGTAGTTGGTACTGATTTAGCGGCTACGACTGATGTTTTCTGATTAGTATCTTCATCGGATGAATCGGAATCAGATGATGAATCTTGTTTCTTATTATTAGAAACTTTTGTTGATGGAATAACAGCAACTTTGTTGACGACTGGAGTTACATTAGCTATCAATGAAAAGTTAGATGTATAGAAAGCAAATATTAAGACAAAAAGAATACTTTTATTTGGTATCGATGGTGTTTGTTTTTTATTCACTGGTGGTGCAACATCATCATCTGAATCTGAACTACTTGACGAAGGTGCTTTACGTTTGGTCGATTGAACAGATGTAGCTACATTTGGTTTAGCTGGTTGTTTCTTGTCATCTTCATCAGATGAATCAGAAGTAGATGTTTCTTGTTTTTTCTTATTATTAGTATTTGATACAGCAGAACTTTTAGCAATCGATTGAATGGCAGGTGTAGTAGGAGCTAAAGTATTAGAAACACAGATCTCTACAGAACTATTTCGAAATACGGTGAATCCTACTTTTCACAGATGAACTTTGTTGTGTTGGCTTTTTGTTAGCAACTGTATCATCGTCTGAATCACTACTACTGCTAGAGGCAGCAGGCTTCTTTGTTGTTGGTGTAGGAACAGGTTTAGCAGCTGAAATAGTTGGTTTTGTTTTACTCTTGTCGTCATCTGAAGAATCTGAATCAGATGATGAGTCTTTCTTTTTAGTATTTGATGCCATAGCTTGTGTTGATACGATAGGTTTTTTAGCTACTGGTGTTACAGCAACTAAATCACATACAAATCATCATTTATATACTTTCTCAATGAAAAGCATTTTACCTTTAGATGCAGCTGTTTTTTTAGCTGATGTATCATCATCTGAATCACTACTGCTGCTTGATGGAGCAGATCTTTTAGTTGGTTGTTGAACTGGAGTAGATGTTGATAATGGTTTAGCTGCTACAGTAGTTGTCTTTTTATTTTTGTCTTCATCATCTGATGAATCAGAATCAGATGAACTATCTTTCTTTTTTATAGGTGCTGTAACTGAGCTTTTAGTTACCGGTGTGACTGGTGCTAGAAAGATAAACAAACTTAGCACTGATGCTCGCTTGATTCGAAAAAAATACATACCCTTTGATACAACTGGTTTCTTAGCAGCTGGTTTATTATCATCATCATCTGAATCCCTGCTATCTGATGAAGCAGGTTTTTTTACTGGTTGTTGAACTGGTTTAGTAGTTGTTGATGTTTTTACTGGTACTTTTTTCTTAATATCTTCATCTGACGAATCCGAATCGGATGATGAATCTTTTTTCTTCTTATTCGAAACAGTAGCTGGTGATGAAATAACAGCTTTTTGTGTCACTAGAATGAAAACATAAGTTCAAATATTTTCGAAATAAACAATAGTTACCCTTTGATGGAACTGGAGTCTTGTTTGTTGGTTTATCATCATCATCTGAATCACTGCTATCTGATGAGACAGCCTTTTTAACTGGTTGTTGTACTGGTTTAGTAGCTGTTGGTGCTTTTACTGGTACATTTTTCTTTTGCGTATCATCATCATCTGAATCACTGCTATTTGATGAAGCTGGTTTTTTGACTGGTTGTTGTGCTGGTTTAGTAGATGTCGGGGCTTTGACTGGTGCTTTCTTTTGTGTATCATCATCTGATGAATCAGAATCTGTTGAAGAACCTTTTTTCTTAGTATTTGAAAGAGAAGTTGGTGGTGGTATAGCAGCTTTTTGTGTTGCTAGAATGAAACCATGAGATACATCTCTTAGAAAGGAAGAATAGTTACCTTTTGATTGAGCTGGAGTCTTCTTTGGTTCATCATCATCTGAGTCACTGCTACTTGATGTAGCTGGTTTTTTAACTGGTGATTGAGTTGGTTTAGCAGTAGTTTGTGTTTTTACTGGTGCTTTTTTCTGTTTATGGTCATCTGATGAATCAGAATCGGATGAAGAATCTTTTTTCTTATTATTTGAAACAGAAGCTGGTGGTGGTACTACAACTTTTGTTACAGTTGGTGTAGCTGTAAAGAACAAGTTCATATAATTACGTAAGATATGAATCGAAGTTATATACCTTTTGATACCACTGGCTTCTTGGCAGCTGGTTTATTATCGTCATCTGAATCACTGCTGTCTGATGAGACAGTTTTTTTAACTGGTTGTTGTGCTGGTTTAGCAGTTATTGGTGATTTGACTGGTGCTTTCTTTTGTGTGTCATCATCCGATGAATTAGACGAAGATGATGTATCTTGTTTCTTGTTCATAGCATTTCCTGGAGTAGTAACAATGGGTTTTTTTGTTGCTGGAGTAACGGGTGTAGTAGAGGCTTCAAATTTAGAATTAACAAAAATTACAGAGAATTTTAATCAGGTAGAATTCTCACCTTTAGAAGCTGTTTTTGATGGTTTCACATCTGAATCACTACTACTTGAACTACTTGGTTTATTGGTTTTTTTCACTGGTACTGGAGCAACTTTGGCAGATTCTTTATTATTAGCTTCATCTGATGAATCTGAAGATGAGGATTCTTTTGCTTTTTTATTTGGCAAAGCTGCTGATTGTTGTGGTACAAGACCTTTTTTCGTAATTGTAACAGCAGCGGTACCTAAAATATAAAATATTCAAGTGAATGATTCAAATAAGATTAGATAGAAGAGTACCTTTTAGTGGTGTTTTTACTTCTGTTTTATTATCATCCGAATCACTACTACTGCTCGATGCTGCCTTTTTCTTTGAAGCAGTAGGAATCATTTTAGGTTTATTGGCAAGTGCTGTCGATGGTTTTTTCTCATTCTCGTCTGACGAATCTGAATCAGATGATGAGTCTTTCTTTTTAGTATTTGATACCATAGCTTGTGTTGATACGACAGGTTTTTTAGCTACTGGTGTTACAGCAACTAAATCACATACAAATAATCATTTATATACTTTCTCGATGAAAAACATTTTACCTTTAGTTGCAGCTGCTTTTTTAGCTGGTGCATCGTCATCTGAATCACTACTGCTGCTTGATGGAGCAGATTTTTTACTCGGTTGTTGAACTGGAGTAGATGTTGATAATGGTTTAGCTGCTACAGTAGTTGTCTTTTTATTTTTGTCTTCATCATCTGATGAATCAGAATCAGATGAACTATCTTTCTTTTTTATAGGTGCTGTAACTGAGCTTTTAGTTACCGGTGTAACTGGTTTCTTGTTTGCCGGTTTATCATCATCATCTGAATCACTGCTATCTGATGAAACTGTTTTTTTTACTGGTTGTTGAACTGGTTTAGTAGTTGTTGATGTTTTTACTGGTACTTTTTTCTTAGTATCTTCATCTGACGAATCCGAATCGGATGATGAATCTTTTTTCTTCTTATTCGAAACAGTAGCTGGTGATGGAATAACAGCTTTTTGTGTCACTAGAATAAAAACATAAGTTCAAATATTTTCGAAATAAACAATAGTTACCCTTTGATGGAACTGGAGTCTTGTTTGTTGGTTTATCATCATCATCTGAATCACTGCTATCTGATGAGACAGCTTTTTTAACTGGTTGTTGTACTGGTTTAGTAGCTGTTGGTGCTTTTACTGGTACATTTTTCTTTTGCGTATCATCATCAGATGAATCAGAATCTGATGAAGAATCTTTTTTCTTATTATTTGAAACAGGAGCTGGTAATGATAGTACAGCTTTTGTTACAGTTGGTGTAACTGTAAAGAAGAAATTCATATAAACAGGTAAGGTATGAATCGACGAAAGATATGTACCTTTTGATACGGTTGGTTTTTTAGCAGCTGGTTTATCATCATCGTCTGAATCACTGCTATCTGATGAAGCAGCCTTTTTAGCTGGTTGTTGTGCTGGTTTAGCAGTTGTTGGTGCTTTAACTGGTACATTTTTCTTTTGTGTATCACCATCAGATGAATCAGAATCTGATGAAGAATCCTTTTTCTTATGACTGGAAAGACTAGCTGGTGGTGGAATAGCAGCTTTTTGTGTTACTAGAATGAAATGATAAGTTCAGTTTGTTCGAGATGAAAAATATTTACCATTTGATGAAACTGGTTTCTTATTTGTTGGTTGACCATCATCATCCGACGAATCAGAATCTGATGAAGAGTCCTTTTTCTTGTTATTTGAAAGATTTGTTGATGGTGGTAGAGTAGTTTTCTTGACGACGGAAGCATCATTAGCTTTAAATAAAACACGTAAAATTGGAGAAGAGCGTGAAAGAAAAATTACTTTTAATAGACGTAGCTGGTGTTTGTTTTTTATTTACTGGTGGTGCAGCATCATCGGAATCTGAACTGGAACTAGTTGATGAAGCTGCTTTACGTTTCAGATCAGTTTTAACTGGTTGTGTGGTTTTTGAATTTACCGATGGTTTTTTCTTATCATCATCACTTGAATCTGATGAATCTTTCTTTTTATTATTTCCATTTGATAACAATGCCTTTGGTGGAGGTATTGCTGCCTTCTTTTGAATTTGAGTCGAAACTAGGATTTAAAATTTCGCATATATGTATATATATTATCTTCATTGTACGAAAAAATTCTATTACCTCCTTTCTTCACAGGTATATCATCATCGGAATCATCACTGGTGGATGATTGCCTTGATGAAGCTTTTTTTGTTTGTGTTGCAGCAAGGATAACCATCTAAAATTCGTTTTTTTGGAAATAAATATTCACTGACTCACAAAAATAAATAGACGCATTTTATGTAATACAAAGAGAAAAAAAGAAAGAAAGGCAATAAGTTAAAATGTAGACTATGAACGCCTCCCCACAAAAAAAGAACAGGAAAACATTTTTGAATAAAGAGAAGATCCATCTGACCCCCATAAATTTTGGTTCATATCATCAAAAATATTCGCATTTCATTATAAATAATTGATTTTCTTCACGTTTAATATATGTTAATATACGATCAATACATAATGTAACTGTTTCTAATGTTACCAATGGTGAAAATACTGCATGCATTTCAAAACCTGGTGCTAACTAAAAATTAAAAAAACAAACAAATTAACGATTTAAAAAAAAGAAAGAAAGAAAGTTTTATTTTAACTAACCCATCCAAGTAATGCTTCATGTTCTCCAGTATAATAGACAATTTTTAATTGATGATTTGGATCATGTAAACGTCCATATACATAACGTATTAATTCAAACAATCTGACATGTTGTTCAGTTGTTGTATAAGGTGCTAATAATTTTGATGATGTATATTGACTTAAACCACGTGATTTATATGCAAAATATCTTAATTCATTACAAGCTATTTCATCAGATAGAAGACGATCTTTTCCTAAGGCTATTTTTATTTGTACTATTGCATTAGCTTTTTTTAATTTCTAAAAATTTTCAAACCAAAAAAAGAAATTAAAAGAATTACAAAATAAAAATTTGTTTTAACCTCTCCAATACGTTGTTTAAAATCTGATAATATTTGAAAATGTTCAGGATTAACAGTCATTAAAACAAGACATATATCACAACTATCATCTAAATATGATATATGTGCATGAAGACAACCTCTAAAATAATCTTTATTAAAAAAAAGAAAGAAAACAAACAATTTGATTTATAGTCATACCCTGAATCAAATCTTGGTAAACAAACAGGTACCCAAGATTCTACACCTTTAAATGCATCCGAACTATTAACAAGATTAATAAGTAAATAAAGATCAGATGGATGTAAATGATAATTTTTTAAACGAGCTATTGATACAAGATGATTATGAGCAAGTATTATAGCAAATATCATGTCCTCAAAAGCAAAAAAAAATGAATCTTTTATTTAATGATATAAACTAAAAATTTACTTTTTGACCACGAATTGTTTGTGCAACTATTTGTCCGATTTGAGTTCGTATATTTGATGATAATATTAAACATCTAGCACAAGTCATAACCATTCCTAAATCATGTTCATATAGATCTATTATGTTATGTAGAAGTTTTTTTTCTGCATTTGATAACCAACGACGTAAATCAAAATTAGGTTGAATTGAAAATTTTTGTTTTATACGACTTAATGTTAATGTACTTATTATTTGATGATAGGCATATGTTAATTGTTGAGTTAAACATATTGGATGTTCATTTATATAAGAGATTAAAACAAATATTAATGGTTCTTTATGTAAAAATGCTATACGACAACGACCAGCTTTTATATAATTTATTTGATTTGAATCAGTTAATTCAACAAATGAAACAAGTGTTTGCATAACACCCATTAAGGTTACTAAATGTTCATCATCACCATATCTAAATTTTGTTTATTAATGTAGAAAATTAAATATGAAAATAGAAAACTTTTCAATTTACCTTGTAAAAACAGGTTTACCATTTTCACTTAATATAAAAAGATGTTTTAATTTAGTTTTTAATAAATTCAACTGTATATCATCTTCATTATCATCATTTTCATGATGAATTTCTTCTTCAATATTTGTACTTTCTACAATTGGTGTTGAACTTGTTCCACTTGTTGTTGTATCATCATCAACAGAATAATAACTTGTGGAATCATCAGCTAATATCTATATACCACTGAGAAAAAATAAGAATGTTATCTCCAAAAAAAAAAAATTATTTCAGACTAATTCTTACGGTATTTGATACATCATTATTAGCTGTTTCTGATTGTAATGGTGGCATAGAATTTCTTCGTATTAAATTAATTAAACCAGTTGATGGTTCATTATCATCTTCGAATATTGCTGATTCATCTTGACTTTCTTGGGAATTTTCAGATGATGGTAACTTTTCAAGCATTGTTGTTAATTCATCTATACTATCATTATGTTTTGCTTGTAAAAGATTAACCATAGACGTTGTCATCATCTACAAAAAAAAAAAAAAAAATACAAACAAAAAAAGAAATTTTTATTTTTTAAATATAGAATTAATTTGTTGACGTTCGACGATTTGTTCTTCGTCGTCGTTTCGTAATACGTGTTTTATTATTATTATCAAATTGTATACGAGAAAATGGTTTTTTATTAAATTTTTTTCTTATTGTTTTTACTAAAGTTGTGACATGTTTTATTTCAATATCTTCATTTATAGATGTTTTTTCATTTTCATCATTATCACTTGTATCAATTTCACCATCTTCTAAATTATTTATTTCTTGTTTAAGACCATATTTAATCATTAATGGTTCTATTCGTTTATTATAATTTTGAAATGACAATCTTGTGAAATTACGATCATGTATTGAAAAAATACTATTACGATAGTTTATTGATGGTTGATTTTGATTTACTGTTGGGATTTGAGAGGATAGATTTATTTCATTTTTAATTATACGCCAACACCCTGGATGATCAGGTGTCAGAATTATGGGATTTGATGGAGGAATAGGATTCGTTTGTGATGTTGTTGATGGTTTTTTAAGTGACTTCTTTCGAGACTCAGAAGTTCGTTGCATGAACTTCATATTACGAAGTGTATTCGATAGATCCGACATCATTAGAAAAGACAACACGTGAATATTTTGCTTTCTATTTCTATATGAAATCAACTTTTGCTCTTAATGTTATTTATTCTTCGAGAAGGGTAATTTTAAAATTGTTTATATGAACTAAGTAATAACGAATGAATTATTGTAGTTTTATTATTATGTAAGAAATTCAATAGGAAAAAAATATTTTTTTTTAAATTAATTAAATAGATAAGATTTTCATGATATTTGTGTTTAATTATTTGGAGTCTTTATAGATGTCACTATCATACAATCATGATGCTAGTTGAATTATTTTATAAAAGAAAACTGGCAACAATTTGATCTTTTATGTTTTCTTTTGAGATGAATGGTAGAAAAAGAACTGAGTTTTATTGAAACATAAAAAGAACAATATACAGAGCGATTCATCAGACATATATTGAATTCCATCACGTTTTTATCTCTTTCGGTGTTCTTGTATCAATTGTTTTAAATGATTCTGTTCGTAATATGTTCTTTTCTTTTAAGTACCGAATTGACATTGAAACGATAAAAGATAGCTTGATAAAAATGTACCACTACTTAACACACATATCATCAAAGATAAGCGTTGATATATTGCTCCGTATAACATTATCAGTGCGTAATATATATATCCACAACATTAATTTACTATAGACGAAATTGATCCTAGTATACATATGAAATATAAACAACAATCCTATTCGTTTTGTATTTTCATAGTTATTGAGATCTGCACAAATTTATCTTTTAAGAAACAAAGAGCTAATGAGAAAAAAATACGATTGAATGATATTGCTTTTTGCATAAAATTGTTTTTTTTTTGAAAGTAATATATCGCCTCCTCCTTCTAACTTATGACACCATATAGTTGTCCATGACTAATTGGCTTCATTGTTTGATACTTATCCATAAGGTACTGCGTGCAAACCCCATGGATTGACTCCGACAAAATTGCTAGCAGCTATTCGTTTCTGGTCACCTGTTTGATAGCAAACTCCCTAAGTTGTGATACAGATCTGTTCTTGTGCCTAGTTAGTGTCTATAGAATCTCAAGTAATTCAGCGCAAGGAGTTTGCGTTAGATTAGCATTCTGTTCAAAGCTACAGCTAGTCATAGCTGTAGGGAAGATATTGAGATATTGGATTTGCCTCTAGACAGTACTCCATATTGCAAGGTAATTGAAAAGCAGGGTTACTCTTTTTTCCTTCTAATGACCATACAGTCAACTAATGCGACTAACTACTATGAACAGTTGACATATTGGTGAACTGTTTGATTATATTCGTTTGTAATGTCAAAGACATTTGTCAAAAGATAATGTGAACACGAACTGTCTTCAAATATATTTGTTCTTATACATACAGTAACTTTTATAACGGTAGGTTCTCTGAAAATTTTCAAACAAAGTTGTCTTGAGATCGAATTCTTATAAAACCATCAATTACCATCATCTTTAAAAATGTTTATTGGAAATAAAATTTTCCGTTTAGATCACTACTCAGATTCTTATTAGTATTTGTAGCAGTGGAAAAAAATAAACCTAGTCGAATAATTTTGAGAGCCACTGTATACATTTATATATACTTGTCATCTACTTTGCAAACATTTGATTAAGTTTATATAGACAGTAATGCATTGCTTTCTAACCTTTTATGAGATATGAGAGAATGAACTGATACAAAAGGAATCAATCAATCATACATATTTCAGATCTGTTATGTAACTTGTATCCATAGATCGTTTTAATAAATAATAGGTTGCCAGTAATTGATGATTCCAAACACTATACATGTATGCTTGAGGATCAATATATCAAACAAATGTGTTGGCATATTCTCTTCAAATATGGATATATTCGTCTTATGTTTGGTTTTTGTGTGAAGATCAATGAACTTAATTTTGAGTTGAAGTCATATTTATAAATCAATAGTTTCTTCAACATATTCTCAACCAATAGAATATCTATAAAGATTATCAATTGATTCTATTTCCAACTAGTTCTCTAATATCAGTATCGAGAACAACTTGGAATTTTACTGATTATGTTAATTTATTTCTGCTCAAAGCGGTAATAATGTTATCGATAATGTGAGGCTGGTTTTGTAGTTGATTTTTTTCAAAATGATGAAATAAATTAAGACGTAATTGATTTCTTGTTTTTTTAAGTTGTCGCAGATGATTGTTCTTTTTTTTGAAGCCCAATTTAAAAAGAATGTTGAAGTATAGAAGGTAAAAATTCGACACCCCGTGGGGATGCACAACAGAAGCCGAACAATAAGAAAATAATTTCAATGTTTATGATAAAACATTTTTTAATAGAAAGTAAATATTCGTTTTGCAGTGTCTTTCATGCGCTACTATATGAGATACTATTCAACTTATTGGCATTTCATGCTCCTAAGAAAATTAGAGCTAAAACTAGAAAAGCTTTTGTCATTTGTCTGTTTAATGGCCCCTTCTCCACAGGAGTGACAGATATCTAAGCAACGCCTTCCTCTCTTTTATCGTGGGACTCGAGAACAGCTCAACTTCGTCATACACTATGACAGATATCCTCATGAAATATAACCTAATGCACTATTAGTATGAAACATGACTGCATCAAAGATAGGTTTTTTTTTACTCTTTTTTTTCTTACTAATTCAAATATATTACGATTAAGGTCTCTTTTCATTGATAATTATTAACAGTGGGTGGCAATTCATAAATCGATATATTTGACAATAGACTCCCTTTTTTTTACAATAACAGCAACGTCGTCGTATTTTACATGCACTGAGACTGTGCTAATAGCTTTTTATATTTGTAAATGATTCGATGTATGTCAGATACTGTAATTTCGTTAATAATAATGTGAATATGATATATTGTTTTTTTCAGAGGAAACTTCGTTTTATAATCTAGAGTACTGTCACATAATTTGTTCAAACACTAAAGATGTCTTTCTCAGAAAACCAATGTCCTATATATTCTTATAGAGTCACACAATTAACCCAGATGTAAGTTAAAAAAATATTTAAATCTTTCTTCTTCTATCAAGGATTTCATGCTATTTCCAATTTATATTATCTTCTTTAAGGCTGAACTTATTCCAATTAGCATAGTAAATACACATGACTTGAAATAGAAAACTCAATAATCATATGACAGTATGATAATAACTAAGTTTTATAGTTTATAAAAAGCTTCTGTATGATGCATATCGTTATTAATAATTCCACTCTTTATGTTTTCATTATCTGTGTCAATGAAAATTTATTTCATCGTCAATCGATACAACAATAACAACAACTGATAAGCAATTTGTCACGAGTATTATGGCTTAAATTTATTACTTTGATTATCAACATTCAGTTTGATTTACTGCTTTTCGACACGCATGGTTTTCAGATATGATTATGACTATGATAAGGTATAAATATTATTACGTTTGATATAGTCGAGGCAGTATTGAAACTTATAAAATGTCGATGTTTTGATATAAATCATACTGATCGATGCTGTTTGTATTAGTCAATAGTAACGAATACAAAAAAAACTACCATAGAGAAAATACTAATGTTCAAGTTGAAAATGTTATTGTTTTTGAAACATGATCTTGCCAAGCATATATGATTGTTTGTATTGTAATATCTAATAGCAACTGTAATAATCGGCAAATAAGAAAAACAAATTTGATATTCTTTTTTTGAACAAAAGTGCTTTTCTTTAACTATTGAAAGATGTTTGTCGAATGAGTTACACTGATTAAAGTATATAATTGATTATAAGTACAAATGATATGATCGTTTCGTAAAAGCGTAATTTTTTTTTTTGAAAAAAAAAAACTCTGTTGTTTTTCTCCTGCAAGAAATGTTTGCAATATCTAAGAGTAACAGTATAGCTGACAATGCTGTTGTTGGCATGATACTTGACCTATAATTAGTAAAAATAACATAAGCACGATCGTTTTTTTTCATTTTTTTTCTTATTCTTTCTCTTATTCTCACTCTTTGCTAATGTACATATAAACACATAAGTAGTTTTGACACTTAATTCATTTTTGAAAAATTTTTTTTAACATTTTCATTGCTTAACAATATGAATTCGAAACGACGACCAATACCATTAGAAGTATCTAGTTGGATGGACAAAGATTTAACATTAAGAAAAATAACGGCTAATTCACGTTTATTAACAAATGATACAAGACAAAATATTGTATTAAGTCGACAATTTTTTTCCAATTTATTAACATTATCATATGCACGTTATCGAACAATTGCACAACATGATTTTGATAAAAAATTATTTCTTAGAAATCAACGCAATAAATCAGAATCAATGCCAGGTTTTCATCCGTATGTTAATAATCTTTAATTTATATTTCTATAATTCAATTTTCTTAATTAAGATATTTGGACCAATTAACAAGAGGTATGGATAGAAATACACCGTCTCGAACACAATCAAGTAGAAAAGCTGGTAGTTCATTACTATGTCCGTCAGCTCAATCATTTCTTTCTCGTTCCGAAACAAAATCTGATCCATCAATTTATCGACGACAACAATCACTATTTCGACAAATTAAAACTGCTCAACCGATGAGAGCTGAATCAATGTCACCTCTACCTGATGTAACACCCGCTATTAATTCTGCAGCAACTACTAATCAACGAACTTCGTCTCGACAACAAATGTCACGTGAAAGACTTAACCGTTTAGCTCAACCAAAAGGTTATCGTGCTAGACCAACGAATAATACTCATGTTCGTACAAATGCGATTGAAGAACCAACAATACCAGAAGATATTTTTGGTAAAATTGAACATGATGAATCAGAATTCGCATCACAACAAGTACAGCTTATCTTACCAGAAAAACCTAAAAGTGCAACTGATGATGAACGTTTTCGTCATTTAGTTGGTGTTTTTACTGAAATACATCAAGCTCAAACATCAAATTTACAAACAGTTAAAAATATTGTACAAGCTAATACATCATTACAAGATGAAGAAGGACACTGGAAAGTAGAACGTCGTTCAGCAATCAGTCGTAAAGCTGAACTTGATCATAATCGTCAAATGCTTGCTGATAAACTTCATAATAAACTAGATGTATTTTTAATTGATGTTGGAGCATAACTTTGTTTTTTTTTTCTTTATTTATTCTATACAAAAAGACATTATACATTCAAAAACAAAAAAAAAAAGAAAAACGAAATTATTTAGAAAAAAAAAAAGAATTAATCAGACGCTATACCATAAGTTAAACAAATGGGTGGCATCTAAAATAAAAGTGATTGAAATGAGATTTTATCAGATTGAAAAAAAAACGAAGTTACTTACTTTATGACGCCATTTAGTCAATGAGATAAAACGCATTGTATGGTCCTTACCCAAAATCTGATCATCGAGATAGATGTCAATCTATTCAATGAAAGAAAAAAAAGATACTATTAGTCATACGTGGCATCGGTGTTTTTTTTCTTTTCTGTTTTATTATCTCATTCGTTCTCCGTTGTGATGGAGAAATAGAAGAGTTACATAGAGAAGAACAAATAGTATTAAAAAAAATGAATAACGATAACGTACTTGACTACATTATTGTCACGTCTTTCACTAAAGCCTCAACATATATTACTATTTTCTTTCACTAAATACATTCATTATTTTATTAGTACTTCATTAAATATCGTAATCGATTCTTTGCATATTTCTTGCTTTTATTAATATACAAAAGCATATTTTTCTTTCTTTATAAGCGATTATTGTCGTAATGCTTATTCATCTGATAAAAGCATTAAAAAAAAGCCTATTTTTCTCTTGTAGATTCACATACTAATGCAATGACTTCACTTCTATTTAAATGTATCCCTTGTGGTCGTACTGGTAAAGTACCTATTAGTGAACAACATGAAACACATAAACAAGAACGATTATATAAAAAAAAATCTAGTGAACCAGTTGAAACTCAATTATATTATGGAAAAATTCAACAAACTCCTACACCTGGTGTACGTGCACGTGGTTTTGATATAGTTGAAATGGATACAATGGGAACAGAAAATGGAATGAATACAGATATAAAAACAATAAAATAAAATAAAATAAAAAAAAAACAATACTTTTCTATATTGACATGGGTCTTGAAAAATCATTTTGGCCAATAATTTTTTTAAATGTGTTACCGTTGCATTACTTGAACAGATAATAAATTTTCGTGGAAGTGACTACAAAGTCAAAAAAAATATTTGATTTGCTATGTATACATTTGAAATAATTACTTGAAGTTCTTTTGTTTTTGTGTCAATACAAATAGCTACTTGATCATCATAAATATGTAAATCAGAATTCGATGGAATTATTTGTTGTTCTTCTTCATCACGTTTTTCTTGTAATTTTTCTTAGAAGAAAAAATTTTAATTTTATCACTTAGTTTTCTAACGAGAAAATTACTCAAAATGATACCTCATGTTTGAGATGAGATCAAAGTCATTATGTAGGACCTGTTGACCCTAGAAGTACTCTTCTAGTCTTAACAAGGTCTACATAATGACTGAGTCTCGAGGTATCACTTGGAATAGTTCCCTGATAAGAAAAAAAATCCTTCTTACCAACTAATGAAGGCGGATATGGTAAATCTCGTTCTTTATAATAAGCTATTTGTCGTTCAATTTCTTCTAAACAACAAGAAAAAAAAGACAATAAATTACATATTTTATTTTATTTTAATCTTGTAACCTTTATAAAGATGTGGCACTAATTTATAAGCTATTGATTGTAATGTACGATCAAATACTAATACACGCCATGGATTAACATGATCAATAATTGAATCACATTTAGGACCTACGAAAAATAAAAAAAAACTTAAATTTTAATTCAAAATTTCTTTTTTTTTTATAAATTTCTTACATCGTGTATTATCTTCTTCATCATTATCCAAATAAGCTGCTATACATGTTTTACAAACTTCAAAAAAATATATACAAAAGATTATTTTAATAATAAATAAAATTAAAAACATACAAGTATGTAAACATTCTGGTATTGTTGCAGCATCAATTAAATATCCATTACAGAGTGAACATGTTATAAATACATTTATGTCTTTATAATGAATCTTTTTTTCTCTCATCTAAAAATAAGATATATATAATAGATATCAAAATAGTTCGACTAAATTTATTTTCAACAAGAATTTTAGACTATGAAAATCATTCGTAGTTTTTCAAAAGATAGAGATTTTGAAAAATCTCAAATCCTGTTTTTTTTAACTTCTCGAATTCTCTCTCTATTACACACAATTATAGAAAAAACAACTCTCTAAAAAATTAATCATCTTCTAGTTCTCTACGACGTTTCTTACCCTAGATGCATCAGCCATATGGAAAATAAAAAAGTTGTTTTTTTCTTTTAGTTTGCCAGAAACATGACTTTTGCGCGTTCTATATTACTGATATATCCAGGTCGAAAAACGTCATAGAAAACTGGAAGTCGTTTCATCTAGTAGAGGACTGTTTTTCATTATCATTTTGTGCAATTCAAACAAAATTCTTGGAGCTGAAAAAGTTCCTTTTGAGTGTTTTTAAAGACCTTGTCATCATGTCCTATCTATGAAACTTTGGTAAAAGAAAACTCCATTGTCTATTGGAATCACTATCTGGATTTGAGCTATGTGCTTAATGTTTTAGAAAAAAAAATGCGTTGTAATTAAAAAATTTGTCCACTACTTTACACATGTTAGAGTCAAAATTGGTATTCGATCGAAAAATGAATTAAGTTTGAAGTCAAATTACTCAACTCGAAAATCATTAGAGTTTTAACAAGACTTTTCTTTCATTTCACAGAAGTACTATTGAATCTTAATTACGGATACTTTAGTTTATCAATATAGTTAATTACAAAACACGATTACTAAAAGAATATTTAGTTGATTTAAACTCAATCTATCCGGAAGAATAAAAACAACATATCATTGATGATAAAACAAATTACAATGATTAAAGTGAACTAACAGATATTGATGAAGAAAAATGTTTCACTAGATGTCATTTTAAACTGAGATAGAGTAAAAATATGGGTCAATAACTACTCTAAATTATCGAATGTAATCCATATGCTGTGAAATAAAAAAAAAAAACTTTATTTGTTTAAACTCAAACTAACTATCTTCAATTTGATAAATTTACTTCTCGTTGGATTTTAAATTCATTCGATCAAAATCGAAATGAAAACTTCGTTCTGACAAATGCGGAATCTAATCGAATTTCTATTGTGACCATCACAAGTAAATATATTAGAAACAACACACACGCCAACAACAATAAACAAGTGCTTCTTTTTCATAAATTATTTTCTATTTGGTATATTTTCCCCATATATGTAACATAAATACACTTGCAATGAAAATTAAACTCATAACAAGTACAGGTACTGGACCAACTTTAAGACCTGGAGAATCTTCTGTATAAAAACGCCAAACACCTGCACTTGCACCACCACCAGTACCTGGTCGACTACGTGCAGGTGCTGTTGATTTACGTTGACGAACACCAGCACCACCACTAGTTGATCGTGGTCCAGCTGTTTTACCTGAATCACCTTTACCAACCTGAAAATTCATCAAGAAACTTATAAAAAAATCTTCAGTAAAACAAAGATTAATACCGAAGTACCACTTGGCGAAGAGGGCATGACTATCGAATATACGAAATGTATCAAAATTTGTGATTGTAAACAGAGAATGATTAAGAAAGGGAAAGTATGGATATGGGAATGTGTACACATAGAGGTGCCATCGAGGAACCAATAGAGAGAGAGGATGAATATAGAGGTCACTCAGAACTACTGAACTGAAAAGTAGTTATATCAACAAAAAGAGAACATCAAGGTATATATTAATATTATTTTCATCAAGTTGTGATTAAAAGGTTTTTCTATTCGGAGACAATTTGCGGTCGAAAAATGAACATCAAAGAGGATGTATCGAAAAATTTGTTTCATAAATTGATACTCATCTCAGAAATGCCTACTGTACCTGAAAAAATGCAGCAGGAACAGCTCAATGCAGCTGCATTTAACGCTAATTGAAGAATATTTTTCACTAATTCGTTTCTCATATTTGTTAAGTTGTACTCGGAACCCTACATCGGACTTCGAAAACCGATTTCGTTGGGGTCGAAGTGACACATCAGCAAAATAGCCACGTGTTTTTACTCTTACATAGGAACATGTGTAATTTTCATATTTGTAAACTTCTAGAGAAATATTTTCTCTAAAATCCTACATATATCTCGTTCTGTCGGAAATTTTCAGCAACATAATTTAACAGCCGATGTGATTAGGGCGCCGGGAGTGCCCATCTTTGATTCATTTGATGTTGAGATTCTGTTAAATTTAATTTCTATCAATTATTTTTTTAAAAACAAAAAACAAATGATGAATTCATCAGAAGCCTATTGATCACAGAAAAGAAAGAACGATATAATAAAAATTATCACTATAAAATAATATTTGAAAATACTAGAAAAAAAATAATCAAGTTCCTTTGCCTATTTCCATTTTCTTACGAAGAAGACAACTACCACGATATAAGAATCCGTCAATAATGCTTGATACAGTAAAAACACCACCCTAAAATGAAGAAAAAAGAACATGTTTGCAAATATATTTTGAATAAGAAAAAAATCAAGAAGTTTTTACAATAATAGCACATGACGATGTTACAAATTGAGCTAATGATCGTTGTCGTTCAACAAATTTAACCATAATCGCACTTATTTCATATGTAAAAAATGTACCAGGTAATTGATGACTATTACTATCTAATATATTTTGAATAATTTTTTGATGTTTGGTAACTGAATATTGATTTGTTCGTAATTCAGTTTTATTTAAAAAGACGTATGTTGATGGAACTATTTTAACATAATAATGAAAAAGAGCTGCACCATCATTTGTTATTTGTTTTGTATGTGATAATGGATTTATTTGATTAGGAAAATATTCACCAAATGATAAATCATTTATATAATGTGTTGTATTTAACATATTTAAACGTATATTTCGTAATGAATGAACATGAAGATGCTGTTGTTGAAATGATTGACCAGGTGCTATATGAAAATTGCCGGCAACTT